CATACACCATATAATTTGGTGTACTGCTTCTTAATTTCAAAATATTTTTGCAAAATTGAAGGTGTATTTTCTCAATGCTATCTTTACTTTCAAATCCCCATACCTCTGAAGCATATAATAAAACAGGACTAACCAATGAGTCAAAAAGTTTAAGCTGCAAATCAACTGGAATACATATATTTTTTATTTTTCGGTATAGAGCATACAAAGACTTCTGTGTCTGATCAAGAAGTTTTTTTCGTGCAGTACAAAAGCTACCATTGTAATTGAAGAGTATACCAAGGTAGCAGTATGAATCAACTATTTCAATGATTTCTCCATATATCATAGAATTCTGATTTCTTTTTACTTTCTTTTTACTAAAAATCACTGCTTTAGTTTTGCTTGTGTTAATCTTTAGTTTCCATTTTTTACAATATTCTTCAAAACATACAAGGGTTTTTTGTAATCTTTCTGCACTTTCAGACAATAGCGCAGTATCATCTGCGTACAGTATAATAAACAATTTAACATACATTTGTAATGATTCCAAGCACAGATTTGAAATATTATCTAGACTTTCTATATTACTTTCCACAAAATAACTTTCTCAATCATTTAGGAACAAAGAAAATATAAAAGGTGATAAATTTTCACCTTGTTTTACTCCTGTGTGAGATATAAAAAATTCGGAAAATTCATTTCCTTTCTTGACACATGTTTTTATATTTTGATACATATTATAGATCACATTAAATAGTTTACTTTTAATGTTTGATTTTTGCATTTTTTGCCACAATCCCGATCTCCATACAGTGTCAAAAGCGCTTTTAAAGTCTATAAAAGTGCAAAATAGCTTCTTACCAAATGAAAAATATACAGTAATTAAAGAATACAATACAAATATATTATCAACAGTAGAGAATCCTCTACGAAAACCTGCTTGTGATTTTGAAATCAGGTCTACGTGATCTGCATAATTATTTAACCTGTAATTCAACATAGCAGAAAATGTTTTACTAAAGCATGAATTTAATGTGATTCCTCTGTACATTTCGGGATCGGATCTTGATCCTTTATTTTTAAATATAGTTATCATGATTCCATTAGACCAACTGTCTGGGACAATTCCAGTATCTAAATTTAAATTGAATAGCTAAACGTAAATTGGCATTAAATCGTCAATTGTATTCTTTATATATTCATTTAAAATTTCATCACTACCTGAAGCTTTGCCATTTTTTAAATTCGAAACGACCTTTTTAATTTCATCTTCGGTTACTGGACTATTTAAAAATAACTCAACATCGTCAGATAAAGTTTCAAAGTCAAAATCGTGTTCGAAGTCATTTTCTGGCTCGACATTTTCATTTAGGATTTTAAAATGATCATACAATGCTTTTAGAGATATATCGTCATTGTTATCTTTTTTCTTACTATCATTTAGATTATTAAGGATTTTCCATAGAGCTTTTGTATCCTTTTTAGAAATGTTACGCAACTCATCAGCAGCCTTCTGTTGATAGTTTGCAAAAGCCTTATTTAATGTTATTTTATGTTTTTTACTATAGCTTGTCTCATTTTACTTCTGTTTTCAGCATTTTTCAAAAAAACTATATCTCTTTCTAGCTTTATGAAATTTGTTTCTACTCATCGAGCATTTTCTATTAAACCAAGGTTTTGAATTTTCATGTTTGTAAAAATGTTTATGTTTTTTTATTTTCCCAAACGTTTCTGCCGCCGCATCTTTATAATTTTTGCTGATATCTAAAACTATAATGTTTATATCGTTTTGAGTTGCATCATTATTTACGGACAATTCGTCCAGTTTATTCATAACAGTGGTTAAAATACCTTCGGGATCATTGTGAATTCGATCAGCGTATTCAGATTTCTGTTCACTTTTCCACCTGACAAAAGTTTTATCATTTCTATTGTCGGTAACAATTGAATCTGGTTTACTAAATATGGCCTGAAGTCTAAAATGTATAAATGAATGACAATCAGAATATAACCGTATAAAGTCAGCAATTTCAAAATAAAAAATCATAGGGAAGAGCATTGATGAAATAATTAAATAATCAACAACACTTGAATCGTTACATGTTTTCTTCCCAATATCTTTATCTGATCCAACTCTTGAATTAGCAATATACAAATTATTTTTTCTGCACAACTCTAACAGTCTATGACCATACTTATTAGGTCTACATGTACACTGAGACACTCTTTGCAAGGTGATTTTGTTTTGAGTCAGATTCTCAAAATCATATAAATACTGTAATATATCAGCATCACAATCTAAATCAAACATACTAACAACTGACTCATCAGGTATAATATAATCGGGTAAAGACCCAGTTTTTGAGTTAAAATCGCCAACTAGGGCAACATAACAATTTTCAGTGTTTGTTAGGATATTCAATTCATTTTCCAATTCTTCAAAAGCTTCTATAGTAGAATACTTAGAATTTTCAGGTGGTACATAAACACAGCCAAAAATTACATCTGAATTAAGTGACAAAATTGATTTCGAAATTTGAAACCATAAAACAAATTGACTCTCAGTATTATGGAATTTCAACTCTTTTTCTAAACTCTTTCTATAAATAAAAACTATTCCACCTGATGCTTTTTTAAAAATTTTCTATTTTTTGTGACATAAATATAATCGTCTGGTAAGTTAAATTATCTAGGCCAGTTAACATTGTTTCAACAAAAATACAAATATCATGTTCAAGCAAAATGTCAATGAAATCAGGAGACAATAGTCTTTTCTTAAGTCCACACACATTTAAGAAACACATATTTAAACTACCATGATTGTTAATTGTATATTTCTTATTCAAAGTTTCATTACTGTTCGATTTCTTTTGAGGTTGTCCTCTTGCACCATTCCTCTATCTGCCAGAATTCGGTGGAGCATTTGCGTGCGGTGGACGAGGAGACGGTCCCTGTCGCTGTCTTTTGCTAGGAGGGGTATCACTAGAATAAGACCCTTTTGGGCTCGTGTCATGGTTTGTTGTCAAAGAGCCGGTATGCTCTTTTCTAGAGTCCTCTAATACCGTCTCAGGAATGTAGAGCTGATTGTCTATATATAGCCTATCACGCACAAGAGAGGCTTGTCTATTTTGCTGTTTGGCTTGTTTTAACACAGGATAAAGTTCCTTCCGCTTTTGTTCAATTTCATGAGGAAATTGTTCTCGTATTCCATACAGTCTACCTTTAAGTCTGGTAGCATTTGCTAATACATATAACAGATCGCGGTGATATATGGATCTTGCAACTATTTGTGCTCTTCTGTTGTCTCCCTTTGTTCTGAATCGATGAACATTGCCGAATTCGATCTTGTAGTCGATCCCCAGTTCATTGTATAAAAACATCACAAAAGCTCTTCCGTATCTTCACCCGGAACTCTATGCAATCCCGTGAAGATCAGATTGTTTTTCATTGACCTGCATTGCAAGTCAAGAATGGCTGCCTTTAGTGACTCAATTTCCTTTGATTCGATGACTGTTGTAACACTCGGTTGGACGATAGTGTTCTCTTCGAGTTTCTTAATTCTCGTATCATGATTGTTAATATTACGCCTGTTAGTTTTAACTTGTCCAGTTACCTGATCAAAAAGATTACTAACACCTTGGCAGCTAGTCTCGCAGTCTGACAGCTTTTTGATGAAATCGCTCGCCTGGTTTTCTAATGTTCTAACCCTAGCTGACACCGTTAAGAAATCTTGTTTCAAATCATATTTGTTTCCATTCGTCTCATTGTAGAGTCGATACCCGTAACTATTTCCAAAATCATGTTTAGCAATGTTCCCGAGTTCAGATTTACATCATTGGAAGCGTTAACGATTCTTCGGCTCTCCTTAATTAGCCTCGACGTATCGCTCATCGACATTCTTTTGATATGATTGGGTGTTCTTATAAGTGAATAGGTCAAATTTATTATAAAACAGCTGATTTTACTATAGTCCAAAGTCCACTTTCATTCAATGTCTCATGAACAGTTTTCAATATATACACTGTTTATCCCCCAGGGTATGCAGGACAGGTCTCAGTGAAAAAAATAGTTTCTTTGTTATCAAAAAACTTCTAATATGGGTTCTAGATCTCCGAAATTCAGACAATAAGCTCAACAAGTATAATATTTACAATTGTCGAAATCTAACTCCAGAATCTCCAGTATAACTATCCAAAATCCATATTTTTGTTGAGAGAGTAACAACACTTCATTTTCTTTCTAATCACGTGGAACACAATAATGATCAACCAAGTCATTATTTCTCAGATAAATCAGATTTCGATTAAATGATTCAACTACAAGAGCGCTTGGTTAAAAAAATCAATGGGTTAAGTTATCTAAAGATTAAAAAGAATAACAGAAAGTTTCCACAAATACAAACAAAATAATCTTCATGTTCTTTTATTATGACCGTTGCGCGAGTCCTTTAAAGAAGGAATATAAAACTTAATACAATGTAATAAGAACTTTTTGCCATAAACTACCAAAACTGCAGTTTAAGCATCTCTTGGCATCTTCAAATATTTCACATTTTCAGAGATACGCCAAATTTTGGGATAGCCTCAAAGTCACATATGTAGCGGACATACTGAGAATTGTAAAAAAAATAGGTTAAAAGGCTTTTAAAAAATGGCCCTTGTTAAATAAATTCATGGAAAATTGGCCTTACCGCATTATTGTATATAGATCAGTTTCGGGGAATCTGCGTCTGTTTAGAATTGAAATAATGTATTGAAATATTTACCAATATATAAATTGTAATAAGTACGTTTTACTGTCTGCTTTTTTCATCTGTCCATGGAAGTATTATAAAACTTGTTCTGCAAATTTAAAACGAGAATTAAATATGACGAACCGATGTCATTGTTTTGTATTCGATATACTTCATTCTGTAGTCAAACCATGCTCAGCGTAACTAACTTATTGGAATTGCGAATAATAAAAAGTGCAGTCACCCGTTTATTTATTAAGGTTGAATTGATTTTTAATTTGTGAACCATTTATAAAAGAGGGACGAAAGATACCAGAGGGACTATAAAGGTGCGTCTCCAATTCTATAAATGTGCATTTGTATAATAAAAGATGTTTACCTGTCTTATTGGTTCTTTGATCAATACCTCGATATCTGTATCAACACATGTTTATTTGTATTAAAATTATTATGCGATGTAAAAATTACGTTTTTTAGTACCTTTCTATCTTCAGTAATATATTCACGCAGCATGGATGCTTAGTGAAACATGTTTGTTGTTTAATATAACACAAAATGTGTCGTATTTCAGATGTTTCGCTTAGATGAGTAGGTATGGATTTAATACTAGTTTGAAAACAGTATAAAACACAAGTTTAATCACTGTTAATAGGAAGGAAGTTGGAAATTTTTATAAAACGTGTACTAGGTCACATGACTTTTCTGTACTGTGACAATGTCGAGTCGAACAACTATCAATGATATTTATAAAGCACACGAAAGGATAAAGCCGTTTGTTCACAGAACACCTATTTTCACAAGTTCGACTTTTAACAATTTAATTGGGAGAGACGCATTTTTCAAATGTGAAAATTTACAGAAAACTGGATCCTTTAAAGCAAGAGGAGCATTAAATTCGGTAAGTATTAAAATTGTTTTAACCCAGATAGACAATACATTTGGACATGACGTAGATATTTTAAATCACAAGAGGAAACCACTTTCAGTTTACGATAAATGCAAATAACAGTAAGCAGGTCTGCATTTTATAAAAAAAAAAGTTTTTATTGTTATAATGTTCACAGCCAGCAGTAGTTGTATTGTTTATTCCGGGTTTACATCTTGTAAGCTGTGCGACCTCGCTCAGTACAGTAATAAGCATGTTTTACAGTACTATTTATTGGTTGAGCATCATCCGCATCTTTGTCTTGTGCAGAATCATACACCTTGTATTGGGATTGTAAGAATTTTCATATTTGACAGATTGTGTTCTTGTTTGCCAGTTAAGTGCATTCGTCCTGACCATCCATGAAATATTTACTACTGGACGTTTAGCAACCGATAATCAATCAATCAATCGTAAACTGCGTAAAGGCTTTGCAGAGGCGGATTTAGAGGGTTTTTCAGGGGGCCCGGCCCCCCTTTTGTGTACTTATACTTTCTTGTATAATTTTGTTGATTATATAGGGAATCACTGAAGCATGACTGGAGCGGGTCCCCTCTTAGGCAGTCAGTGGGCCCCTCTTATGAAAATTTCTGGATCCGCCACTGCTTTGTGATGTTGAAGCACACAAAAATATAACTACTATGAAATACCATTTATAAGTTTTAACAATTTGACTGAGGAAATTATTGAATGGATTTTAAACAATATCATTCTGACAAGAATAATTTCCTCTTTTTAAAATAGATACAAGAAGTTAAAAAATTGTTCCTTATTCGGTTAAATTTAGAAACAATTGATACGTCATCATATTGTAAAAACATTGTTTATCAAAGCATGACAAAAATTTCTAACAAAACTATTATTTTGAGTGGGTTTTATTCTGATGAAGTGATTTTGTTATGAGATACGTTTGAACTGTAATGTCATTCTATTGTTCCGTATGTTTATTGCTTTGTTGTTCAATTTTCCATCAATTCTCAAATATAGATAATGAAATATCTGCAATGCTTTGAAATCCCAGCAGAGCTCGTCTGTTACAATGCTGCTCGAAAATGTATTATGATTTTAACCATATATCGGTTTATTCTTGCATATAAGGGACTCTACTTTCAAATGGTAAAATTATTTCATCTTTTCACAATAATCTAAACTTCCCTTTACCGAGTGTACGAGATTGGAACAATGATTTGGTAAAAATGTTTCTTATTTAAAAAAAAAGGTGGTCATGAAACGTTTGTATATGTAAAATGACAGAAAATGTATCTAATATAAATAATACATGCATTTCAAACCTGGTGATAATAGAATCTAATAAAATCTATCTGTTTACTACGTTCATGTGACAATTTGCCAACTAAACTTACAGAAATAATTACATATATGATACAATCGTCCATGTTATTCATAATGAAACATAAAGTGATGTTTTAATTCCCTTTGAACCATCAGTAAGCAAGCTTAATGGTCTTTATATCAATAACATTAAAGAGTTCTCTTAGAAACAGCATTATTCTGATATATAGAGGCAGTCTGAGAATACTTCAATATAATGAATATTACATTATCATAAAATACAAAATTTATGATGCAATTCATATTGGTGGAAAGTATCGTATGAACTGAATATCAAATTCCTCTTCATTTGATTTGAATGTAACAAGTGTGGATAGAAAGAAAAGGTTTTATAGTATACAGCTATAAAAAAAATTATGGTTATAAGGTTAAAAGTGCAAGCTAAACCTGACAAAACTCAAACGCCAAATGCCGGACAAGATGGCATGTTTTACTCATCTTTGGTGAGAAACATTTGAAACGGATTGTTGTTTTATAACAAATTTAAAGGAAAGGAAATACAGTGTTGCTACATATGAATATAGTATAAAAATTAGAAGATGAGGAATGATTGCTAAGGAGACAACTCCCCACCAGAGACCAAATGGCGTAGAAGTTGACAACTATAGGTCAACGCACGGTCTTTAACAAGACCCATACCGCATTGTAAGCTATAAAAGCTATAAGATTATTTTATAAAACAATTATACTTAAATCTAAAATGTTTTCAGATATCTATAAAAATTAAAACAACACTTTATAAATTTCATGCGTCCGAATTGATGGCATTTAATATTCTTAAATTACAATGTCATGATTTTTAGCTATCTATATCATTATTAAGACAGAACCAGTAGGTATATATACTACAAACACACAATTAAATGGATAAGGATTGACAAAATATAACTTGTCGGTGACCATCTGGAGAAGTTATACCTGGTGTCAGTAACCGTATCGTACAAAAGGTTAATGATCTCTTGATATCCATCTTTCATTTTGTCATAAAAAATGTTGGTCTTACTTTAAAATTAATGTACATTGAATACCTCCTTAAATAGTTGTATACTATTAATAGTAGGATAGGAGATGTCGACGTCTCTATAAGATGCAGTTTCTTTACATTAGTTTTCATTTTTTATAACTTTATTGGGATGATGATATTTGTATCTAGTAATCATAGACAAGCTTGCTGGTAAGCTTATTGGGGACATATCTTGATATGTCGTATGTGTTTTGCTCCTTGTTGAAGGCCGCACGCTAAATTCTACGTCATTTGGTTTCTTGTGGAAAGTCTTCACACTGGCAATCATACCGCATTTACTTATTTTCATATTTATTGTTTTTGTTTTAAGCCGATAAATCTTTTGACCTTTTTGCTTATTTTTTTGTGAAGCATGCTGGTACATTATCCTTTGTTTTAGAAACGATATATATATATGAATAAAAGGATATGTAGGTATATATTAATCAGGCCGTTGAATTTCTATTTTGAATTGCTTCACATTTTTGTCATGACGGGGCCTATTATAGATATCTACAGTATAGGCTACTGGTGGTTAGTTGTCTCATTAGTAATAATACCACATCTCTTTATCTTATATATGAATATGTATAACATCAATGAGACAGCAACCCAGTGACACAAATAGCCGAAAGATATCTAAAGATCATCTTTCAAGCTTAAAAAATAGACAGCTTTTGATGATTTCATACTAGTAACAAAAAACTGACTTTTCACAAGTATTTTTTGTAAATAGTGAAAATATAAATCATATCACCTGTAAAGGATAACTATTTTGTTCTTTTCTGTACCACGTGAAGAGACTTCATTTTGTTTTTCACACAAAAGGAAGACATTCAAACCCATTCTAATAAACATATTATTTTTAAAGCCTAATTTATAACCTTGTCAATGTTATTGTGTCAATGCGTGCACATATTTACGCAGTCATATTTGTTCAAGCAATCAATATGAGTTCTCCGTCACATTTTATTGTAAAGTTCAGAATATGAATTAAAACTAATATAAAACTATTTGCATAACAAGGCTCTATAGAACTGTGGGTATAAAGCATTATTATCTATTTATATTACGATCTATTTTATTTGAAGTTTTCTGTGCTTCATTGCAGTTTAATTTTATCAAGTATTAATGGGAGTGCGTAGATTGAATAAGTTAAAAATGTTAATGCATATTTAAAAATAAAGAAAATCAAATACTCAGTCGGTAGCGACAATGGAATATGCTCATCTCACGTCTGAATTTTGTTTCAGTCGGCAATCAGTATTGGTCATACTAGAAGCTACCTATCAAAACCTATATGGCATTTAATGAGCGTACAATAAAAGATATTTCAACATTTACACAAATATCAAAAATATGAATCTTCACTAACTTTGATCAAATATTGCACATTTATTTGGTGTACTTTTCAAATATAATTATGTAAACCCCGGTACAGATTGTGAAATAACACTAACATTTCTATAGAGAGTATCCTCTGTACGTTTGTCATACAATTATACGGTAATCAACCGTATTCTTTATCCTGTCACCTTACACCCGGACGCAAAAATAATCTAAAATGTCGTTATATTGTATAAAAAGGATTTTTGATAGAATTATATATAAGTAATAGAAATGTTTTGAATATGTAGTGTTTTTTCATTATTAGAGAAAAATGCGCCATATTGATAATTAATACGTCGTTCAATTACTACATGGCAAGATGTCGATCATACATGTATGGCTTGCACAGTTGTAACTTTTGAATAAATAAAATTGAGAATGGAAATAGGGAATGTGTCAAAGAGACAACGACCCGACCAAAGAGCAGAAAACAGCCCAACGCCACCAATGGGTCTTCAACACAGCTAGAAAATCACGCACCCGAAGGCGGGCTTCAGCTGGCCCCTTAACAAAAATGTGTACTAGTTTAGTGAAAATGGACGTCACACTAAACTCCAAAACATATGAATGAACTAAAATTAAAAAAAAATACACGACTAACAAAGGCCAGAGGCTCTTGACTTGGGACAGGCGCAAAAATGCGGCGGGGTTAAACATATTTAGTGATATCTCAACCCTTCCCCTATACCTCTAGCCAATTTAAAATAAACAAACACACATCAATACGCACAGTAAAACTCAGCTTAAAAGAAATCCGAGTCCTATGTCAGAATAGGTAACAGAAGAAACTAAGCAAAATGATAATGATACATACATTAACAAAAGACTACTAGCAGTTCCTGACATGCCAGCTCCAGACCTCAATTAAACTGATTGAAAGTTTATGTCTTAATCATATCCCTCCCGTTAGGGGTTTAGTATCATACCATCATAAAATATATGAGAAGAACATAACTTATTTCTGTACCTTCTGGTGTACATGTACCTGTTTTTAAATAATATTCCTATAAGATTTTTGCGATGAATACGGATCTATCTTTTTATCAAATATCTTATTAAGTATCAGATATATTTCTACGGCATTTACACATAAACAATGAACTATTGTTTTGCACTAGAAGAAGCATTTAAATGTGTTACATTTGAATGAGTCTGGTTTTACTTTATGATATTCTCTATAAAATCAATTATTCGACAGATAAACTTGCAAGTCGATACTGGATAGTTCATTTTTTAACACATGGATAATGCCTGGGTAGAAAACTATATATTGATCGTATGCTTATCTCAGCAATTTTACACATTATTGCTTCATTGCGCATGGTTGTAAATTTTAAGTAAATTGCAGACAAAAGGGGGATATTCAATTGATTGATTATTTTGCTTGCTCAACGTCCAGTTGCAAATATTTTATCCATATTCAGGACGTTAACAAATGAAGAATAAACCCAGGACTCTAGGCATTCTGTTAACGTTTTTTCCAAATTTGTGATGTGCGTAATCAATTTTTACAAATGAATTACTAAAAAATGTCAGTCATATATATTTGAAAGAGGATATAAGGGCAATCAACATGATCAATAGATTGCGAACAATGTTGAAAATTTAATGGATTCTCAAAACTCGACTTCCAATCAGATTGAAATCTATGTTTCTGATATATATGTTTAGATATACGTATATCGGTGTATGTTAAGCGCAATATAAAAACTAGATATTTGTTTACCTGTCCATTTGATATATATCAAAAATGAAGAAAAAATCATTTTTAAATTTTGTAAGCACTCAGATCAACCAACATATGATATACACACAAAACGAATCTTCTGCAGTGTTACTACTATTATAATGAAAACATCGTCACAGTATTGATTTTTTTAAATTTTTTATTATTATTTTCATATAAATATAATATATCATTTCGATTTATTCTTGTTAGGTGAATATGCTTGATCTTTTATCACCATCTTTTCGATTTTGAAAATAAAGATTCAAAATGTAAGAAATAAAAATATTTATACAGTGATATCATAGAGTAAAATCCAAAAGACTGTGTTATCAGAGCGAAAAAATGGCACGGGGACAGTTGTGATTTAGGGCATGAACCCCTTTTTTTCTTTTGATGTTATATTTTGTTGTGTGTTTAAACTTTTTTACTAGATTTTCAACGGGGTAAAAATGTGCAGCACTTAAAAAATAGTTATTGTAGAACAAGAACAAATAAAACTAGATTTGTAATTGCTAGCAATAACGGATGGCACCCTCGTCCCCCCATTGTCTGGGCAACGGCAGCCATTTTGGAAATTCCAAAGTCAAAGAGCGCATCTACACATGCCAAATAACATTGTTGTAAAGTTTCATTAAGTTTGGAGCATTTTGAACTTTTGGACATTTTTGCTGTTTCCATGGTAACGGCGGCCATCTTGAAAATGCCCGTACCCCGATTGCAAATCTGCACATGCTGGTTAACATTATTGTATAGTTCCATTAACATTGGTTCATAAAATTCCGAGATATAAGCTGGACAAAAAAGAGTGGAAGAAAAATAATAACTCCGTTGAGGGTGCCATAATAAAGATATGAAGTTGAAAGGACAATGGTATTAGAGAGTGAAATTCATAGGACATGCATGTGACATATCAACGAGCATTGTTATTTCAAATTTTAATCGATTTACTTATCAGTATCCGTAATGAACATGCTAACACAATTATTTTAAATCAAACAGGATGCAAGTATTAAAAGTAATTCTGCATTCTTTAACAAATATTTAAGTTGTCACTTGTTTTCACTTGCTAATATAATCCTTAGGTTGTGTGTACTTAAAACTATTCAGAAATATGCGTCTCTTTTCATCGAATGTTAATGTAATCTGCATGATCATTGAATTTTAGTCAAAGGTGAATCTGAAATAGAAACTATGAAGTATAACAATAGAACTGGGGTGTAATTATATATCATTATCACTGAATGTAAATGGAATGTGAACCAAAAGTTATACCTGCTTTTTGTAAATTACGTATAATATATAAAATTGACGAATGTCTTGTAAAAAATAAGCTTGTAATGGCGTGAGATAAAATCACAAAATGGAAACAGCTGCAGTAATGTAAATCTTTAATGAATAACCACTTCACTGTGTTAATGTATAATTATCATCATTTATAACGGTTACTGTACTTTAGTCAAACGGAAATTAACAAGTCGTACATTTTTGTATCCAACGCAAGTACTTGATATACAAAATATAAATCATATTTCAAGATCAAAAGGGTGTTATGCTTTATTATTGTGGTTGTTGTTAACTTGCCGATTATGACGAAAACAATTTTACAATATATCAAACTAAAGGTTCGATGGGTATGGAAATAAATAGCAGGATAATATTGACCCTCTCTTGAAAAAAACCGGGCTTGTATAAGGAAGCATATATGTAAAAAAAAAACTTGTTACAGCGCTCTTTCAAAATCCATATTAGAAGTTATTTGTTACAATGTATGCTTAACCTGGAGGAAAGGGAATTTATTCTGCAGCTAGAACACTTCCTGTTGCCGTTATCTACCAAATATAGTAACAAACGAATATTTGGTGTAATGTCGATTTCATGTCACGTCGCTCTTCTTAACAATCTGCGGTTCGTTTAGGTATGGAAAATAAGTGTTATTTTTATATTAACATTCTCATAAATATAATTGTAGCAATGTTTACCTGTGGTATAAAAAGAATATAAGGTCAATGTCAAAAACATAAAACTTGTTTTTATACTCAACACGTAACAGTTGGACGGATCAGTAAACATCGCCCTTCCCCAGTTTCTAAGGCCTTTTACAAATACAAGTTTAAATTTTTGTGACATTGACCTAATATTGTATATGTACTACATAGAATGACTTGTGCTTAGTACGTATATAAATAAAGGATCACGCTTGAGATATATCAATGCGACTGTAACCCAATACAAAAAAGTCAGAAGACATTTCGAGCTCAACATACAGCCCTCAACAATAGACAAATATCTTCTATAATATAGACACCTTAAAATAGTCCATACTGTAATAGTCAGTTAAGCCGAACAAGCCTTAACGATATTTACTGTCATGCAAATGAAATCTAGGGTGCAATTCATCTGGAGATCCAGGCCAGTCTGTCAATTAAAATAAATCATAACTTAGGAAAACAACCAAAATAATAACAGTCGAGGTTAAAGTTTTAAATAAAAAGTGAAGAAAAATTTAAAGAAATGTTTAAACACTAAGCATGTTTGATAGGAGCCTTGAATACTTAAGTAAACCTTAACTTGGAGTGAGTATAAAAGTAAATTGTTCTCTTAGATTTTAGAAAAAGTTGAATATTAGAACGTTAAACACTACAACTAACTAAGCTTTAATATTTACATGCATAGGATTTTATATTTCAGATTTTGAAATTGAAAGAAGCACATCCAGATTTAAAAGGAGTGGTAAGTTATGTTCAATTTCATTTGTATGATATATTTAGCGTTGATTTGGCAATCTTGATGCCCCGACAGCCACTCCCATCTTATTGCCATATTTGAAATTTATTTGTACCGTGAATAATATGCCATATATTTACATAATAGTTATTGAAAATCTGGTCATTATCGTGATACATGGACTGCCCACAAGACAGTGGTATTGACTAAGACAGCGATAATGACTGAGCCGTAGGCGAGGTCATTATCGCTGGCGCAGTCAATACCACTGTCCTACGGGCAGTCCATGTATCACGATAATGACCAGTTCTTCAATAACTATTATGTTTATTTCATTGAGGAACCAAGTTTTTAAAAATTCTCATAAATTCAAATTGTTCAAAGCAAACTCGACTTATTGTACGATTTCTGTAGGAAAGAGTGAAGACCAGTCATAGTGTTCACTATAAGTCACTGCTATTCATTTAAGTGCATTTTTTCAGTATATGAATACAAAATAAAGTTTTCTATAATTTTATAATTAACGAAAACATATGGTAAACAATTCAACAACTTCGATTGCGTTTTATTAAAGGGACATCACTCTAAACAGAGATACCACGCCCCACTGGTCATTAATATGTAAAATTCCGTTAACGACCGTTTTTCTGGTCCGTTTTTTTTTTCTGTTAAAGACCGATGGAATTTTCTACTGAAGAATACAGAATGTCATGTGGCCCCTTTTATCCAATAAGAGAACATAATTCTTTACCGATATGAAATAATCATAACTAATATCACTGTACCAAGATAAGAGACCCATTATGTAAAGAAAGAGGAAAGGTAGGCTCCTGAACATTTTTATTAAATTATCGAATTGGTCGAATTCGTTCGTTTCAGCTACCGGCTAAAGATATCTAGTGGCTTACCAATTCTCTTTTAAGTGACTTATTTTCTTTACATAACAATCCTGATTTATTTATATATTATTATCGTATATATTCTTACTAATTTGATTCGTTTACAAAGAATCGCATATTCAACTATATTTCCAAAGGTAGGCTGAAAACAGCAGATAGAAAAGTGATATTGCACGGGTTTTTTTTTTAAATATCTGACACAACCGAAACAAACAATCAGTGGATTGGTGCTCTACTTCTGGCTTATTGACAATAATAATATTACAACCGTAGCCTTTGTATGAGGTCGATACAAGGATATATCGACCTAACGAAGTATATCGACTTCAGACTTCGTCCTCAGGTCGATATATCCTCGTATCGACCACATACAAAGGCTATAATTGTATAACATTGCATGTACATTTGCATGTAAATTTAGAATATAAAAAAATACCCATGAATAAAACCATTCCTTTGGAGAATCGAAAGAAAATACATTGCAGAAACAATATATGTTATCAGTCTACTATGAATGTAACTGTTTCGAAACCAACGCTAAAAAAATTTAAATTATGACACCTTCATAATACCGTCTTCTATGATGTCATCGATATCATTTATGCTTTAGATCTAATTGGATGTTTTAATTTATTGTTATCCTTTCTACTGACCGAAGTGGTCGAAATGGTATCGGGAGTTAGGGTTTAACTGCTCAGAAAACTAGTTTGTCTTCGATAAATGCAAATTAGGGATGTTAGGTTTCCCCTCAAAATATTTTGTTATCTGTATTCAGTTCTTGTAGATGCTATGTTCGATTTAGATCCTAGTGTAAACATATTTTATTAAATAATTCGTTATGTACAGCTACAAGAGTAAATATATACGAAAAATACAAGTACTTCAAAAATTGAGATAATGAGATTTAGACCTTGTTATATGATTTAGACACTTGATAATGTTGTTGTTGCCTTTTGGAAATATTTTTTTGTAATGTTAAAATTATGTAAACAATTTGTTGTTTCGTATAAGCATTACCCAATTCAAATACTAGGTCTTTTTGATTATCACATAATTTCGATTAATTACTATAGGTCACTCACAGCAGTGGTAACCATGGCCAGGCTACAGCTTGGGCTTCCCGTATGTCAGGTGTTGAATGTTCGGTTGTCATTCCAAGAACAGCGCCTAAAGTCAAGGCTGCGGCTATTAAAGGTTATGGAGCAGAATTGACATTTTGTGAGCCTAACCCAACTGCAAGGTATCTTTACATGGCCTTTTTAATGTTAAATGTATCGTAGTATAAAACAAAGAGATGTGGTGTGATTGCCAATGAGACAAAACAAAATGCACCAGAGACCAAATGACGTAAATTTTAGCAACTATAGGTAACCGTACAGCATTCGAACTTACTAACGAAGACGCATCACTGGGTGTTCTGTTTATTCCATTTCGGTTTCGATGCTTACAAACGTATCTGGGTTCCAGAACTTTTGGTCTCCAGCCTACCATATGTTAAGATATTCAAGAAACATTGTGTCATGCGCATGCATACGTTGATATAAATCTGATCAGTTCAATGATGGATTTAAGGTATTTATGAAAGGAGTTATATGTTTATCTTATTCACTATCGGGAGAGGATCCATGATTCTAAATTATTAAAAAATAATAAGGGCCAAATTATTAAATCGGTGAAATCGAAACATATATTCGTCATTTTTACAATTTTTACATTAGATCAATGATGTTTGCTTTCTCATAAATAGAGGATCTTAAGATCCAACACTGGCTATATTATCATTCTATTTACAATGGAAATTCTTCGAATAACATATCAATAAAATGTAATAAAACTGTGTGCATGCATATATATGGTAGGGGGAAACCCTAAAAGGTGTCAGACCACCAATTCAACCACTCCAATTTAGAACATATGTAAAAGTAACCTTTCCCTGACAAAAAATAGTGCTTTTGATGTTATTGATTACTTAAACTAAGCAACGAATTTGCAGAAATGAAACTTTTGGTGAAAGAGAAATATATTTAGACCTTTTCCAGCAAAAATTTACTTGTCCATGAGTTTGCATTAATGCGCTTCATAGTATACTTATTTTTAAAGACTTCCAGAAAACCAGGGGTTGTTTTTAGTAGTAGTTATTTTCCGAACGGTCGTATTCATTACAAGACTTTAAACATTTGTTGAAAATTGGCACGTAGAAAGGTGCTACATGCACAATTCAGGATATATCTGGTTTCTATAATGTTCAAATTAAGATAAAATATTTAGAAATCTGTGGAAATTAAAAAAAATTGTTGAATAGATAGCGGTTTTGAATTGGTGGTCTGACACCTAAAAACCATACCGCCCATTGTCAGCTTGATAAGGGCATAAGGTCATTAATTGATAGTTATAGAACTTACATTTTTGTTATTGGGGAAATAGATGTGTAAATCATTATAAACTCTTTCCCCATGAATGTTTTTTTTTTTTTGCGGAGAGGGAGTTATAGTAAATTATATATGCAATCCAACATACAGTCATAAACGTTTTAATGCTTTCATCCAAAAACGTCTATAAAACTGTTTATGTATTAATTAATTCATTGCATTTATACAAGGATATTATTATTTTTATTATTATTGTTATTATTGTTTTCTTATTCTTTAATTCCAGAAAAGAAACCTGTGACAAGATAGCTGCAGAGAAAGGATATGCAGTTGTTCACTCGGCAGATCATTACGACGTTATCGCCGGACAGGTATGTCTTTTTTATTTTACAAAACACTAAAAAAACGGCGACGGCGATGATGATGATGATGATGATGATGATGATGATGATGATGATGATGATGATGATGATGATGATGATGATGAAGACGATGATGATGATGACGATGATGACATCGACGACGTCGACGATGTTGACGATGATGATAATGATTGAGAATAATATACAAAATGAATATATTATCAAACCAAACTATTCAGTTGCTGTGTTATGTGACATTCGTACTAAGGATGTTGCGTTCAAAGACAACATACCTACAATATTCTGAACTTTTAATTTCATGTTATTCAATCATTGTAACTGAACTGTTTTTTGGAGGGATGCACATCATTCATCACTAATTTATAGATTAACGCAATACTTAAATATTCTGTTTTTCTTTCTGCAATTGAATTGTGTACAGTTTCTTTTTGGAATTTCAAAGAAGACCAGGTTGTCATTATTTCATATCAGCATGTTAATTTCTTTAAGCTTGCTTTCCGAAATTGCGAATATTCTTTAATGAGGTTAACAATTCGTTATCATGACGTGAATGTTTTTGGTCAATTGGAGAAAGTTTTGTTGAAGGCAGATCTTAAATAGTTTATAGACTGCAAACGATTTAGGTCTTGGCATGATTAAAAGACACCTGTCAGTTGTTGAAAACTGTATGATATCCTCTACATGTCTTTAGGTATTATTTGTTGTTTGGAATGCATCCCCACCTTTGAAAATTCGTTTCATTATTTCTTGAATCGACATTTAATCTCATTAATACTCAACCAACAATGTTTTTAATATCCAGGGTACAATGGCAGTGGAGCTTTTAGAAGAAGTACCAGATTTAGACGCTATATTAGTATCGTCAAGTGCAGGTGGAATGATTTCTGGTATATCTATTGCAGCGAAAGCTATCAACAAAAATGTAAAAGGTAATTGTCGTCATATCATATATTTCTACATACAAGCGGGTTTTATCCTTTTTTAATCTGGACTTTTTTTTAAATAACATTTAGGGGATTTTCACCAGCTCTTTATTTGATTTGATACAATTCTTAAAATGATTTATTTTACATATGGTCAAAAGGTATTTGGTATAATATTCTTATATCACATTGACCTTAACTTTCAAACTATTTTATTTATTCACATTTGATTGAACTAGACACATACCTATCTTCAATGGGGGTTAAAAAATAAAATAAAAAAAATTCTGAACTCCAAGAAAAAATTCAAAACGGAAAGTCCTTTATCAAATAGCAATATCAAAAGCTCAAACAAATCGAACGAATGGAAAACAACTGTTATAATCCGGGCTTTGTACTGACAGGCATTTTCTTATGTAGAAAACGGTGGATTAAACCTGACTTGTCAAAAACTAGGGTACAGCAGTCAACATTGTTTTACAATCTTAATCACTATAAAAAGACAGCTAGTGCAAAGTGTACTCCGGATTCGAAAAAAATACTCTATAATACATATTCGCCACCTCAAATTCACTGACTGTTACGATATCTCCGCGTGTTAATTTACAACAGTTATGTAACATTGATTATTTTCTCTGTCGTAATTGTCGTTACATTTTTACCAGATATGGTTTTCGAAACACATGAAAAATGACACCAGCATAGCAGACGATGTTTACCTTGTAGTAGGGTCTGGTGTCGAGTGTGATTTCTACTGTTTGTATATGTTTATCTCTTGATTTATCAGCTTTAACATGGCTTCGGAATACCACTTTAGCATTTCATAGAACCAAGGAGAAACTTCATCTGATAAGCTGTGTACATTTGACTATTGATGTTTAAACCATTGATTTTCTTTGTACATATTATGTCATCAATGACTAATGCTTCATTTCCACCTGTGCAGATATTATTGCAAAGTGAATACATTGTATTCAGAGCAGTTTATGTTTTTGAAATATTTTCTCTACAAAACATTTTTCTCTTTTCAGTATTTATGGTAGAACCAGAAGGTAAAATGGCTGAAAAGTGCATGCGATCAGGTAAAAATTGAAATACTGAATAAAACACGAACAACCAAAACAAAACAAAATATATCAATGCAAAAAATTGAAAATCAAACAAAATCAAAAATGAATAATCAAAACAAATAAAAACAAAACGGAACAAAACAAAACAAAAAAACACCAACAACAAATGCAAACAACGATAGGCTGTCTTACAAACCTCCATGGCAAGTTAAGTGTGTGCTTTTAAAATACCGTCCAATATGTTTTGCCGCGCCGTCAAACCGCTACCAATCAGATCAACTTCTAATATTTTATTTTATTGCGGTTCTCACCAAACTGTCCTTCCTTTAACATTTAATAATCATTTGAAATAATACGCATCATACATTTATAAATAAGATATATGAAACTTAGTTTGCATATGTTTTAATGTAAAAATTAATGCAGATGACCTTTTCCACAAAGTTATTCGGTAGTCAATTGTTGACCCTCTTATTCCTTGAGTTTCTGTTCTCCTTTTTACAAAGGGGGTTGTCTTTACTGGAAGTAGCAAATCTTTTAATCTCGAAAATATATACTTGTAATACGTCTGTTTCATTTATACTTCTGATAAAAGTCAAAACATTATATAATTCATTGTAGGTGAACGATTGTGGCCGAACCCTCCAAAATTTTTAGATACGATAGCAGACGGGATTATTTTACAGCAATTAGGCCATCTTACATTTCCAATTATTTGTGATCTAGTTGAAAAAGATGTTTTCACTGTGGTAAGTTATACAGTAGAATAACATATGTGTATGTGTATATGCATTTTTGTATTACATCGGCTTAAGGTAGTATTGGAGTATACACAAAGAATGAACAAATATAGGTTATACCATGCTATTTCTAAACGTACGATAAAAAATATAACGTCTAGAATGTTTTCAACATGTTGGTCGTGTGCAAGTCTTCTATTTCATTAGGATTATATGGAGAGAAGTATACACACGTAATTATACGGATGAAAGTATACATATGTAATTATACGGAGGGAAGTATACATATGTAATTATACGGAGGGACGTATACACATGTAATTATATGGAGGGAAGTATACACATGTAATTATACGGAGGGAAGTATACATATGTAATTATACGGAGGAAAGTATACATATGTAATTATACGGAGGGAAGTATACACATGTAATTATATGGAGGGAAGTATACACATTTAGTTATAAGTGAGATATCACTCTTCATGAACACAAATATATGAAATTCCTACAAAAAGATTTTCTTATTTGCTAATTTTATTAAAAATTTATATCGAGCCTAAAATCCATCAATTGGAAACACAAATTCAAAATACCGATGGATTAAGTACTTTAGGATTATGCCAGGCAATGGACTCAACGCCAAAGAGAAGACGTAGATACTCTTTCCGAATGGGTTAAGGCTGTGAGGTCGTTGATACAAATTAGATTTAAAAACTTGAATGGTTCTATGAATACACATGCTACATCGATCTATAAATACCCAAATACAGATAAAGCCCAAAACAAAATCGTTTTTGCGTGTTTATTACATTAGTATACATAAACTGATTTATAAATGACTTTCCGTTTTGAATTTCCCTTGGAGTTCGGTATTTTTGTTATTTTACTTTTTTTTGATAAAGGAATCGGGTATTGACAATTTAACTGGAAACTCAACATATACACTCACAACACTTACCATAGAGAAAATCCTAAATAAGCATACGTCTTTTCTACGTTTCTTTTGAATTCCAACCAAAGATCTGGATCTTCCTTCACTGTATTGTATTCCTAACTTACCTAAGTGTCCTTATAAACAATGTTTTGAGGACTTGTTTTTCAACAAACAATCGGTATTCTCATGGAGACCAACTGTGCTCCTCTTCTTACCGACTTGTTATTTATTCATGTTGGGCTGACTTCATAAGGAGCTTCTTAAGAATAATGAAAAGAAACAAGCATTATCTTATAACTTCACGTTCCGTTATATATATGATGTCCTCTCACTAAATAATACAAAGTTTATTGACTACTTAGTATATTGAACACATCTATCCCATCGAACTTGAAATAAAGGATACAACATATAGAGTTAATTCTGACTTATACCATTACTTACATCTAGAAATTCGAGCAGCGCCTGCATATGGAGTATACATCTTCCAGTTGATACGATATTCCAGAGCTTGCATTTCCTATCATAAATTCCATGATGGACGGATGCTGCTTACAAGAGAGCTATTATACAAAGAGTTTCACTTGGTGAAGATGAAATCATCCCTTCGAAAATTTACAGATACAATCACGAGTTGGTTGACCGTTGCTGAATATCTTCACAGATGACTACAGATATGTTCCAGTTGTCGTAACCAAAATCCTGTCCTCTTTTCCTCGAATGTGACCTAACGAATAAGACTTATCAGCGGATTGTTTTTACATGAGCAACTTATCGGGTGGAGCAGGGTCTGTTTATCCTTTGGTAACACCTGAGATCACATCCGGTTTTTGTTGGGGTCCGTTTTGCTCAGTCTTTGGTTTTCAATGTTGTGTTTTGTGTACTGCTGTTTGTCTTTTCGTCGTTTATCGTTTTTTGCCATGTAATTGTCAGTTTGTTTTCGACTTATGAGTTTGAATATCCCTTTGGTATCTTTCGTCTGTCTTTTAATTCCGAAATTATAACAGACAAGAAACCAACGGACGCTTGTCTTATTGATACATTGTTTTAATACAAAGTTTTGTACCTCAAAAGTCTTTTCAATACTGTATGGCAACTCAATCTCCTTATCTATAATTTGCAGACATACGAAACTTTACTGTTCTTTAGAATAGTTCTATCTGTATATGTGTTTTTTTTTCCTGATTTTTTTAAATGTATTTTTACCACATTATTACCTACTAGAAGTATATCATGTATATTACAAAAACGCATACTATTATTCAGGGTGATGAAGATATGATAAAAGGGATGAAGTTTTCATTTCAACATATGAAGGTAAATGTTTAATTTATGTTTTAGTAAAATATTACATGTTAAGTTGGTCTTTGTATATCTGACCTGCCTTTGCGCTGTATGGAAATTACCAAATTACCAGTGAGGGGATTTGACGCGATCATTTGATTCCGAAAGCTTATAAATATTGCTATTATGATTGGCCATCGGTTATGTTTCCTACTAAAACGCTCACAAAATTATGCAGCGATACAAAGTCGTTTATTGTCAGTATATTAAAAACCTATGGCCAGTTCGACCAACTTCCGTGTATATACTATATTCTGCTATAATAGAAATTGAAAGTCAATACAAAAGGCCAGGGTTGAATGTTGCCTTAGTGACATCCGACTTTAGGAGTATGACAAAATGGTTTGCTCGGATTCAAAAGGATATGTCCGTGTTACCTTGTGAGCAACATTTTATAAACGTAAAAAATCAGACTCTGCTGGTTAGTCAAATACAAAGCAAGGTATAGTCAAATAATCAATCTTACTAGATTCAACGTTTGAAGTTTTTACTCATTCAATGTTGTTGTTGTACATTGTTTACATACATGTGTGTAGAAACCTACGGACCATATGTATGACCTGATCATCCGTGTTTTCTTGGCGTTATCATTATATCAACATAGAATATGACGTTCTTTATTTAAAAACGGACACTGAATGAGGATTTTTTTTCACATACAGTGCAATATTAAAACTATAGTTGGAAAACAGAAACTTTAAATGTATTGATTGTTTTTTATTTAAGTTGGTTATAGAAGCCGCTTCTGGAGCGACAGTTGCTGCTGCCATGTCAGATAAGTTAAAGCAAATGGATCCTAGTATGAAGAAAATTGGCATTATAATATGTGGTGGAAACGTTGACATAGATAAACTGCCATGGAACTCACAGAAGGAACCACAAGGATAGCATGCCTCATAAATACTAGTAGTTTATTTTGTATAACTAAGTACTGTATGCAATAATAGAAACATGCTTAATATACTTTAAAATGATGTAGCTGTGTCCAATTGAAAAATGTTTCCTAAAAATTTCCCCAACTTCCTTGCTATTATATTTTACAATAAAATATTGGCATAAGACAAACACGTTGACCATAGAATAGTCAATAAGAATGCATGATTTAAAATGTATTGTTTTAGAAATTGTTGGTTTAATTTTTCCCAAGGAGCTTAGCTTATTCTTTTAGCCCAAACTTTTTTTGCAATATGACAATAAGTCAAACTAATATATATATATTGGAGTTCTTTTAATCTTTACACAGATATATTATCATGTTACTCACAGAAGAAATAATATAGATAGCATGCTTTGAGATTGTTTGTTGGTAAAACGTAGTACTGTATGCAAACATAGTTTTTAAATAATGTTTGATGAATTTACACACCCTTTATTACATAATAACTTGTGAATAAACACACCTTACTTGAAAAAAAAATGCCTGCATGCTACACAATCAGCATTGTAAACTGTTACAGCTGTTGGTAATATATTCTGTGAGCTACTCTTGCCATTATTACACATTTATTATTTGTTTCCATGGCTATCACAGCAATCCTTGACTTCACTCCTTTGATGGAGATTGGACATTGATAGTTACATATTGATCGAGAGGTTGTTATACCTTGACCTGAATTAACAAAGGAAGTTGAACAATGATGTATTGTCACCTGGATGTCGATATTTGGATGACATTTCACTTTTTCTATATTTTTTACCTAATATTCATATGTACATCTAATCTGTACAATCAAAAACCAAAAACATTCACGAAACAGTGTAATACACGATAAAAAAACTAATTATACCTGTTGTTTGTTATATCTAAATAGGACACCAACACGAAATTACTTATAGTTAGGGTTTTATTTGGAATCGCCTTTCTGTATTCCCTTTTTGTGGCTTTTGAGAAATGCAGGTGCCCTAATTGCTAAAGCAAAAAGTTCTTTTGTAAAATTCAGAGAACTCTCAACACCTTCATGTTATCACTAGTCATGTGAGTTATCGAACGACATTGAGCCTCTTTTTTATTTTTGTTGTGATATCGCAGTTATTTAAATTCGGGTTTCTCTTTTACTACATATATTATTCGATACCTTGCCTGTGATATCTTTTTAGGGATAAACCATGACTTTTTGACTAGTTATATAATCTTGTGATTTTACAAACAAAACCGGTGGTTTATGTCTTTTATTGCTTATAGCATGTTTTACCAACAATGACTTTTTGACTAGTTATATAATCTTGTGATTTTACAAACAAAACCGGTGTTTTATGTCTTTTATTGCTAATAGCATTTTTTTACAATTGCATAATTATGTGACATTATAGAGGCAAAAAGGAAAATACTGCAACATGGACGCAATAAGACTTTTCAAAGGTTAAATCATATTTGGCTGTTCCAAATTTTATGGAAATCTTCATTTAAAAAAGAATCGAAATTACTTAGATATAAAACATTACTTTTACGTATAATTATCTGACATGATACTGTGAAGAAACTGATCCAATCGCGGTATGAAGCATATGAAAGGGGCGTGTATAATCTCACATTAGATACATAGCAACTTAGAATGTTTTTCATGCAGACAATAGTTGCAGGATTTTCCAGCTTTGTCATATATTTTCCTTTTTCATTAAAGGGGTATATTTGGGTTAAAGGAGATAACTCTTAAAATCAGTAATGCGTTTCTTAAAGTAAATTTCATCGTTGATTTTATAAGCATTTGTGTGAAACAGAATTATAATTATCCGTGTTTCTTAGACGCTTAAATAAAATTTATTACACAAACGTTGTAGTGATTTTTAAGAATTATTTCCCCTATAATGTTTACATTTTTTACGGTTTATGTAACTTGCTTATTAATGTTACCTTTATCTTTATTGCATATATTGTGGACGATTTAATGATAAAGGCCTTACAGAACATTAAACAGTACACACTTGTGATCCTAAACGTTTGAATAAGTCCAAACTTCTTTTTATTAATATCAGTATTTTCAGAAATAAAAACGTTTTAAATGAGCTTCATGCCTGATGAAATCGTTGAGGATCATATTAACAGTCCAAAAATTCCAACTGAGTACCACTTAATGCTGTTGTTACGGATTATATCGTTGAATTGCAATGCTTATAATACTGCATTTGTTAAATAAATTTCCGGTGATCTTATTTGTAATGTTGAGTTTTTATTTATTTTTATGCTGAAATTTTTATTAATAAAGAACACATTTACAGAAAAGCAACAATAACACATACTTTAACCTAAAAAAATTAAGAAAAAGAAGAAAGAAAAATAAAATACATGAATAAAACAAAAATACAAGGTAGAAATAAAATCAATGGAGTAACATGTGCATCTTTAAATCTTTTAAGGGGATATAATATTTTCTACTGATCATGATCAATTCATAACTTTCTTGGTTTGGATCACAATTTTAACAGGAATGCCATCGTCACACAAAGCCTTTTTATTATCAATTTCATACATATTTTTAACATGTGTGGAAGAAGTTTAGGAAAATTTAAATTTCAAATCACTATGAGTGTTCATTTTCAATTGTAAAATACTTTGGTAATTTGAGGGGTCATAATCTGTGTCTCCCTATGGTCTAGGCTACAGCTAATAATTGTCTTTAAGATATACTGATATCTCTATAGTATTGTTTATCATTCTACTATTTTAACTGTCTTCCAAAAATTGCATAAATTTAACCTTCCTAAGCAAAGTTCCAAAACATATATTTTATTTGATTTGTTACCATATGTTTTTGCTTTCAAAAGTTCTTCCAATTTTTTGTTACATCGATGGTTTTGAGATTATTGTGAGTAAAGCATTTGTTTTCGGTGTATAGTACTTCTTAATGGTAGGCATGTTCTGTTCCACTAAAGGCACATGCTCATGGCAAGTAGGGGCATCGGTGACCGAGTTGTCTAAGTAGTCAAACTACTGTATCACTATCCAGTCAACACTGAAGTTGTGAGTTCGAATCCCGCAAGCGCTCATCTCAAATCTTAATTGACTAGGATTGTCAGTTTTCCTACCTAAGGTCGGTGTTGCTCTCCGGGCACTCCGGCTTCCTCCACCAATAAAAACTGACCGCCACGAAATAGCACAATAGTGTTGAAAGCGGCGTTAAATACCAATCAATTAATCATGGCAAGTAAAACTTTGGTAATGTGAAAATTGAGGAAAAGAGGACGGGATTGTTGCTACGTTAAGTCGAAACTTATCCGTGATCATCTGAGACACAAATATTCTATAACGTCAGTAAAACTTTCGAAAAAATTACTTTAACTAGACCAATAGGAACCCTTGATTCAATAGCATCATTCTAAGCAGCAACATTTTATAAAAACTATCATGTAGGAAATAAACTCATTCGGATACCAGGAAATGCAAGCTCTGAAACTTTGTTCATATATATATACGAAGGGATATATACTTCATATGCAGGCGCTACTGAAATGCTGCTACACTAAAATGGAAAAATCACAATGGGAAAATTGAAATAATCTATTGTGTTGTTACGTTTTGATCTCATCAGGTCTTCATTGTCACTTACTAGGTATAAGTCAAGATATCAAGCTGACTTAACTGTTTCGATGATATCCTTAATTTCTAGGTCAATGGGATGCGATTAATAATCTCGTCAAATATACATGACGCATTGGTACGCCAAACGAAAATTTCGTCTTCACAAGACTCGTAAGTTGCACTCGAACATTGTCGATAAATTTTGAATTATTCGGTTAGAGGATATTATCGATATAGCAGAACGTGAAGTTAAAGGATAACGTAAGCTTCTTTTTTATTCCGATATACTATACCCGGCCCAGTTACCACAGACAAACTTGTCAACTTATTTACAATCCTGTGTGTTGTCTTTTGATATGTCTAATAACCTAATTACCGTCTTTCTTTGACGAATGGTACAGTTTGTTATGAGAGAGAACACAAAATAAAAACGTTACATTGACTATACGCTTTTGCGTGATAATAAAGCGTTACAAGTAAATAAAGAAGAAACTGGAGTATTAATTTGTATGAGAATATTACATGCAACGGTTTTAACTCTAAATGTTGTTCCCACGATCTATAATACATTTAATTTCTACTAGTTTTTCTTTTCTTATTTATTTCTTTGTTTACCCACTCAAGGACGAAAACTGTATCAGTGCAAACACATTTTAGATCAATATATTTCTCAATGTGATGGAAGAAAATAACCGTACAGAAGTAATTCAGCAATTCAAAATGTAATTAAATTTTTGATAAGCATACATATTCCAGAAAGAGCATTGTAGTATTACCTTCCTTGTATGATAATACCTCTTAAAATAGAGAATGCATGATGTTATCTTATATCATGAAGGTCACAACGTGTTAATGTGACGTTAAGACAGCAAAAGTAATTTGATAAAAAATATCATACAGGTATATGAAGAAATGGAAACTGGTAAATAACCAGACTGAAAACGTCAATGATAACTATGTATTAGTTTACAAGGTTGTGGAATTTTCATTTTAGTTAAAACAACAATATTTATGAAACGTTCAATCTATAAAATTACCACCAGAGACCAAATGACATAAAAATTAACAAGTATGGTTAACCGTACAATCTTCAACAATAAGCAAACCCATACCGCATAGTCAGTTATAAAAGGCCCCGAAATGACAACAATATTTGCATAACATTTTCATTAGAATTTTATTTTGAATTAGCAATAAAAAAAACTCGGCCTCTATGAAATAAATTGATACAAAAAAGTTTCCAATATTTTAAAGATAAATACTGTCGACCTAATAAAAGGGACGGAGATACAAATCGGGAAATGGGTGAAATACGAAGGGGAAACATAAGGCCAACAAGGCAATGCAATAGATTATGTGTATAAGTCCCATGTCGCAGATGATATAGTTGTGTCACACTCACTGGACAGAATTGTTGCTACAACTGAAACATATCCAAAGTCATCTGTAATTCAAATTTTTTATAACGGTGAACAAAATCATGATAGCAGAGGTATCCAACTCTAACCCTTGGTTCAATGGCTTCCTTATAAGCAACAATACTCTATAGGAAATTACGAGAGAAAACATAAGCCATGGAAAAGAGGCGCTGACGTTCTATAAAGGTTTAACACGATATACCGTATTAAATTGACAACAGGTTTCCTTGGAGGATAAAAAGTTACATTCTGCACTGTCCCAAGCCAGGTACTCTACATCGTGTAAGGTATAAAATGAATTTAGTCTTACACTCTTCATCTTATTCTAAATGTGAATTAAAAGAATGTGGGATATATGTCAATGGTTAGGTCCACACATCCAACATTAGATAAGTGCAACAAAATTATTTCAATACTAGTCATTGCTTACGACTACGTTATTTGGTCTCTGACAGATTATTGTCACATTCCCAATTATACCACTACTTCTTATTTCTATATCAAAAGTACTCACGTTCTGATATCAGCACCGACTTTTATCAATAAATAAAACCACTAAAATATGAAATACAAGAGTGCACACGCTGAAATGTCTCGCCTGCTTTACTGACCACTGATTTTAGGTTGAAAGTCTTAAAGAAAAAAGTTTTACTACCAGTATCTCATAAACTTAACATTTTTGAAGATCCATGACAATGAGGTCAAGGTCAGATCAATCCTGTCAGACAGACATGTACACTATTATTCCGTACACCAAATATAGTTGACCTATTATTTATGGTAATAGAGAAACAGCCAAAAACACAAAAACTTAACATTGACCAATGAACCAGGAAAATGAGGTCAAGGTCAGGTGAAACCTTCCAGACTGACATGTACCTCTTACAATCTTTCCATGCGCCACATATAGTATAGTTGACCTACTGCTTATAGTATAATTATCCTATTACTCATAATAAGTGAGAAATTCACATGACAAAAAAAATATATTTTTTTTCAAGCAGTTGCTGAACCATGAAAATGATGTCAAGGACAATGGTCACATGACAGACGGAAACTTCGTAACATAAGGTATCTGCATACAATGTATAAAGCATCCAGGTCTTCTTCCTTCTGAAATATATAGCTTTATACACATAGTTTACGCAGTCGCCATCGGATAGTAATCCCTATGTCTCGCATACTGCGACTTTTGTCGCAAGCGAAACAATAAACAACAACTATTGATTTTTAGGTATTTGACTTATTAGGAAAAGCACATTAATATGTAATACAAACAATATGAAGAAGAAAAAACAGAACAAATATAAGTATATCCTTGTCGATTTTTTTTTTCACGCGACTTATTGTTTGTTATTGTCATCATGGCTTCTTCTCATCCTTTTAAAAATAAGAAGAAAGATTCAGTAGTCAGTGCTTCATTGAATTGATTTATAACCTACATTTCTTAAATTTTTCGTTTAAATTAAAAATCATTAAGAAACTAAGGTTTCAACTCCCTTATTTAAAATTAACCTTAGATGGATTCAGCTATTATCTAGGTTCCTTTCGGTTATATAGCTCTTCACGTGTTTCAAAATGTCCTTAGCTTTTTAATATTTGGCTTTGAGCGTTCCTGGTTGGTAAATCGTGAAAAGAGCTTTGGAAGACTAAACATAATAAAGAGTTATTTTCATTTTTTTTAAAACATTATTATCACATAAATAATAGTACTTTATCTTTAATACTAAACTAGGATTCCAGTTGTGATGCGTACCTTCTCAAACGGTCAGATTTTGCCTGGCTGGTAATTTTTGGTGATTTAAAATGTCTATTGGGCCAGGTGAGCTAAAAAGGGAAAAGACTGGCAAATGACTTTTCATCCTGAAAAAAATACTATAATCCACATTGCATAGAAGAGGAATGTTATCAATATCAAATACCAGTTTCATGGCCACAACCTAGAAACACTCCAAGGTTGCACATAGCTTGAATTATAAAGCCAGGATCTATCATTGCGCGAGCACATTAATAAGAAAGTAACAAGGCTTCAAAAACATTTGGTTTCGTGAGACGAAACCTCATGAACTGTCCACAAGAAGTAGTCGCAGGCATGTACCACTTAAATCTCGCCGGAACTAGAACACGTATTAGTAGTTTGGACACCATACCCTTACCATCAAATCATCAAATCAAACAACTCCAAAATAATCAACAACAGACAGCATGATTGGCTACAGGGAACTCACCAACAGCAGTTTAGCTGGATGACCAATAAGTACCGGAGAGCCAGGAGTAGTGACACTCATCTGATGAATCATGCAACTTCAAAACGGTGAATGGAAAATCAAGTCAGTCGTTTAAAATGATGTACAGACACAAAGTATGAACAGACAAACAAACAATTCAAAGAGACAACAAGTATAACCGTGAGCTATTGCTCACTAATGATACTCCCGCATTAAGTATCATGTAGACAGGTAGTTGAAGACATCATTATGAACATCAAAATGCATCACACGGTGAGAACATGTTCACAATACGCCTGATAACAATTCTTATTTGTAGTTCCAAAGAAAAATGCAACGTAAATATTTTACCAAGAGCGAAAGCGAGGTGTAAAATATCGGCATAAAGGGCCAACCCGTGGTAAAATCTGGGACATATTATAGTATAATAGTTACAGGTAAAATCAATATAAATTCAAGCCCCCATGAGTTATTTCTGTTTTAATAGGACAAAGATTGATTGATTGGTATTTAACGCCATTTTCAACACTATTGTGATATTTCGTGGCGGTCATTTTTTATTGGTGGACGAAGCTGGAGTGAACCACCGACCTTTGGTAGGAAAACCTTTGGATAGAAGCGCTCTATGGGAAAGGAAATATTTGCTGTTTGAACACTATTAATATTGACATAAAAGACTAAGGAAACTGCAGTAGTGACATGCTTAAACGATTTACTATTACATACTAGGACAGATTTAGATGAAGTTTAATGATTATCTTACTTTTATTTAAGAAAATGGGCTTTCAACAAATTCTTATTATTTTTTGTTTTTCATTTTCCTGTTTTGAAGACTTTCATTTCACATTGGTGCATTTTTCCGTAGAATCGGCTTATATTCTCACGTCATTAGTCAATGACATCATTTACAACGTCCGGCCTCGTGTAACTCATTCATAAAAAGCATATTATATGGGAGTACTATTAGAACAGCCCAAAGCTGACGATCAGCTGACATATGATTATATTCATATTTTACCACGAGTGTGAAATCATAGCGGTTGAATGACGTCATATTAGAATAATCACTTTACATCCCCTGCTTTGCTGGCAGAAAATATAAATCAGAAATTGATAGATTTAAGGGGAAAATATGACAAGGATACCTTGAATTAACAAAAATATTGGACAGTAGAACTGAACACATCATCCCTAAAAAAGACCATTGACCATTGTTTCTTTTTATGTTATTTTCTGTCCCAAACATAATTGAACTGCACATGATTACAGTCATAGTATAATTTCCCCCCAAATACTGTTGATTTACACTAGATTTCTTGAAATTCTATCAGGAATTTCCACTGCAAATTCACTAGCTACAATAGTAGCCCCTGTAAGCTACTGTAAGCTACAAATGCGTGAATATTAAAAACATATATTGAATCTGAGACTACCACAGTTATAGTTGTCTCAGATTCAGTAAACGTTTCGACAATGTGAGACTACTATAACTGTGTTATAGTAGTCTCTGATTGAATGAACAAAAAATAGCCAGCGGATAAAATTTAAGTATTCGTTACAACACACTTTAGTAATTCATGTTATTTTAGTGATAAAAGAAATATTGCCTACTTTCACAATTAATTTCTTTTAATACCAAATAATAAATACAACATATTCAACGTTGTTTAGACAATCAGACCAAATTAATAATTTGGTGAAGTGTGAATTAAGTACATAACTGATTAAGGCAATCTTGTGCCCTCGATCCCGTTGATAACAGTTTGGCAAAGACCATAAGCGAACTGTTCATAGTAAATTTGTAAAGCTTAAGTTAACCTCTCAAGACATACTGGAGTAAGTGTGCGATGTGTTGACGTTGGATTGGTGGGCAATTTGGCTAATGTTGTTTCATCCCATGGATCATATGCACTTTTTTTTAAATAGCTAGTGTACTCGTGAAATGAAACATTCTTCAGTCATTCTTATTTTTGGATAAAAATATAAAAAAAAAAAAAATTTAATTTTAATTTTTCGGTCTAGGCTTCTCTATATGAAAGACAGTTTTTATCTCTTGCAAAGGGAGAAATGTCTGTAAGCTCCAAGTAGATTGACGACCGCCATTAGAACGATCATTCGAGTTATCCACTTAACCATTCAAGTTCTCTCTTTTTAAAAAGAACTCGATACAGTTCAGGCCAAAATGTCTCAAAAGCTTTCAAGTGTATTCAAACGTGTTCGACCTAATCTAACATGAAACAAGTAGAACTGTGTGCTTCTGTTCACTTGTAATACCCCTGCTTCAGGAATTCGGTAAACAAGAAGTTAACGACCAATGGAAAAAAATGAATCAAATGGTATAGCATGTTCTCATGAAGTCTGACAACAAAACTAAACTAACTTGTGTTTGTTTTAGTCAGTTATGTTGTATGACCGTGATGCATGTTTACACAGTTTTGGCTGTTGGATCCAAATCATTGTCCAGGTTTCACCCACTTTTTTTCTGAAAATGACTAGTTTTTATGGACTTCCCCTTTTTTAAATTTGCCTTGGAGTTCAGTATTTTTGTTATACTTTTTTCTTGAACAAAGCCATGAAAATTTCATATATGGCCATTATGTTTTAGAATATATAAGTATTCAGTACAAAACAAGTGGAAGATTTTGAATTTAAAATATATTTTTCAGTTAAGCATGTTCACATAAAGCCAGATCTGTAGTTCCTGAGAAAAATTCAACAGAAATTTAATGGTATGGACAGCATTGACAGATATATGGAAGGTCAAAAAGACATACGGACTAATACTCCTCCTTAAGAGCAGGGGTTAAATATACATCTGATTACAGTAAATATTGAGATATTTCGTATTATGCATGATGGTAACATAAAAATTTAACGGGAAAATAGAGAGAGACAATAAAACACGAGAACTTATGAAACTCACTTGAGGGATTGTTGTTTAAAACTTATCTGTATATAGATTTTACTATCTGTTATGATATAATGCACAAGTTGTTTTACAAACCGCAACAGATCATGTGTACAAACAAATATAAAAGTGTCAAGATGAGGCCTGTAATACTGAAGTTATTAAGCACAAAAAATGTTACAGTAACACTATTGAAACTGATGCTATATGTCTTAAGAAGACTTTAAAGTGTTCTTTTCCCAAAACATCCATTTAGTTAATCCATACACTGAAAATTGGTATAAAACCTGAAATCAGATTCAAGAAATGGTACCAAATAGAAAAGAAAGAAATTGTCAATGCATCTGCACAAAAACTTAGTTCAAATAATGTATGTTCATTTTAACAGTCCAAAATGTCTTTCTATTTTGTCCTAGAGTACAATGAAACAATACAAAATATGTTTTGTTATTATTTATTTTTTTCACATTTGAAATGACAATGACCTTAATGAAATTCAAGTACATTGTATATGAACATGATCAATATCTATCAAATAAATACTGGTATACATTTTGTAACTTTAAGAAACATTCACATCATCAATAAATATTGTTCTAATGGCTAATTATTTATTAGGTTCTATACAAAAAAGAGAAATGAAAATATTATAAGGAATAAACAGAAATGTTAGTAATACAAATCTATAGTGAATCATTGTATGTCTTTTTAAGGCCAATCTGATTAAGATACGGATCATGTGTCCAAGCTTTGCTCACAAGAATCTGACAACACTCCATTTTACTTTCTATTTTGGTATTTATTACATCGGCCAATGAAATTTCAGCCTTTAATTTTTGAAGGTGTGTTTTAATCTGACAAAACTATAGGATCCTGTAATGTCTTTGAACAGAAAGTATGGAGCGTTTTCAGATCCTTGTGAGCAAAATTAGGGCACAAGATCTGTATTATAATCAGAATATTTTAAGGCTGAACTACTGATTGTGTGGTTACAAAAAGGAAGTAGGGGATATGACTATGAGATTAATACCCATACTATAATGTGTACTGCTTTTTTAATATGTAGGCAGTTAAGTTTCAATGAATTCAAATCAATACAAGATAACAAATGATCTTTGAGTTCATTTTATCCATCTCATCTTCATTTAATTATTATAATCCATAATTACTTTGCACAAGATGAACCAAAATACAAAATAGTTGCATTTAAAATCAGATGTAAAGTTACAAACTCAAATTGAAAAAAAAATTTAAATCAATCACCCTTTATATATTAGACTATATTCAATTTTATTAGAGAATATCAAAAGCTGGAGATTTCATAAAGACTTCAATGAAAAAGAGGCTCAACACAACAAATCAGACTTTAAAAAAAAATACGAGAAATATTGGATGTTGGCGACATTTGAATTCATTATATCTTATAAACCGTTAATGCCACATCAAACATATCAAACATATCATACTAGAATCCAACCTTTTATGTAGTGCTATTGATAGTTGTATCAAAATATATAAAGGAATTCTTTGTAGTATTGAAATGTCAAACAGATGAAAAACTTTAAATTACAAGTAATGGCAGTGTGAACTATCTGTATTGGTATTTGATAAAAACAACACAAATAAGGTCTTAACCAGAATATAATTATATTTGTCCTACTTTAATATTAGGGTTGTTCCAAAGTTTATCAGTCTGTTGGGGATGGGGACGAAGCACTCAAATTAATCAAATATGCAGATGGTTACATTTTCCTACGAATTTTGTAAGTATTGTTGTCAAAATTAAATTTTTATTCTTTGGATGATCAGGTCTTCAAAAATCTTCCCATGCCCCATGCATTTTATTCTAGAACAGTCCTTAACTAATAATGGATATCTACAGTCAAATGTCATAAAACATATTTGAGATGCAGGCATCAGAATAAACTACTTATGATGCATTTTTGAATATCCAGGACATAATACACATTGTGATAAAGCCTTCTGGAATGAAAAGCATGAAATAAGAGCATCAAAACACTTTGGAACACTTAAGCCTAAGAGTTACCCTTCACCAACTTTTTTGTGATATCGTTAATTCTGTAGATGGCTTTATATATATAATTATCAATATGATACAGAGAATTAATTTATGTTAAAATCTTTGATAGTGATTGAACTAAGCATTTCGTTATAAGCATATTTACAATAAGTGAGTATGCATATATGTGCTCAATGATAAGAATCAAGAGTATACCAGAGATCAAATGATATGAAGACTAGAATTGTGTCTTCAGTGTAAGTGTAATGCCACAGGAAGTTTTAGAAAAATATTAACCATGTCACTATACAATTAATGACATAGAAATCAGTGGAAAAATAATTCAGCCAAAATGTTATGTTTACCAAGACCAAAGGCTGAGGTAAATATGAATACCGAGTGTTTATAATTATTATGTTCCATAAAATTTGAAATGATCAATTGTTTCATCATTAAATTGTCAACATGTGTTTTAATTTCTTAATAAGAATCATCATGACGCTGCTATTTGATTTATTATACTGCATTAATTACATTTGTTAGTTTACTGTAGTTTCTGCAATGTTATGTGTGATTTGCTATTATTTCTTGCAATTGAAGCACTGCTTTTCCTAGCTACAAATAAATTTAAAAGCGTCAAGATGAGGCTTGGAATATTGAAGTAATAAAGCTCAAAAATGTTACAGTTTCACTATTGAAACTTAAAAATTTCGATAATTTTGGCTGATGGTACTTGTGTATGTCTTAAGAAGATTTGAAAGTGTTCTTTTCCCCAAAAAAGCCATTTAGTTAATCCATCCACTGGAAATTTGTATAAAACCTGCAATCAAGATTCAATAAATTGTACGAAATAGAAAGAAAGAAATGTTTTTCACATCTATACAAAAACTTAGTTAAATTAATGTATGTTCATTTAACATTCCAAAATGTCTTCTTGCATTGTTCTAAGTACAATGAAACAACTCAAAATATATTTGTTATTATTTATTTTTTTCACATTTGAAATGACAATGACCTTAATGAAATTCAAATGCACTGTTTATGAACATGATCAATATCTTTTAAATAAATACTGGTTAACATTTTGTAACTTTAAGAAACATCCACATCATCACTAAATATTGTTCTAATGGCTAATTATTTATTAGGTTCTATACAAAAAAGATAGATGAAAATGTTATAAGAAATGAACAAAAATGTTAGTAATACAATTTCATAATGAATCATTGTATATAAAAATAAGAAGATGTGGTATGATTGCCAATGAGACCAACTCTCCACACAAGACCAAATAACATATAATGGAAATGTTGACAGTTCTCTCACAAGCAAAAAAACTATGTCTTTTTGAGGCCAATCTGATTAAAATACAGATCATATGTCCACGCTTTGCATACAAGGATCTGTCAACACTCCGTTTTACTTTCTGTTCTGGTATTTAATACATTAGCCAAAGGAATTTCAACCTTCAAATTTTTGAAGGTGTGTATTAATTCAACAAAACTATAGGATCATGGATGGTCTTTTAAATAGAAAGAATGGAGGGTTTTCAGAACCTTGTCAGCAAATCTTGTACTCAGGATCTGTATTTCAATCAGATTACTTTAAGACTGAACTACTGAGTGTGTGGTTACAAAAAGGAAGTAGGGGATATGACTATGAGATTAATACCCATACTATAAAGTGTACAGTTTTTTTACATACTTAGGCAGTTTAGTTTCCCAATAGGGGGTAATAAATTCGAGGAATTCAAATAAATACAACATAACAAATGATCTTTGGGTTCATTTCATCCATCTCATCTTCATTTAGCATAATCCATAGTTACTTTGCACAAGATGAACCAAAATACAAAATAGTTGCATTCAAAATCAGATGTAAAGTTACAAATTCAAATTAAAACAAAATTTAACTCAATCACCCTTTATATATAAGACTATATTCAATTTTATGAGAGAATATTAAAAGCTGGAGATTTCATAAAGACTTCAAAGAAAAAGAGGCTCAACTCTACAAATCAGACTTAAAAAAAAAATAATGGATGTTGGCTACATTTGAATTCATTGTATCTTATAAACCATTAGTGCCACATCAAATATATCATACTAGAATCCAAACCTTTATGTATATGTAGTGCCATGGATAGTTGTATCAAAATCTATGAAAGAATTCTTTATAGTATTGAAATATCAAACAGATGAAAAACTTTAAATTACAAGTAATGGCAGTGTGAACCATCTGTATTTGTATTTGATTAAAAAAAAACACAAATAAAGTCTTAAACAGAATATAATTAAATTTGTCCTACTTTGATATTAGGGTTGTTCCAAAGTTTATCAGTCTGTAGGGGGGTCGGGATGAGGCACTCAAATTAATCAAATATGTGGGTGGTTACATTTTACTTTGAATTTTGTAAGAATTGAAGGAAAAATTATTTTTTTATTTTACTGATGATCAGGTCTATAAAAATCTTCCCATGCCCCATGCATTTTATTCTGGAACAATCCTAAACTAATAACGGATATCTACAGTCAAATGTCACAATACGTATTTAAGATGCAGGCATCAGAAAAAAACTATTTTTGATGCATTTAAAACTGCATTTTTAAACATCCAGGACATAATACACATTGAATCAAAGCCTTCTAGAATGAAAAGCATGAAATTAGAGCTTCAAAACACTTTGGAACACTAAAGCCTGAAAGTTACCCTTCACCAACTTTTTTTGTGACATCATTAATTCTGTAGATGGCTTCATATATAGAATTAACAATATGATACAGAATTAATTTATGCTGAAAACTTTGATAGTGACTGAACTAAGCATTTCTTTATATATAAGTAAGTATGCATATATGTGTTCGATGATAAGAATCAGAGTATACCAGAGATCAAATGATATGAAGACTAGAACTTTGTCATCATTGTAAGTGTAATGCCACAGGAAGTTTTAAAAAAAATATTAACCATTTCACTTCACAATTAATGACATGGACATCAGTGGAAAAATAATTAAGCCAAAATGTTATATTTACCAAGACCAAATGCTGAGGTAAATATAAATACTGAAGACTTTATAATCATTATGTTCCATTACATTTGAAATGATCAATTGTTTTATCATTTAATTGTCAACATGTGTTTTAATTTCTTAATAAGCATTATCATATCTGCTATTTGATTTATTGTACTGCATTAATTGCATTTGTTAATTAACTGTAGTTTCTGTAATGTTTTGTGTGATTTACTACTATATCTTGCAATTGAAGCACTGTTTTTCCTAGGAAATGTTTTTTTTTCACTGATTTATGGCAAGTTTTTTTTTTTATCTTAAATTAACATACACTGTCCATTCTATAAAATAATACAACACCAGCTGGAGTTAAGGTTTTGATATTTCAAAATTTAATGTGCTTCTGAATGGTAGATACAACAACTGCATGTGAAAAAAATGATAGGGGGATGGTTAGCAACAGTATGTGCTGAATCTTCAAGTGTTCATGCATGACATGATGTAATTTTTTCTAATAATTCCACCTTTTACTATTTGTGTGCTACTCAAAACGAAAATTCATGTAGCACCAAAGAGTGTTTTGGGATATTGCCCATTGTCAACAAATCAACATCAGAGAAGAAAATGAATAAAACAATGTTGATGTTATCATTATTATAATTAAAAGATCATCTGTAAAAGCCACGGATTAGAAAAAGCAGCTTTTTCAATAGAAAACAAACGTTTATCATTTTTTTCAATTCCCCAAGTTACGATGTCAAACTGACTTTGATATTATTGATTGGTTGTATGGTTCAATTAAAATTATCTGAAAACCAATATTTCAATTGCTAAAATTTCAGTCTATAAAATGCTTGAGGTATTGACCTTTGACAGAGTTACCTCAAATTCACTTAGGTTTTTTTCATCCCAAGATGAATTATACACCATAGGGATATTCATAATATTTTAAACGAAGTCCGACTATGCATCTAAGAATCACCTGTAGAAAAATGGACATTATCAAATCAGAGAAAGACAAGGTCACCTATCTATTATTCAAGTTTTAGTCATGTAAATGAACAAAATTGATAAGGCAGAAGAAATGCCTAGACAGAAAGATCAGACTGTTCTGAATGCTACTTAAAACAAAGGTCTATGAAACTGGTTTTAGTCGTGTGAAAAAAGGATCTTATGTTTTTCTTATTAAAAAAAGTTACTAGTCATTATATTCATGAAAATGTTCCAAGATGTCCTAATCAAAGTAACTGTAGATGAAATAAAATGCTCCGCAGGGCGCAGCTTGATACGACCGCAGAGGTCTAACCCTGAACAGTTGGGGCAAGTATGGACACAACATTCAAGCTTGATACAGCTTTGCATTTGGATTGTGATTAAATATTTGACACAGCATAGGTTTCTGACACAGAATGAATGTGGTCTAAGAACTTAAAAATTTTAAATTGGACATTCACCTATTATGGTCCAATATCCAAAATCTAAATACATGGTTAGATTCAGCATATCAAAGAACCCCAAGAATTCAATTTTTGATGAAATCAAACAAAGTTTAATTTTGGACCCTTTTGACCTTAATGTGGACAAAGTTGATAACAGGGACCAAAAATCAAAAATCTAAATACATGGTTAGATTCAGCATATCAAAGAACCCCATATATTCAATTTTTGTTGAAATCAAACAAAGTTTAATTTTGGACCCCGATTTGGACCAACTTGAAAACTGGGCCCATAATCAAAAATCTAAATACATGTTTAGATTCAGCATATCAAAGAACCCTAAGAATTCAATTTTTGTTAAAATCAAACTAACTTTAATTTTGGACCCTTTGGACCTTAATGTAGACCAATTTGAAAACGGAACCAAAAATTAAGAATCTAAATACACGGTTAGATCCGGCATATCAAAGAACCCCAATAATTCAATTTTTGATGAAATCAAACAAAGTTTAATTTTGGACCCTTTGGACCTCAATGTGGACCAATTTAAAAACGGGGCCCAAAATCCAAAAACTAAATACACGGTTAGATTTAGCATATTAAAGAACCCCAAGAATTCAAGAATAAAACCCCATTGAAATTGGTGAAGAAATAAGCAATTTATACGAATTATCTTCTTTTGCACAATATTGTGCAATTAAATATTTCTTGCTATTGCGCAATACTGTACAATTGACAATTTCTTGCTATTGCGCAATATTGTGCTATTGGATATTTCTTGCTATTGCGCAATACTGTGCAATTGAAGATTTCTTGCTATTGCGCAATACTGTGCAATTGAAGATTTCTTGCTATTGTGCAATACTGTGCAATTGAAAATTTCTTGCTATTGCACAATACTTATTATATAATAATTTACACATCCTGTTTGGTGTGTATCTCCTACCATATCATTATTATTTGCTTTTAAATATAAATCAGAAATAACCAACTTAAAATGGAAAATTTTAAAAGAAAAAAAAAGGAAAAAAGAAAAAAAAGGAAAAAAAAAAATCCCCCCCAAATTTTTTTAACCCCCTTATGATTCATCACCCCCGACCTCAATACCAGCCTTCCCTTTGTGGTATGGTACCTTGCAGTACAATTTCAGAGAGATCCATACACTTACACACAAGTTATTGTCCTGAAACTAGAAAAATGCTTGTTTTTTGCCCCTTTTTTGCCCCTAATTCCTAAAATATTGAGGCAATTACCCCCATCATCAATCCCAGCCTTCTCTTTGTGGTATGGTACCTTGCAGTACAATTTCAGAGAGATCCATACACTTGAACACAAGTTATTGTCTGGAAACTAGAAAAATGCTTATTTTTGGCCCCTTTTTGGCCCCCAATTCCTAAATGTTTCGGCAATTACCCCCAAACTCAATTCCAGCTTTCCCTTTATGATATGGAACCTTGTAGTACAATTTCAGAAAGATCCATACACTTACACACAAGTTATTGTCATGAAACTAGAAAAATGCTTGTTTTTTGCCCCTTTTTTGGCCCCTAATTCCTAAAATTTTGAGGCAATTACCCCCAAAATCAATCCCAGCATCCCTTTTGTGATATGGAACATTGTGGTACAATGTCAGAGAGATCCATACACTAACACACAAGTTATGTCTGGAAGTTACAAAAATGCTTATTTTTGGCCCCTTTTTGGTCCCTAATTCCTTTACTGTTGGTACCATAACCCCCAAAAATCAATCCCAACCTTCCTTTTGTGGTATTGAACCTTGTGGTAAAATTTCATAGAGATCCATTCACTTAAACTAAAGTTAGAGTGCGAAAACCAATGTGTCTTCGGACGACAACGACGACGACGACGCCAACGTCATACCAATATACGACCACAAAATTTTTTTTGCAGTCGTATAAAAAAAAATCTCTTTTCCCAAATTTTCATTAGACCATCCAGCCAAGCATCTATATTCTTACAAACATCTAAAGCCATGAACTTTGTAAATAATTTGTTAACATGATTAAATCAGCACCACAATTACAGTGTAAACATGATGGATCTTGTCAAACAAAAAATAAAAATAAAACACTCAAAGCTTCATCAAATCCTAAGTTATAGATGTCAGATATGCAGACATAACTGTTTTTATAATCAATATGATTCATAATTTGAAATTTCATGTCATATATCAAATTCATTTAATTTACCTATATTAAAACTCTTTTTTCCAGATCAAATCATTATTGACTTTTTGTTTTATTGTATTTATTTCTAATTCAAAGATTTTTAACAGTTCTATGTTTTTACTATTGAGTATTTCAGTAAACTGTAAATTCATAAATTATTGTGTGCATATACTTTTGCTATTTTTGAAGAATAGACAAAAATGTGAAATAATTATTGCAATTTCTGGAAAATCTGTCAACAGATATATGCATCAGATAACATAATCTGGGTTGTTATTATTGTGATCAGTGGCAATATTTGCATACATAAAAACCTCACCATAATTTCTGAATTTACAGTACTTCATCACATTAAAATGTAGCAAACAATACTATCAGCACTTTATAACAGTACATATCTATATATATATATATATATATATATATCACCAGTATTATAAAAATCACAAAATAAATCAAAATAAATAAGACTGTCTCTTCACAGCCACTAACAAACATTGAAAGCACTCTCCTATAACCATGGTATCACAATCAACAAGCTCAAGGATCACAAAACATAAAAACAACAAGTTATTTACCAACTTATACTGTTTTGGCAAATTCAATAACATTATTTCTTGAAAGTTAATAGCATTGCTATTCACAATAGCAATTGATAATTCTGTTCTAAATCATTTGTAAAACAGTACAGTCAAACTGTACAACAGTACAGTCAACCTGCACAACAGTACAGTCAAACTATCAAACAATACATTCAAACTGTATAACAGTACAGTCGATCTGCACAACAGTACCGTCAAACTATTAAACTGTACAACAGTACATTCAAACTGTATAATAGTACAGTCGACCTGCACAACAGTACAGTCAAAGTGTCAAATTGTACAACAATACAGTCAAACTGTATAGACACATGATCACTCATAATTAAACATAAAGCAGCAAGCTGAGACATCAACATTTTCATAAAACAGTTCTCATAAATATTCATGATTACTTCACTTTGACCAATACAATTATAATTCCTTCATAATCAAACTTCCGCCAACTTGAAAATGAGGCTTCAGGTTTTCTTTTATAACTCTTCTTTTACAAACACTATCCAGACCAGTTGAATTACACATTTGTTAATTTTCAAGATACTTCTCCAAATACTGTTTGTACGAGTTCTGCTAATGTCAATTGTGGAGTAAATTCTAGCGGTTCAACTTCTGCCTGGTTTGTTCTATCTCTGATCTGGTTCCATTGTTGTAAGACATTATGATAATGTTCAGCCATGGCGTAATTTTTTATTGTTCTATACAGTCTTAACAGTCCTCTGTAATCATATTCTAATCCACTGTAACCATCTCCAAATAGATGTTTACCTGTTAAATTAATATTTAGATGTAACTATTTTTGTCAGAATGTGTTATTATATATACTGATATTACAATGTATATTGTTTAAAATGCCATGGAGTAAAAAGAATAATTCAAAAAGGCTAAATGAAGAGGTTAATAAAGGATAATTTTTGTGCAACATTTTTCACATTTTAATTCCCATATGTTCATGCTGGAGGGACATTATTCATTTTGTTGCATGCAAATATACTTATCAACTTATTAACATTGTTTTCTGTATTTAGAAACAGAAAACATGGAAATTTTAGGTTTTCTCAGATAAAGTACCTTAAGACATGTAAGATTCAACTGTTAAAATTTTCTTATTTCATTTTTTTTTGGTTAAAAAACTGGTACTTTTTATGTTGATTAACATATCGAAAGTAAATAGCCTTTCCTGATGAACAATGTTTGAATTTTACTTTAACTAAAGAGAAAATCAATTATCAATAAGTTTATTACAAAAAAATAGAAGTAAGGACAATTAATATGGTAATATGTTGACTATAATAGTAAATATTATATGTAAAGGTAAGATGTTTTTTCTTATTAAAGGAAGATTGCTATTTTTTTTTGTCTACGGTCTCCATAACTGTAAAAGTGTTGTTTTTTTTAAAGCTAGGTTATGGTTATCAAAATCACTTACTGTTGATTCATTATCATTCTTGGATGCCAATTTTTGTGGATTTTGTGTATAAATGTGAACCACAAATCTAAATGTTCGACGAAAGAAAATTTTATATTGGTTTTTAATTGAGGTCTGGAGCTGGCATGTCAGTAACTGCTAGTAGTCTGTTGTTATTTATGTATTATTGTCATTTTGTCTATTTTCTTTTGTTTCCTATTCTGACATCGCACTCGGACTTCTCTTAAACTGAGTTTTACTGTGCGTACTGTTGCGCGTTTGTTTTTTCTACATTGGCTAGAGGTACAGGGGGAGGGTTGAGATCTCAAAAAACATGTTTAACCCCGCCGCATTTTTGCGCCTGTCCAAAGTCGGGAGCCTCTGGCCTTTGTTATCTTGTATCATTTTTAATTTTAGTTTCTTGTGTATAATTTGGAGTTTAGTATGACGTCCATTATCACTGAACTAGTATACATATTTGTTTAGGGGCCAGCTGAAGGACGCCTCCGGGTGCGGGAGTTTCTCGCTGCATTGAAGACCCATTGGTGGCCTTCGGCTGTTGTCTGCTCTATGGTCGGGTTGTTGTCTCTTTGACACATTCCCCATTTCCATTCTCAATTTTATTCTATGCAGACTTGAGCAAAACTATTGAATCAACTATCCCGGAAAATACACTTTTCCCTCAAAACAAAAAAATTGGTACAATGAAAATAATTGAATCCAAAGTATCTGACTATCAGTCTGGCAAACATTTTTGTTTTGACTAACCTATAGCTATGGATCTTAGATAAAGTTTCTCAGCTTCATCATACTTCTCCATATCATAGTTATATAATGAGGCTAAATGTCCTATGGATAATGCTACTTCATAATCATCAGAACCTAAAATTCTCTCTTTTATCTCTATTGCTTTTAAATGCATTTCTTCTGCTTCCTACAAATAAAGTTAGACTAAAATCAGTGATGAATATTCTTTGAAATAAAGTTAACTGAAAATCATTAAAATTTATCTGAAAACACCTCCAGCCCCTTAACCCTTAGACTGCTACGCACGACTATTGTGGTTCCGATAAAGCAGTCCGCTACTGCTACGCGCGACTATTGTCGTTTCCATATCTCATTTGTTTACACAGTTACCATGGAATGGGCGGAGTCAATATTCATGAGATTGCGGCAGTTTTGACTTGTACCGATTCTGATTGGTTAAAATTCGGCGTACTTTCGAGTTTCTCTTGACTTTAAATCAGGTATAAGAGATGAAACCGAAAGTGAAAAATTTAGATGAAAAAAGTAACAAAATGGCGGAAATTGTTTGGAGTGATGGCCAACACGTTCAGAAGTATTTCAATGATAACGATGTAACAGCAGCGGCCAATTTAAATGATTTGGACGAGACAGAAGATATAATAGATGGAAATAGAAACATTTTAGCAAAACTGCGAACAGAAGACTTTTAAAGCGGGAACCACGGGGATTCCCCAGACGATGTTCGAAATGGATGACATGAAACAGGATTTGCGATGTTTATCATTGCGCCTTTCAACTGTGAATCAATATTGATCACTGACATCGATAGATTCAAACATTATGTTTGTCAAGATTATTTATTGACGAAAGTTATATCAATGAACTTATTGTTAAAACATATTTGTACATGGAAGTAAAAGTCGAAAGTCGGAAGGAAAATACCAGAAAATAGTTGCAGAAAAAAACCGTTGGTCCAAGAAGAAACTTTTTTCTTTTGATAATCGCAATGGAACTAGTTCTTAAAAGAGATTTTTAACAATATTGGTTCAATTCTGAAGTCATGGATACCTTTGAAAAGTTTTTACATTGATGGATTCGCGTTAATAAAGCATGAAAAAAAAAAAATTTACCTTTGTTTTCCTCTATTTGCACCCACTACAAACTAGTAAAAGTCTGAAATGGCCTATATCTGTACTCGACTGTACTGATTTTTACTCGACCAGTCTGAATTGGTCTGAATTGTACTCGACATTACTCGACCCCAGTCTTAACCATACTCGACTGTACTGATTTGTACTTGACCCTTATCTTTGCCATTGAAAATAGTCTGAACTATTACTCGACCAGTCTGAAACAGTCTTAACCCATTTCGACCTGTACTCTACCTATTTTTTTCAGTCTAAACCATACTCGACCAAAGGTCTGAACAATACTCGACCAGTCTGAACCATACTTGACCAAATAACCTCTACTTTTTCTAAATTTTAACTGTTAAAATAAATTTCTTTTTAACTGACATGACAACAGCCACAATAAAATAAAGATATATTATAAAAACAGATTTTTACATTCTTACATGATTCTCAGATTTATCGAATAGAGATAGTTAAATCAAATTATCTTATATAATAATTTTATTATATTAATTTTAAAGTTTTAGAGTTTTGTTAAAAAAATATTTTCTTTTACCTAAAAACCACACCTATACTGAGGGTAGTTAAACCTTATTAAGGTGCTTCTTGTTTGGCATGTGTTTTTTTTTTAATTAATTTTCCTAAATTCCTAAATAAAAACTACATAGGTTTCATGGTCACGTACAAAAAATGTACAATAGTTATATAATTATCTTTTTAATGAGGTAACAACAGCCAACAAAATCACTGAAATAGTTTAACCTTATTTTAGAAATATATCTATTATTATAATTTGGGATATATTATATATATCAAATATATATCAAAAAGGGATAAAAATTAAAGAAATTAATAAAATTGTTCTTCTGATTAGTGGTAAAGTATAAAGTAATACCTCCTGCTTGGGGTAAACTCATGAGAAAGATCACACCTGGTCAGAGAGTATTAAATTCTAAATAACATTCATTCAAAATTGCAACATCCTGTGAAACTTAAATCGCAAGGCTTTTTGAATTCCCTAGATAAGTAATACACGAGTTTAAGAAAAATAGGGCTTTCTTTTTACCTGTAAAACACACATGTACTGAGGTAATTAAACCTTATTAAAGTCCTTCTTGTATGCCATGTCTTTAATTTTGACAAAAAATATTTTAATTTAATTGAAATAAATTTTTACTGTAACTTTGGAACACATTTCATTTTTTAGAAGTTTATCACAGGATTACTATGGAAGTTCTATTATCATGATTATATTAAATTCTTGGTTTAACAAAACAAAAGTGTCATTTTTTAAATTTATCAAGTTGCTTTATATGCTATTTTATATATATTTTAATAAAAAAAATGTTCACTGCATTATTAACTAATCTCAACTGACACCATAAATCTATATGAGGCTTAAGTTAATGGTGAAAATTGTCCAGTAACCATAAAATATATCTGAAACATTCAAAAAAATGTTAATGTCATTGAAAATATTAGTCACAATTCAGTTTTGAGATTATTTGATCAGCTTGTTTTATTTTTATTTTAAAGGTGATATATATGTATGTATATAAGTGTTGATGAATATGGTGATGAAGTTATATTATGTTTATTGTGAAATTTTGGTTTCAATGCTATATTGAATACATTTTTAATTTCAAATTGTTCAAATTTCTAGCCAGGGGAAATAGCTATTGTTAAAAACAGTTCCTAAAATGATGAAATACAATAGATAGATACAAAAAATAGGTCTAGGTTGGTTAAGACTTGGTCGAGTATGGTTCAGACTAGGTCGAGTATGGTTCAGACTAGGTCGAGTATGGTTCAGACTATCTCGAGCATGGTTCAGACGCGTATAAAATGGTTAAGTACTGGTCGAGTACAAGTTCAGACTGTTAAGTATGGTTCAGACTACAGTCGAGTATTATCAAGTAAATTTCAGACCAATTCAGACTGGTCGAGTAAAAATCAGTACAGTCGAGTACAGATATAGGCCATTTCAGACTTTTACTGGTTTGTAGTGACCTGTACAGGTAATAAATGACCAGAGACTTACACAAAAATAAAATAAATAAAAAATACAGAATATAACAATACTTTTTTATATAACTTTTATTGATGAATATTCAATATTTACAAAGATATTGCAATTGAAAGTAAACATGTTTATTTCATCAGTGATTAAAATTTTATTCAGCAATACACAAAAGTACAATAGAAATGAATGCAGCAGTCTAAGGGTTAAAATGTGTAATTTTCAACAGCTCTTGCCCAGTCCAGCAACTTTGAATAAAAATTCTCAAGAATGAAAACAACTGAAAAAATTCGTAAGGGTTCCGCGGAACCCAGTGTCTCGCCTACTTTTGCTGTTAATCGCAGGCTCAACAAAAATGAGGAAAAAAATAAATAAAAATATTCCTCTCTATACTATCTTTTGATTGTTAGTAGCTTCTGTCCAAGTTTGGTAAAAATCCAGGATAGTTTATGAATCTAATAAATGTTTTAAAAACTTAAACTGCAGACTGTATGTAATGTTAACTGGAAGAAAAACAAAGTCCATTTATAAGTAAAATACGGAAAAAATCAAACAAAATTTTAACAAAATTTCCTTCTAGATACTAGCTTTTAATCATAAACAAGCTTCTGTCCAAGTTTGGTACAAATCCAGGATAGTTTAAGAAAGTTGTTAAAATTTTAAAAACTTTAACCACTGAGTGAATGTAATGTTAACTGGCAGAAAAACTAAGTCCATTCATAAGTAAAATACGGAAAAAATGGATTTTTTTTTTTACAAAATTTACTTCTGGATACTATCTTATGATCATAAACAAGCTTCTTTCCATGTTTGGTAGAAATCCAGGATAGTTTAAGAAAGTTATTAAAATTTCAAAAACTTCAACCACAGAGTGAATGTAATGTTTCTTGGCAGAAAAACTAAGTCCATTTATAAGTAAAATACAGAAAAAATGGATTTTTTTTTTTACAAAATTTACTTTTGAATATTATCTTATGATCATAAACAAGCTTCTGTCAAAGTTTGGTAGAAATCCAGGATAGTTTAAGAAAGTTATTAAAATTTCAAAAACTTTAACCACAGAGTGAATATTTGTGGACGCCGCCGCCGACGACGACGCCGACGGAATGTAGGATCGCTATGTCTCGCTTTTTCGACAAAAGTCGAAGGCTCGACAAAAATCATCCTTGTAAAACAATTGCCAATTATAATTGAACTTTGGTGGATAGTTGTCTTATTGGCAATCATACCACATCTCCTTATTTTTTTTTTAAATTATAGTTTTAAGCTTTCTCTCGAAGAAGACAAGAACAGCAATGAAACAGGGTTATAGCAGTAACATATTCGAGTTAGTAATCTCATCAGTGGTTGTCTCTTGTTATATCATGTTATTTTTTGTTTGTCTTTCGGAGAATGTGACATTGATGGCAGATCTTTTATAGTTTTGCTTTAATTTATTCAAACTTTTATTAGACTCTGGACGATTAAAAGCTAGACATATTGTATGGACCCCATATTGACCTCTAGATGTCTTTTGGTTTGGTGCCTTTCGAATACCATTTCCTTGAAATATCAGAACCACTTTTAGGCCCTGATGAGCATTAGTAATTTCAGATCAACTAAACAATAACCTATTACCATTTTATTTCAAATTCAGCTAAACCTTCCAATTATGTGGGTTTTTTTTTAAATTTCAATACTAATTTTCAAAGTTATTAGTTTTCATGTGGTTTTAGACTCAATCAGTCTGGTTGTTTGGCATGGGCATTCATCACATTTTTTAAAATCCTTTCATAATCTCTTCCAAGTAGTTTGTGTACTCATTTACATTTCAGTTAATAAGTTCAGAGCAACAGATATACATTTCTACAACAATACAGTTAACTATAGCTCATGTAAAACTTCATATATTAAAACAGACTTACCGTATACCTTCTCATAGACTGATACAGTCTACCTAAGTTACCATAATGTTTAGCAGTTTGAACATTATTTTCACCAAATGCTTTCTTGGCAAGAGCGAGGGACTGTAAATGTAAGTCCTGTGCTTCCTGTAAGTATCTGTCTTCATCTTCTTTATCATGGCTGTCTATTGCTATTTCTTCTAAGATTAAAGCTAAAAACACAAAAATATCAATATAAATTATTATACCATTGCAAATTAAGAGAGTTTTTAAAAGATAATAAAACTTATTATATTATTGAAAACGGTGTCAGAAAATAGGTATTTGAAAAAAGTATGAGTTATTTATCAGTTGTAATTGACTTTTAATAGCCTTTAGTGACTGTGGGCTTTTAGATCAGTGCTTTGTGTATTTCATCTTTTTGTTAGTTTTTTTCTGTGAGTTGTTGTGATCTGATGAGTCAAGCCTTTTTCAACTGATGTTTACAGTTTGTTCTTATGTTGTGCTGTTATACCACTGTCCCAGGTTAGAGGAGGGTTGAGCACTAACAAACATGTTTAACCACGCCACATTCTGTATGTGGCTGTCCCAAGTCTCTCTTATGGATAGTTTTCTAATTGGCAATATCACATCTTCTTATTTTTATAATGTGGTTAATGCAAATTAATAATATTTGCCTAAAGACTGACCTTTGACCCTTTTTGATGATGAAAGCAGCAAGTGATCGTCAGGTAAAATTAATCCTAAGATGTCAATAGCCATCTCAGCATGCTCCCTTTAAATAATAGAAAAATAATAGTAACAAATACAGATACATCTGGAAGGTCACTTTTTATCACAGAGGTGAAGTTTCTTTTTTAACTAGAAAATTTATTTAAAGAAATTTATCTATGAGATATGATGAATGGCTGCTTAACGTCCAGCGGCAAATTTATATGCATATTCAGGACTAGAATATATTAATGTAATATGAATATTATCCCTGCTTTTTACTAGACTGACATGCTTAGCCGGATTTTTTAATGTGCTAGTTCAAAAGCTAACAGTACGCAGGAAGACATGTCACCTTACCCGGACACATTATTCTGATGCCGAGCCAACCAGTCTTTGCTCTTACTCCTTAATGCCGCCTGCTTAGTGGAGAAGCAGCAAATACCAATCCTTAAGTCTTTGGTTTGACCCAGCCGGGGTTTGAACCCACAACCTCCCGCACTTTAGGAGAACATGCTACCACGAGACCACCGAGGCGGTTCTATGAGATATGAGTCACGTAACTTTCATTCTATGGTAAACTTTAAAAGATGAACCCTATTCACTATATCCCTAGAAAACGCAAGTACAGTAAACATATTGCAACTTCTTTACTTTTTTATTTTATTCTTAAAACCACCACATCAAAAAATATATTTGAAAATCAATCAATTTTATTTTGATATTGCTAAGTGAAGCATTTTGTAACAAATGGTCTGGTCATCTCAGTACTTCTTTTCTCCCAACCTAATTCCATTTGTTAGTTCCATGTTAAAAGGTAATGCCTTTAACATTTGTGCTGTTAACAAAAGAAGAATGTGTCTGAGGACACAAATGCCTCTGCTCAAGCTTTGAAAATGAGATGGACAAACAGAAGGAGGGAAAGACAGAAGGATGGAAAGACAGAAAGACGCAAGGACAGATCGTCAAGGGTAACACTTAATGTCCCCATAGCCTATAGCAGGGGCATAAAAAAATAGCTTGATGAACCTCATTATAAAGTTAGAATAATTACCTTGCATCTCGAAATTTTCCTGAACTGTATTCTGCAACATATGATGAGTAGGCTAAATCTTCATGTGCTACAGCTACAAACAGGTTCTTCCCTCCAAATACCAACATTCTAATGTCTAATGCAATCTACAGTGAAAATAAATAGAAAATCTGATGACTCTTCAATTACAATAGCAAAGAATTTTACAAAATTATTTAACTTGATGTGTCGACACAATATGAATTCCAAACTGTGGAATGCCTGAAGTACTACATTATTCCATAAAACAAAATGTTAACTTGATCTGCAACCAATCATTATACATTAATGAACAGAAAATCAGCTAAAAGTCAACAGGAGAAAGGTTAAAATTCAGATAACAATTGAATATTATAATAAACAAACTATGGTAAAAGATAGCAATACATACTCCATACAATTTTGAAAAAAAAGTCCAGACCAATAGAAATATTTTGCTTTTGGGTCTCACTTAGGGATGGAAAATGTTTTTTTTATTGTGTTAAGACTGCAATAACTATAAATGTACTCATTTTTATCTGCAGTATATAATAACAGATCAATGTAAGAAAATTTGTATTTAGCACAAAACTGTTAAAGGGCTCTGTAAACCACACCCTTCCCACTTTCTAAGCATCATACAAATCTGTTGATACTTTTTTATATATTGTATATTAATGTACCTGGTAAACTTTGACAGCAGATGTAATAGAATCTACATTTAATAAATAGAAACCATAATCAAGTAAGGCATCAGCATATGTGGGATGGCGAATACCAAACTTCTCTCTAAAAACATACAAATAACTCTGTTAATTCATTTTTACAATCAATGTTATATTAAATACACATGTATTGCTATCAATATACGATTAGATATTAAATATGTTCTAGAAAAGTTATTTCACTTGAAGAAAAAAGTCAAGACAAATTAACCTCTAGATGTCTTTGGTTTATAGTGGGATTTTTGTTTGTTTGGCTTTTTTCCCCCCTTTTGTTTGTTTTTTTTGTTGTTTTTTTTTATGTTTACTTTAATTTGCCATTTTTTTTTATTCATACATTGTAAAATTGGGGTTTTTTTTGCCACACCTACAAAAAAAGGTTTACATAGGCCACCATTCCCCACTATCACATTTCCATGTTCTATAAACCTTGAAATCTGGGTCAAAACCTTAACTTGGTATACAACTTTAAAATTTCATATGAAATGGAACATGGTTCACAGAACATGGAAATATATACATATACTTCACATACCTAGCAAAAAGCACTGCATGCTTTATCAATGTTTCTGCTCTAATGAATTCCCGTTTCACAACACAAGCCTGAAGGAGGAAAGGAATCATATAAGAGGTAAAAATATGTTTATATTTCCGGTCATTGCAAAACAGTTCTTATACAATATTTCTATCAAATACACTTTAATGACACTTTGTGATGATTTGTCAACTTATCCTTAATAACTAATCATTCAGGTAGTTTCATAAGTAAAATATGTGCTTTGAAAATGGATTTTAATTTCTTAATATGAACTTTAAACCCTTGCCCTATATCAATTTTACATTTATTCTTGGTAAGTAGTTGCTTGAAATTTTGACAGATTCTTCAATATTTGTTCTTTTTAGGAATTATATTATTACCTTTGAACATTGTCTCAATACACTGACTAGGGTCTGAAAAAAAAAACACATTGAAAGAAATAATTACTATAATAATAAATTGCTTATTATCATGATGATATCATCTTCGCTAGCCAAGAGTTAACCCTTGGCAGATTAAGCCAACATTTGTGACAACAATGTTGCACCATCTATCGGTTGATAATAGTCACACCCATTCCGAATACACCATTCTTGACCAATGGTAGCACTTGAACTCTCTTCAGTGTGGAGGTGTAAAAATGGTAGTGTCTAGTGTTTACAAACTTTGTGAAGCAGGAACCTAAAATATACATTGACATTCCAACATTTCCACAGGAAACATACCCAGGAACTTCTATTAGTTGATTAAGAACTTTAAAATTGTCACTTAATACGTTGTATGTTGCACAATCAGCAAATTGTTTATTTACATTTTCAACATTTACACATGATCATCTTAAAGGTGCTTTTTGATAAGATGCAGCCTGTTTTAACTGCGACCAATGGAAATAATTTCCTAGTGGATCCGAAATTCTATCTTAATCCGCCAAGGGTGGTAAGGAGGGGTCTGGATCGTAACCCTTGGCTAGCAAAGATGGATGATATAGACCTAAAGACAACAGAATACTAAATAGGGAGCAACATAAACTCAACAGAATATTGAAAATATATAATCATAGTTGTTGGTTGCTTAATGTCCAGTGGCAAATATTTCATGCATGTCCATAACAAAGTACTTTTTAAAAACAACTTCCAATTAGAGCTATTTTCCATTTTTTGAAACCTCAACCAAAAAATATCTAGATTGAAAAGAATTTTTCAGTTAATAAATCCTATACCACTGCCTAGTTTTGGGCAGTATTTGTGTAGCTTAATTTTTGGATTTCTACGTAGTGCTGATGTTTTGTCTTTTTAAGTCTTTCTTTTGACCATTGTGTTGTCTTTTCTTTGTAGATTTATAATTATTGTTTGCCCCTTTTTTTGTCATCTTTTTAGTCTCTTTACATGATTACCAACATATCTGGAATATTAATTTAATAGATCATATAAATTCACAAGGAAGTTATTGAACCAAGGGTTCTTAATGGTAAAGTTGGAGTCATCACTTTGAAAGTTTCATTCTATCATGAATGACCATTATGGAATATCTGTGTCCAAGATGACCAGGGATATGTTCCATCCGTCTGTCGTAACCACATATCTGTCCTCATTTCCTCCCTTGTGACATCACTGAATGTGACATCAGATTTCTACTTGCCATCTTCATCACCATTAGTGCCACTATTGCGAAAGGAATTTGCCTGCCTTTCCAGAGAACTTAAGTTCCTTTCTGGTGTTTGGTGATGTTCATGTTTCTGAATCATTAGTGTGTAGTGTTTTGTGTACAGTAGTATGTCTTTTCATCATTTTTTTTTTATTTTCCACAGCGCTCTATTTTTTGTACACCTGTGTTTTTTATTTCCCCCTTTTTTCTCTTCATGCAAACTAGGTAATCTAGTATCAAAACAAGAATATTATCTCTTATCATTAAGCAGAAAAATACAAATGCTTCAAAATCCTTATTCGAAAATAAATTCTTCACATGCATGAATAAGAGCATTATTATGATATAAAGATGTTAGCTTCAATGCTAGTCATGGAGAAGATGTTGACCTCAAATGACCTTTTGAAACTTTTTAAAAGTACTATATTTACTAACTTTACATGGAAGAACTGGTGACAATTCATGGACAGCTAGCCGGCAGAATTTCATTGCCTCATTATACTGACTTTCAGCAAATAATAAAGCACAACATTCTGTATAATAAGCTGCAGTATTGACCTTGACCCCCTGACTGGTGACCTTCTGTAAGATCTGGGAGGCTTGGTGACTAGTACTATTGGCCTCTGTGTATTTACAGTTAGCATTCTGTACATGCAATAATCTGAAATGAAATAACCATATCTTTCAAATTTCTGAAATTTTACTAAAACTGTTCCCCCATTTGACTCAATAAAGTTTGCAAGCAAGCAATTTTAGTCTGCGACATTACATATCTTCTATTGTAAAATACTGTATTTCCAGAAACTTTTTAATTACCTGCAATGGCAGACAAACTCACAAAATGTGTATACTGGAGACAATAATTTCTTAATCTAGGAATACAAAAGAAGGCTATTTTGATTTCATGTAATGCCAAAACTAAAAGACTCCTATATCATGAGGAAGTCTGTATCAATCACCTGGTCTTTATCCATGACTGACTGTGGATTCGTCTTTATTCAGGAGATATCAATTTTCAGGGAGTTTGTGAGTAAATTTAAAACAAAAAATTTCAAAGTCCGACGAAGTACAAATTTTCTATTTGCTTGTATACATGCTAACTTTGGCAAAACCATAAAATCAAGTATCCAAAATTCGAGTTTTTTCTCAATCCATGAAAATTCGTATCCACAGTATCTGATAAAAGAAAAAGTTTCACAGAAATATAGAAGTACCTTTAAAAACTATTTCATCTGTTAAGCTTAAATTAGATACAAAAAAACAGATTTACATATATATGCACCATTTCAATTTTCCTGGCATCTAATCATGAAAGCAATATCATAAATCACATTCAATGTCATAAATCAATTTCAATATCATAAATCACATTCAATGTCATAAATCAATTTCAATATCATAAATCACATTCAATGTCATAAATCACATTCAATGTCATAAATCAATTTCAATATCATAAATCAACTTCAATGTCATAAATCAGCTTCAAAGTCATAAATCAACTTCAATGTCATAAATTAACTTCAATGTCATATACATAACTCTTTTAACACAACACTAATTCTCTACATATCCTAAATCAAGTTCAATGTCATATAAAAAACTTACTTAACACAACATTCTAATGCTCTACACTGACTAGATATTGAGTTTTCTGTTTGTGCTAGATCTAAACAGACCCTGTAGACCCTCTCAGCAGCAGAAAACCATCCTGCATCTCCTAAAAATCCACCTGTAATGTACAATGAAGATTATCTCAAACTAACATATACTATCAAAGCAAACATGAACCTGTATACTGTAAATTCAGAAATAATGCATGCATTTATTATTGCCAATCTTTGATCACTGTCACATTTTTTCACATTAATCAAAACATCACAATAATTTCTGAATTTACAGTTTATCTTTTGGTTGTTTTTGTCATTAGGTTGCTGTCTCATTGACATCTTTGTTTATACATATCAAACAAAATATAACATGACTGAATATACCTATAAAATGCTTCTGCTCTTGAAACCAAATTTCTTAAAACTTGACATGCTTAATATGGTCTTCTAAATTTACTGAACATTACCATAAACTATGTTATACATATTATATATTTTCTATCAATGCTAACTTTCATTCATTCATATCATATACTATTATCATGACTATAAAACATCTGATGACAAACAGTTGCCAAATTTTTCAAACAATTTTTAGTGCTCAATTCATATCATTTACAGCTTCAAAAGAATGATTATTATTGTGTATCTCTATTCATTTTTTTTTTAAATTCGACAAGATTTAACATTTCTCTAAATATAGAATATTACATTACATAAGCTTGTGAGAGATAATTAAACAAATATTTCATGTACACTGAGATCAATGGCATGGTCATCTAAAAAAACAAAAAGGTATATTACTAATGAAAAAGTTTACCAGTTCATATTCATTGTTAGACAGGAATTCAACCAACATGATGAATAGTTACCTAGAGATAGTCCTAGCTGAATGGCCTTTTCTTTTGAGGACTCATCATTGCAAGTTCCTGTAGAGAACTGACCAGAAAATGCATCTGCTAATATATTGGAAACCCTTACACCATGGTCCATTAATGCTTGGAAACAGTGGTGAAGAAGGTGTCTATAAACATGATAAACATACAAAATCTTCAATTATACTGAGTAAAAAATGTTCAGCAACATATATTTTGATTCAAAAATTTCTAATAAAAAATATCAAATTTTTAATGTCACTACATTAATCAACATCATGGCTTTATGGTTTATTTTCTTTGTTACAGTTATTTGTATTTCAATACAATTCAATAGGTATAGTTAACCTCTGAAATATAGAATTAAAAATATTTGTTGCAGAACTTTTTTTAATCAGTATATTTTCAAAACATATTTTTTTACGACTTTTACATGTAAAATATTTTAAAATATTTACATGTTGTCTTATTAAAGTGAAATACATGTATGGTATATAGACATATAGTCTATTGTTGAAGACAACTTCGACCTCTTAATGTGTTTTGTTTGTTTGTTTTGAAAGGTTAGGGTTTCTGTCTTTGTGACCAAAACTCCTTCTTTTTCTTCATAAAGGTAGTACATGCATGACATGTACATATTCAGATTTTAAAATGTTTATAAAATAATTGTCTTATAACACTCAACCGATAAAAACTGCGATGCTTAAGGATTAAAGAATGGATTTTCTAGCCATATTATTTTCTAAATGACAAAGATATTATGAGAATGAATAGAGGATAACAATTTTCCTAATAATAAAAATGCACATCTTAAGACAAAACAATAAAGAATGCATACATATAGCTTAACTTTATAAAAATGTACATGTCTAATTTCTAAAATCCTACCTTTTGTCATTAACATTTAAAACCTTCAGGAAAGTATCCAATTCTGAAAATTCCATTCCAAGTTGACACAATCTTCCTTGATTATACAACTAGAAAAATAATAAATATTAGTTAAGAATATATGAATATATGTATCGAACGAAGAGTTCATAATGTATACCAAGCACATAAAACATTGAAGTTTGAAAATAGGGTTAAGGTCAGATGATCTCTAACATTAACATACATTTTGAAACATTTTAAACTAATACCTATATAATCTATACATTCATCAACCCTTCTGCCTCGTATTTTTTTTTTTAAAGTGTATTAGCATGATTAGTATTCAAATAGTCAGACTGATTTTTAAATTTTGTTCTTATGTTGTCAGAATATTCAACTCATAAATTTAAAATGTTGAAAAACATTTTTTTTTAGAAATACATTTACATCACCCATAGATCCCACATGATTTAAATGCACAGAAAAAGTTTTATCATTATTTACACAAACAAATGAGAAAATTAGTTATGAGTTGAACATGTTGGACATGCGTCAAGATGAAAGGTTTATTCAGTTAATGATCACATTAAATCAGCATTTCAATCTATATGCACAGTGCCATAATTCATAACAAATTCAGTCATTTTGAGATGATTTAAAATTGGGACCTTTTTTTTCAAACTGTCAAGTTCAAACTAGATTCCCTGCATCACTAAAGTTGTATTGAAGGTTTCAACGTCTTTACAGTTACTTCATAAAATTTCTTACTTATTAAAAAGAAAACACTTAAGAATGATGTGAAATTGTAAACTTCTCAGGAAACGACCATGCTACTTTCAATTTTGAGAAATGAAATAAAAACCAGGAGTTTCAAGTTGATCACAAATTACAAGTCATTTTGGATTCCTAAACAGGGTCTGTTCTGTTTATCAAATGGCGGGAAATTATCATCTTTTGATCTTATTACCTGTATAGTGTTTTAATAATACATGTAGTTCACTCTTTAATTTGGCTTGAAATCATCTTGCATTTTTAGGATTTAAAAGTGTATAATCTGGTGAAGACACTTGCACGAAGTGGAAAACATTTTATTTAAGTATAATTTAATAAATGATTTAAATTTTCAAATAGGAATCTGTGATTGTTCTTTGCTGAAATCATGGAAATATTATCAAATTAATAATGAAGTAAATTGTCATGGAATAGAATTAGTTTATACATATAATATAAGTACTGTAAATATTTAGTTACAATTTGCTGACCATGGACATGGTCTGCAAACTGTCATAAAATATCATAAGGACCCAAGAGCTATGGTTCGACACCCATGGCACCAGAGACATATAATACAAGAGATTCGCAACTCTAGTAGAGTCTATATAACAGCCAATGAAATGACGTGGCCACCGGAAAGCCGATTAATCCGATGGATTTATGGGTAATAACCCATATTGTTGTGTAAAAGGTTCTACGCCTCACGATTTTTCTAATGGATAATGCCGATACCTTTCACAGCTAAAGCATGCAAGTATATTTAAAAGTTACAAAAAACTAATTCTAATAATTTGTTATTGATAAAATGTGTTCTAATGATGAGATTAATCAAATACAAACAAAGTTAAAACTCGGCCCATTTTACTTCACCTATTGCCGTAGAAACCATTTGATCTCCCAATTTTTTTCTTAAAACTTGAAAATATGCTAATAAATATATAATTTTATGGGCCAATAGTACTCCCAAATGTTGTTTCGTGAAAATAAGACTATTTTCGTAAAATTTGATCAAACAATGTGGCGATTTTTTCTGATTGATACCCGAAATTTTTTATTAAACTGGCTAAATATTGAAATTGTTCATGGACAAATTTCCTTAAATCAGTCCTTCTTTTTTGTGCACTATGAAATTTATAGCCTGCATTTTGTTAGACATTTTATTCATTTTTCATTCTGTTTATAGCAAAGTTGTTTATTTTCTCCTATTCTGAAGTCATTGTTTTTTTCTTCTTTTTAGGGTGCCAAAGATGAACGAATGCAGTAAATTTACAAAAGGAGTAAAATTTTCCTAGTAAAGGAAACCTTCTGCTGGTCGTAATATTATGAATGAGCTTCATATGCATCTGTTGTCGTTTCAGACTACGCTTCTCGTTCAAAACATAAACCTAATTCATTTTTAAATTAAAATCGTATTGAGGACATTTCAATGGTGACTGCAAAAGATATATATATATATATATATATATATATATATATTTGATAATAAAAGATTTTATTTACACCAAGGATTTGGATATGTATACACATAAACAATCTTACTTTTAAATTCCCATCTCTTTACCCCAGAATAAAAAGAAAAAACCGGTACAAATGATTAAAAGACAAAATCCACTACAAATGATTGTCTCGTGGAAACAAGGTTATAAAATACTTTTTAAATAGTGTCTTCCGTGTTGCTTTGATGTATGACCTGTGTTTTTTAATAAATTTTTTGTTGCTTCGATGACACACATATCCATCTATGTATGCAGTATTGTCAATTGTTTTTGTTGGTGGGTCTCTCGCTTATGTTTTCGTCCTTTTCACCATCAACAAAGAGTTCGTTATCAGTTTATTCAACTAGGAGTATATCTAAGTCGTAACTATTAAGATTGTCATCCCACGAAATTAAGATTGTCATCCCACGAAATAAAATCGGAATTTTTCATATTGCGTGCACATGAATGAAGCTTTATTCAAATGAGAAATTAATTGTATTTTCTTAAATATTAATTCTCAATACACACTTCGAACATGAAGAAACCATAAATTTACCGACAATCATTTAAAAAAACAACTCAATGCAAGTCTAAATGATAAAACTGTCAAACAACACTTAAAAATCAAACATTTACCGACAATCCTACAGAAAAAAAACTCAATGAAAGCCCAATAAATGAGGAATATAAAAATAAATAAAATTTTAATAATTTATAAATATCAAGAATAAAAAACAAAGCCTATCATGATTAACAATTAATTAACAAATAAATTAAGTTTTTTTCCATATTAATTAATTATACATTGACTTGTATTTTTGGAAAGAGTGTGGACACCTGTGGTGTGACAACTTCTTGTTTACAAGGTGTCAATTAAAACTCATTATTTATAACATGTTCGTGATTTACCTGGTCATCGAATAATTCAAACCTAATATACATGTCACACTGTGAAATTATGTCTCCGAGACAGGTGTCTATTCAATAGAAACCCATTATGCAACTATCAAATAAAATGAACTCTGACACAATTTATCAAGTGTTAATTATTTAATATCAGTTTTTTTTATACAATATCAAATTATGTATCTTTTTCAATAATACAAATCTAAAATCAAAATTACATTAAAATAAATAATTATATATGTACTCAAATTATATTTGATTAATTATGATAAATTTAACACTGAAACAGTTTATGTTATGCTTAAACATTCGTCCTTACTTCGAGTACTTTTAATACTTTTATTAATGACTTAATTACCTAAGGAGATCTCGCGAGGTTTAACTAGTGGCCGCGTGTTATTACGGGATTTCGCCGAGTTGCGAATCTCTTGTATTATATGTCTCTGATGGCACATATATTCTTGTGACACAACATAAGCATTTTGACATTGCAAATGTATGGAAAATGCAGGAATGTCTGAAACTCAATTAAATGAATAGGACCAATAACCATTTTCTTTCTCCTGTTACCTTGCAGTATGTGAAATCTTTTATATTTTTTTTGTCATTTAGGGGGGGGGGGGACTTTGTAAGAAAAAATTGCAACATTTATTGAAAAGAAATAAGTCTGAGCAAGGACGTATAACTAACATCTAATATACGTCCTTGGTCTGAGGGAAATAACACACAGGCGTTGATGCAAGAGAGAGGGGTATTTACTATAATTTGCATGGAACAAGTGCCTGTGATATAACATGTGAATTAAAATGAAACGTAAACAAACTCCGAAAAGTACACAGAAGGATATGACAGATACGGAACAATGGATCAACCTTGTAATAAACATCGAATTGGACACTTTCGGGTAAAGTCTTGACATCTCTCCTGTGTCTATAGTATGAAGCGACGGTGGCAGACACAGCTGTATTGTACAAGGAATCGGGAACCCAGTCAAGCTGAGCAGAAGCAGACGCCATATTGAATGGCAAATAATTAACTGCGACATCTGGAGGTCGGAGTTATCGTTCTTTAACTTAGGCCATTTTTTTTTTTTTTAATATTCTTTATTCATTGGTTAAGGTTTTATATTTTTATTTTCTATTGTTGAATTCATTTTAGGCAAATTGTTTAATTTAATTTTTATTTTAAAACAATGGTTTGTTCGATTGAAAAGTTAGGGAGAGAGGGAGGAATTAATTCAACCATACTGTAGTTGAGTTTCAAAAAAATGCTAAGCCTTGTCCTTGTATGCAAAAATTGTTCACTAACTAAAACATAACCGTCTTTTCTGTGTATTACACAAAAATGTTTTTTTTTAATTGAAGTTGAAAAATATGGATTTTCTACTTTCCGAAGGACCCTGAGAGAAAAAAGCCCGTTCCCCCAAAAAAAAATAATGGTCGACGCTGCCGCCTAGCTTATACATGCATCTATGTTTGGGTATGATATTGTGACTTTGTGATCATATTGTAAGCTTTATAAAAGAATATGCATATCACCTTTGGTTCCTACAGTGAATCTATTTGTCACAGCTATCGCATATCAGTCTGTGAAATTATGATAGTAAAATCATAATCATAATTATAATCATATTTATACGGTAGGCCTATTATTCATAATAAAAAATACTAATATATTGAAGATAAGATATTGAATACAATTTTATAGCAGGCATTATACAGTCATGATTTATAGGTAAGGGTTTAGAATTAAGAAATGTCTGGAAAGTTAACCATTGAACAGCAATGTATTTATCCTGTAATTATTATTCGTGCGTCTGTGTGTTCTATCATTTGATATAATGTCAACTCCGTGAGGTTCACTGATCAGAACAAAACCTCTTGGTTAATGAAAATAGCAATTAAAAGTGGCTGTGCATCCGAAGCATTTTTCTAGATTTCCTTTCTTCGGGAACGCTTAAACCTAAAACTTATAAAATCAGGGATGTAAAAATACACAAAAACGTTAGAAGCTTTAAGACCAAAATTAAGGGACATAAAAAGATTAGTCAAATTAGTTAAAGGTAAACTTTGCAAGCGGGAGTTTGAACCTTAGTTTCTAGAAGACTTCTCGACTATCAACGGGATAATGTATGCTATAAATCATCATGTCAGTAGCGGCCGCGACTGATTACTCAGTTGATAATACCTTTGGGACTAACAATCTGCACAGTGCTAGCAAAGGAAAAAGTAAAATAACAAAAAGACCGAACTCCAAGGAAAATTCAAAGCGGAAACAGATATAAGAAGATGTGGTATGAGTGCCAATGAGACAACTCTCCATCCATGTCAAAATTTATTAAAGTAAACCATTATAGGTCAAAGTACGGTCTTCAACACGGAGCCTTGGCTCACACCGAACAGCAAGCTATAAAGGGCCCCAAAAATTGCTAGTGTAAAATCATTCAAACGGGAAAACCAAGTCCTTTATCAAATGACAAAATCAAAAGCTCAAACACATCAAACGAATGGAAAACAACTGTCATATTCCTGACTCGGTACAGGCATTTCCTTATGTAGAAAATGGTGGATTAAACCTGGTTTTATAGCTAGCTAAATTTCTCACTTGTATGACAGTCGCACAGAATTCCATTATATTGACAACAGTGTGTGGGCAAAACAAACAGACATAATAGGTAAAAATGTCAAAAATTGGGGTACAGCAGTCAACATTGTGTTAGGATCTTAATCGATATAAAAACTATTTCAAAAAATAAAAATAAAATGGCATATAGACACTCTATAGACAAAGTACTTAAGCAAAAATGAAAGACAAGAATAAAAAAAAAATGACCATAGAAAATAACACTTATAGTAAGTTTCGTGGTCCAAAGTTGGTTTGGTTAACTGGACTGAGAAATCTATCTAGACCATATACCAAAAATAAAAGTAATACACATATTAATTCTTTTTAAACCTGCACAGTCCAGCTTCAAACATGACCTCTTACTTGAACATGGAAATACAAGAACACATAAATTGAAAAGCAGGGTCAAAATGTGCTCGCTACTACAGAATACTAGATAAGGAAGCCATAGGAAAAGACTGGTGTTAATTCAACAGAATATACTGCAGATTCTGCGTACCCTTCCATAGCACCTGAGATCACCCCCGTTTTTTTTTTGTGGGGTTCGTGTTGCCTAACCATTCTAACCTTTGGTTTTCTATGTTTAGTTTTGTAGACTGTTGTTGTTGTTTTTTTTTTGTTGTCGTTTTATGTTTTTTTTTCCCATGGAGTTGCCAGTTTAATTGTCTTCGATTTATGAGTTTACATATCTTTTTTGTATCTTTCGCCATTTCATTTCCAGTTACAGACGGGGTCCATAACAATAGTTTATACAAAAACCATACTAAGTTATTGGCCTCATCAGCAGGCTATATATATAACAGAGAGATACAAAGGTCATTCCAACAGTTTTAAAGTACCTACAAGTTATACATGTAATTAATTTTGGCCCCAATAGTCACACAAGACAACATTTAAACTACGGGAAGCACACGCGGAGGGTCACCATATGCTTAAACAGAAGAACATCAGGCCCAAAGGTTAGTAGAAACAGAATGAAGACACATCATGGATTATTCGGAACACCTACTGAGACTGACAATTTTTGAATAGGCGGAATTTACCAGATTTATTAGAACCATCGAACAATTAGATAACATTTCGGAAGTTGAATGCGCTGGAGGATCTCAGCTGCCTTATACTGGATATATAGTAGTTAATATCAAGATACCTGGAAATATCAGCACCACCAACCAACGTGTAATGCTAGTAGTACATGATAGCAGATAGTCAAGGCATACCTGCTTTGATTGGAAACAACATATTAGACTGTGCAGCAAAATATTGTCCTATGAAATATCGCCCCCAAGACATTATTTCATGACTTTGTATAAATAATTAATTTATGCAGCAATTTATGGTTATACACATACTTTTCATGAAAAATAGTCACAATATTTCAGAAACGCTCACATTTTCATAGTAGAGGATTTCTCAGTAAAGACATAATTAGATTAACAAATTTTTCATGGACATTATTTCACAGTGAAATATTGTCATGGACAGTATTTCATTGTGAAATATTGTCCAGAAGGAGACAAAATTTCATGGACAAGGACACTATTTCATAATGAAATATTGTCCTGGACAGTATTTTATAATGAAATAGTGTCCGCGGACAATATTTTATATGAAATTTAGTCCGACGGACAAAATTTCATGGGCGACAATATTTTATGTTACAAGACAACATGATATTTTATTTGAAGGAGGAACACGAAACAAAATACTTGCAGAATACGGTTTATCAACTCCAAAGTCTATGACCTTTCGATGTTTAACAGTGATCGAGGGAAGAGAAGAAGAGATAACAAGAACAACAATAGAATGGCAGTGATTAGAACATGCAACAGAATAACCATCCTTCCAAATACCACAATTGAAGTTACTGGTACTATGAGAAAGAAATACCGTATAAAACAACTCCATCTATCACCCAATCAACTATTTTGACAGAAGATCACAGGGAATTTGAAGCAGATCCATCTTTTAGGATTAATAACTACGAAGAGAAAGGAACACGCACATCCAACATCAAAACCATAACCATAACCATACCACCGAAGGCCATTTTTTGTGAAGTCCAACCAGGTACTTCTGAAGCACAACCAAATCATACTAACGAAGAAGATCTGAAGTTATCAGAGGAAGTGGATATTACCAAGATTGATCTCACAGATGAAAAAGTTGATGAAGGGAAACAACCGATATTGCGATTTTCGGATATTTTCAATAGAGGCGACCATGATTTAGGATACATCAACACGGGTAAGTATCTTATAGATCTGCTTGATGAGACTATTTAAACACCATTAATTTACGATGAAGTTAGATCTTATCTAACACACATTCTGGAGTAATCAGACCATCAAGCTCACCATTCGCATCAGCACTTGTCATCGTTAAGAAGAAGAATGGACATCTAAAGATGTGTGTGGATTACAGTCAGTTAAACAAGCAGATTGAGCATGACAGTTACGCTCATTAGAATAGAAGATCTCTTGGATTGCTGTGCTGACATTACTTCTTCTCAGTCGTCGATCTGTAGTCCTGTTACTAGTACCATCAGGTGAAAAATTTGGAAGACAATAGGCATACTGCTTTCTCTGTAGGTCCTCTTAGCTTTAACAAGTTCTATCGGATGCCTTTTGGACTTACGATCTCTCCAGCCACCTACCAGAGACTGATGGAAGATTGCCTTGTAGATTACAACTTGAAGATATGCTGCATCTTTATTGGTGATATCATCACCTATGGTAGAACATATGACGAGTACTTGCAAAATCTACAGCTAGTATTTGAGAGGACAAGAGAAGCTAGCCTGAAGCTTTCTCCTCACAAGTGCAAATTCTTGAAGCGCAAGGTAAAGTATGTCGGACACGGTGGTATCAGAATAAGCAGTGAAAATAGACCAACAGTAGACATTGAAGGTTGTCAGCTGGCAAACACCAAAGTCCAGAAGATTTTGGGGATTTGTCGGCTATAACAGACGCTTCATACAGAGTTTTAGCAAAGTCAGATGACCTTTGACCGACTTGATTCCATCACCAAACAAGAAGACACAGCCCAAATCTAAGCAATCCAGAGAAAGAAAGTGAAATTAACAACATCAGGTATTCAAGACATTAAAAGATCACCTTTTAAGTGCACCAATCCTTGGCTATGCAGATGGTACATTACTATATAAGCTTCATACTGTTGCTTCTGGAGATGCTTTGAGCGCCGTTCTTTACCAAGAGCAACATGGAATGAAGAGAGTCACCAGTTCCTGATTCGAGGACTCAACAAGGCTGAACGCCAACCCACCACACACGAAAGAATTCATGGCATTGAAATGGGGAGTATGTGACAAGTTTCGAGAAAAACCTCAATGGACAAGAATCCACAATGTACACGCACAACAATCCAGTTACTTATGTATTAACATCTGCAACGTTAGGCACAACTAGACACTATTCGCTAGCAAATTGGCAGCATTCACTTTTGATAACAGGTATAGACTTAGCAAAGCCAACGCAGAATGCGGATGCACTTAGTCGGTTCCACATCAGCAGTAATTCCTCCAAGCTATGTGTAATGCAGCCATACCCGAGTCTTAAATTGACACTATTACTTTAACATTAAATGCGATACTGGAAGATCTTGTTTATGAGGCAGTGGAATTGGTTTCATTGTTGAATGGAGGAAAGTTCAAGCGCAGGATCATAATATACACCGTATTGCGGAATACGTTAGAGGGAACATCAAAAGATATTTAACCGAATCTACACTTGAAGCAGTTCAACCATCTCAAATTATATGACGGAGTACTTCATCGTGTTGCCATTGTCAACGAAGAGGGAAAATGTCAACTGGTACTTCCCTTGAAACATGTACCCACGGTTTGGAAGCCATACATGATTAGATGGAATATCCTGGGAGAGACTGCACAACATCACCGGTCAATGATAGATTTTACTGGCCCGGATGCACCAAGAAATTCAGACATGGATAGAGGAATGTGGAAGATGTGTCCATAGGAAGTCACCTACCAGTCAACGAGAACCATTGGTAATTAGTATATCAACGACATCCCCATCATAGCTTTGCATGGATTTCCTAATCCTTGAACCATCTAAGGGAGGCTATCAACACATGTAAGTAATTACAGATCACTGAACTTGATAAGCTATGGAAATTCCATCCAAGAACAAACCCGCCAAGACAGTTGCAGATGTGTTCTACAGCAATTTCATCCTACACTATGGAATACCAGACAGATTAATTCGGATCATGGGGCAAACTTTGAAAATACCAGAGACATATAAAACACTCTGAAAATACCATCATCAATGAGATATGTGTTATCACAGGAATGTCTAGGTCAAGAACTACCAGCTACCATCCTATTGGAATAAAACTCATCATAGATACTAGGATTAACATTTTGTACGCCGGACGCGCGTTTCGTTTACAAAAGACTAATCATTGACGCTCCAATAGCAAATGTACAACGTGAGAGCTTCATCCGGACGCTTTGTGATATGCTTGCCAGAAAACAACAGGTGATTACAAGTAAATCACAGATCTGAAGGAAAGAATCACACAGGCACACGAATTGTCAACATCATCTGCGAAGACGGACAGAGCTCATCAGAAGAATCAGTACGACAACAGAGCTAGAGAAGGGACAGTAAAAGTAGGATATAGGTTATTGGTAAAGATTGTCAGCCTTGAGAGGACACATAAGCTGGCGAATAAATTGGAACAAGACCCCTTCAAAGTTCTTGGCCAACAGAATGAAGATATTCCTGTGTTCAGTATCGGGGAAATGGAGAGGGATGTCACCTTCAACTACCAATTGGTTTACTAAGCGACACACCAGGAGGGTCAATATCCCTAGTGCGCCTCAAATTGAGATACTCAAATATAGTATATAAACATCAATCTCTGTGCCGTGATATTGGACATGTTTCAATTTCGAACACGTGACTGAGCTATTTGTGCTGATTTGAAGGGCAGATGACCCAAGAATAAAGGTGTACAAACAATGGAGTTATTAAATGTATGCAAAGAACTAAATTTTCAAAGAACTTATTGTGTGAAAAAGTGATTTAACCGCACCAGAAAGGGCTTTTCGGGGTATGCTAAATTACGGGAAAATAAATCTCACTTTGTACCCCAAAAGTTTATCCACATATGTGAAAATGTCTCGAAACAATTCATCATACATATCCAAATTTACGATATGAGCAGAGGAATTGTGGAAAATGCTTCCATTAACGCCTACCCAAAATGAATTGCACATATTGACACAGAACCTACATCTACTCCAAAACCGAAATCAAGACCATGAATTAGAACTGCCAAGAAGACAAATAAACTGTAAACAACTCAACCCGACTTAAAGGAAGATTCAGATGAGGAGTCAGAATGGGATTCTATAATCAGCAGAACCGGTATTTTCAGTGATTCATCCATCACTGAACAGAGTGTATCTAGTCATGCTGATGAGGATAACTTGGATACCATAGAGACAAAAGGAACGCTCAGTCATCTGCGGATACTGCTAGTGTCACAGAGGATGTCGAACTTAAACAGGAAGGAAGCGTTTCTACTAATAAGACTGTCCAGGGAAAAATGATAGGGAGTACATGCTGTTGAATATCGTATTGACTGGGGGATATATACTCAACATGCAGGCGCTGCTGGAATATTGCTACATAGAAATGGAAATTTCACAATTAGAAAGCTGAAATCATCTCTTTCGTCATAAATTTAGGGTATCAACCGATCCCCATTGTCAATTTCTAGATGCAAGCCAAAGATATGAGACGGACTTTACTGTTATCTGTTGTATAGATCCTTTATTTTAAGTTAAATGGGATAGATGCGTTCAACATAGTCCTTAAACTTAATTATTTAGTGAGAGGATAGTGATAAGTGGACAAACCATATACCTTATATGGGACAGACAGAGGGATGCACAGAAGGGACAGAGGTAAAACAACATGCCCAAACTTTTTTGTTGTTGGTAAACAAAAATAACATGATAAAAATACAGTTAAGGCAGTCACTGAGTCATTAAAATATATACAATTAGACAAGACATTGGCCAGATATAAGACATAAGAGCATAAGGCGTCTGTATAATGATATGAATTATCTAGGTCTTCTACTTTCTGAAATATAAAGCTTTATACAAATAGTTTATATTTTCACTTGCATCCATCCCAATAGCATCCCTATGTTATATATTCTAAAACTTTTTGGCAAGAAACAGATCTCTCAATTTTCATATGAAGTGTATGGGTAACATTAAACTGTGTGAAAATTATATTGAAATGACAAAATTTCAAAATGCTTATCAATAAGTGAACCTTGGCGGAGATAAAAGATTGATGTGCAAATTTTTTAAACAAGGAAGAAGCCAAAGGGGTTACAAAATATATATGAAGTAGAATTGAATCTGCTCACCCTTTCAGAGCACCTGAGATCACTGCCGCTTTTTGGATTGGGTTCGTTCTGCTCAGTTTTCTAAGTTGTGTTTTGTATACCATGTATACTGTTGTTTGTCTTTTGAGTGTTTTTTGGTTTTTTATATGGCATTGTGAGTTCGATTTTGACTTATGAGTTTGATGATCCCTTTGGAATCTTTTATCTCTCTTTTGAAAGATAGAGAGGCCAACATCAATCAAACATAAACATTCCTAGCTTGGTACAGAAAAATAAACATGTGACCAGGATAAGTAGCAAATCAAAATCATAATTCAACTGTAATTAAATATTATTAACAATAACATGTAAGTATATATTTTATTTTCTGGTAACATCCTTAACCTTCATGAACACAATAAAATGTTAAGTTATTCCAGAAAAAAAGTTGTATTTGAAAGGGGAAAGGGATGTTGAAGGCATTAGCTATACTTCAATCTTTTTCATCTTTTAAGGGCTATTCCAGAAATAAATGTATGGGCTAGTCTGAAGGCATTTTCTACTTAACCCTTCCTTGTATAAAATTTTAATTGATCATTTCATACAATTGTTAAGGCTTTCTGTCTAAAATAACCACCACCAATAAAATTTTGATAAAAGTGCTTTGGAACACCCCTCCCCCATTCAATTATTTCTGGAAAACCCCTAAGAAATTTGGTGTAACCATAATAAAAAATCCTCATTATCTTCTTGGTTTACTTTTATACCTGGCATATTGTTACAGACATGCTTAATTTGGGGCCTTTCCTTACATCATGAAATACTCAGCATTGAAAGAGTTCAAAGGAAGGCTGCCAATTTTGTAACTAACAAATACAGAAACATCTGAAGCATTGGTAACATATTACATCACCTTGAATGGGGCAGCCTTTCTAATGGAACAGGACAGTAATGTTGTACAAAATAGAACATGCAAATGTCACAATACCTAAGAATATTAGTTTTTTCCAAAAAAATAGACAAACAAGGCATTCAAATTTAAGCAGTTTCTTTATTCCATCTTGCAAAAAACACAGGACAGAAAAGAATCTTTTTTTCAAAGATATATAACCCATTGAAACAAACTACCAATCAGTACACTTAAATCTGCAATCTCAAAATGTCAATATTGGATGTACTTAGGTCAGGTTTATGAATATTTATCAGATCTTCCCACTCCTTGCTTCTTTTCTTACGATACAGGGTAAAATATTTTGAGCCATAATATCCAATTTTCTTTGCATATAAGACTTCAATAGCTCATAAAAGGTCATTTACCAAAATTTGAGCAGATTCTAGATTTCTTTTCTTTCGATTTGAGACCCAAATAATACCAATGCAAATATAAGGTAAAAGTCCGAGTCAGCCTTTTCCCGCCATTTTTAAAAAATATCTCGATTAGGAGCTCCATAACCTATCAATATTTTTAGCTTATTTTGTTCCTTAACTAATGCTGTTCTGACATATAGTAAAAAAAATTTTTTCACCTAAGTACATCCTTAAATTCAGATTTACATATTAAACCTATTATAAGTTTATTACATTAATATTCCTCTATTTTAAATCGTATATAATCAATCTATGTCTTGATGTTAGTGATCCTTATATTTTTAAAAAAAGGGATAAGGGATATATGACTACCAAGTTACAACCTGACAACAACAAAGAAACATCTTGAGAAGTTCCCTTAAAAAGCTGAGTAGGTGATGTTATTCTCTCCCTCACTTCCTTACATTTTTTTTTCTGGAATAACCCTTATAGGGCACAATATATCACATTTCATTAAAAATTGTTGCACATTGACAATATAAAGAGTATAAACAAGTTCACTGGAGCTTCATGTATATATAATAGCTGCCTTTCATAAATGGTTTATTTGCTCTCAGCATGTCCATTGGCTGTTCCTAATATACTTTCTAAAGAAGACCTGAAAAAATAATTGAATATAATTACAGCTTGGTCAATAAACTGAAAAATTTATATTTTTAAAATTTTGTAAATGTCCACCCCCTCAGACTTTGTTAGCTTTGCAATGGATGTTTATTTGACTGTAACCTAATTAACTATATCAGGAAATATTTATTGATTTTGACATTCTTCATACCTTCCTTGTTCCTTTCAAATAAAGCCAACTTTTTTTTTTATATAATTCACATTTTCTTTAAGGTGGTACATAACACTACAGGGAGATAACTCTGTAAAAATCAGCTGAACGTTTTAATCATGTTCTATTGTTAAGGAAATATTTAGCTTCTCAATGATCAAAATTAGTGTTTGTCAAAGTGCTATCTATCCAATGAAATTTTTCCGATAAAGTGTGAGGTTCAAGTTTTTTGAAATTTTTATATTTTGGTCAAGTAAATTTTTTTTAAATATGCACTTCAGAAAGATGCAAAGTAAAATATACTTTCATCACTTTTTGAAATATTTATTGCAGTGGAACTGTTGACATTAAATCTCCAATTAAAGTAAACCAAATGCAGAAGACAAAAAAGTTTCAAAATGCTGATTTGGTTTGACTGTATTTGCTTTCTCATTGTTTCTTTCTATATCTTTGTGGTAGCTGTTTTTCTCTTTTTCTTTTTTTTGTTTCAAAATATGGCATTTGAGCACAGCTTTGTACTGTATCATTGATTTTTTCATTGCCTCTGTGATTTTCAGTTCTCTATTTTGCTACAAATTCACCTGGGTTTTGCTATTTGCCATGAGATTTTTAATTTCTGTGTCTGTGAAATTGCTTTTTCTTGTGTGTTTATTTTAAACTGAAATGACTTTTGTTATCAGTTGTTATAAGTTTGTTCCTTTCTAAATCAATGGCATAGTTTTTTCTTTTGTTTTACTAAAGAGCCTCAGGAATTTGCTGTCTCATATTTTTCTAACAGTGTATGTATGGTAGCTCTTTTCTTTGAATTTGAAAGATAACTTACCTGGATTCAGCTATTTGCTGCCTGATCTTTCTAACAGTACATGTGTGGTTGCCCTTTTCTTTTAATTTGAAAGATAACTTACCTGGCTTTAGCTATTTGCTGCCTGATCTTTCTGAAAGTACCTGTGTGGTTGCTCTTTTCTCTTAATTTGAAAGATAACTTTAATACCTCGCTTCAGCCGATTTGCTGCCTGATCTTTCTAACAGAGCATGTGTGGTTGTTCTTTTCTTTGAATTTGAGAGATAACTTACCTGGCGTCAGTAATTTGCTGCCTGACTCTTTCTTTCTGAGCATGTGTAGTAGCTTTTATCTTTGTAGATTCTAAGTCTGTTATGGTAGCTCTGTAGCCTGTTATGCTGTGTATTATTAACTTAACTGGCTTCAGCTATTTGCTGCTTGACTCTTTCTTTCTGAGCCTGTGTAGTAGCCTTTATCTTTGTAGATTCTGTCTGTTATGGTAGCTATGTAGCCTGTTATGTTGTGTATTATTAACTTAACTGGCTTCAGCTATTTGCTGCTTGACTCTTTCTTTCTGAGCCTGTGTAGTAGCTTTTATCTCTGTTGATTCTAACTCTGATATTGTAGCTCTGTAGCCTGTTATGTTGTGTATTATTAACTTACCTGGCTTCAGCTATTTGCTGCCTGACTCTTTCTTTCTGAGCCTGTGTAGTAGCTTTTATCTCTGTTGATTCTAACTCTGATATTGTAGCTCTGTAGCCTGTTATGTTGTGTATTATTAACTTACCTGGCTTCAGCTATTTGCTGCTTGACGTTTTCTTTCTGAGCCTGTGTAGTAGCTTTTATCTCTGTTGATTCTAACTCTGATATTGTAGCTCTGTAGCCTGTTATGTTGTGTATTATTAACTTACCTGGCTTCAGCTATTTGCTGCCTGACTCTTTCTTTCTGAGCCTGTGTAGTAGCTTTTATCTCTGTCGATTCTAACTCTGCTATTGTAGCTCTGTAGCCTGTTATGTTGTGTATTATTACAATATGTTTATCACCTGAACTAACTAGATATTTGTTAGAGAGATCAAAGGAAAGTTCTGTTATAGAACCTGTAAAATAAAAATACTTTTAATTAAGTGTAACTATAACTTTATTAAACATAAATGTAATTAAACATGGGCAACCTTGATCACACTAAATTGGTCAGCTTCAAGCATACAATTTATCATATTAACTTCAACCCCATGTCTGACAGTGCCTTTTCTCTAAACTGACAAAAACAGATATTGCAGATTCAGAAACTAATGATGAACAAGTATTTATAAGATGTGAAATTGGAATAAATTAATTAGTATGTCAGAATCTTAGAATGCAAGACTTATACATCTTAATTTTCAATATTTTCAGGGGTGGTGGTAGGAGCAAATATCTCTGCACATGGTTTTTATCTGATCAGTTCTAGGTTATTTGTGCTTATTGAGGACAAATTATTCCTACTTTCAAATAGTCTTTCTGTCACAGATGAGACAATTAGCCGATACGACCCCAATTCATTTTTAAAATCAAGAAACTTATTACAGTCAATAATATTCATGATCAAATGTACAACCTGCTGATTTTTCTGATCTTCCAATCAATTTAATGATGCAAACTTAACATAAAATTTCACAGCAGCTAAATTACAATTTTTCCCTATTTATACCTACCATCATGAATATTTTTCAAGACCTCTTCTTCTTCACCTGAGACAGCATTATAAAAGCCGATGGAGTTATCTCCCCCAACAGCTATACTCCTCCCATCAGGAGAAAGTGATATATGACTAGGAGTTTCACAATATATACTGCCTGTCATCAATAAATAGGGATCCTGTGATAGTTCATATCGAACTGAAAATAAAATAACATATTTATCACTCCTTATGGCTACATTGATATAAAAAAATTTAGATTTGAGTTTAACTAATATTGAATGTAACATCATTAAATTGGGGTTCATTCAGAATAAACTTAATATCATTAATATAATCATTGTAAACATACAATTTATTTATATTTTTTTACAACACTTTGAATTCAAAGGTATTTTTAATTGCCATAATTTGAAAAACTATCTAATTAAAAGAAGAATGTGTCTGAGGCCACGAATGCCCACACTCAAGCAATTTTCTAATTTAAAAAGAGGCATAGTTCTAGAATGGTAAATGACTCACTGCCCAAATTTGAATTCTTAAAGTCTGAATTTTGTGGTTCTTAGCATTGTGTATTCATGAGTGTCATAAGATTTGGATGAGGAAAACAGAAGTTAGAGTCTGAAAACGATAATGGGATGGATGGACGGTCAAGGGTAACACTTAATGCCCCCATTGCCTACGGCAGGGGTATAAAAATTCTTCAACCAAAGAACTTACTATTAGTATCCCAGTATTTCCATGTGCCATCTTTAGAAACTGATGCCATTCTGAAAATAAATACATCAAAATAGTCTATATATAGATTTATTTAAATTTCTTAATCCAGACAAGGATTTATAGCTGAAAAGACTGCAATTACCATATGTAAATTTGAACTGGAAGTGCCTGTACCAAGTCAGAAATATGATAGCTGATGACTAATTGTAATAGGAGAATTTTCCCAAAGCTGTCTAGTATTTATAAACTTTTATAAAGTTCAAAGTTAACAAATCTTTAAATTTAGTACATTTTAAATTGCTTATTATTCCACAGGCTACCTGTAGAAAAACAAAGGATATGGGGTATCCATTCATGACTCAAAATCAGTACATGCACAGCAAAAAACACATAAAAAGCAAAGGAACAACACTTTTATTGCTGTTCTTCATCTCAAATCTGTGCCTTTATATAACACTTATACAGGTAGTTGAATCTAAGCTTTCTGAGATAAATCTTAGGTATTTTAAAGTCAAATATATTTAACAGACATAAATCTTAAAAGAATTTGATGAGAGCTGAAACAGTATACAATTATTGTGAATAAATGGAGTTGTGGGGTACATGTCAAAGAAACAACCCAACAACACAAAAAACAAAAGACATTTAAAGGTCTTTGACAATAGTCTTGACAATTGGTCAAGCTGTAAATCACCATGAATCTAAAATAGTTCATGTGAATAAATTTAACATGGGCTATCAAACATATTACAGTGAATGAATTTAACATAATATTGTCAAAGATATTCTGCTGAATAAATTTAAACATAGACTATCAGAGATATTCAAGTGAATAAATTTAACATGGACTGTCAAACATATTCTAGGGAATAAATTTAAAATAGACTATCAAAGAAATTCCAGTGAATAAATTTCACATAGACTATCAAACATTCCAGTGAATAAATTTAACAAGACTATCAAATATATTCCGGTTTGAACCAAAATCTTTTCAAACTACTAGTCCGAAGACCAATATTCCGACAGTTTAAAAACAAGACTTTGCAAATACTTACTAGTCCAAATAAAATTTAACTAGTCTGGGGCCACTGACTAGTGGCTAATGATGCAGACTGATATTCCAATGAATCAATCTAACATGCACAATCAAAGTTATTCCAGTGAATCAATCTAACATGCACTATCAAAGTTATTCCAGTGAATCAATCTAACATGCACTATCAGAGTTATTCCAGTGAATCAATCTAACATGCACTATCAAAGTTATTCCAGTGAATCAATCTAACATGCACTATCAAAGTTATTCCAGTGAATCAATCTAACATGCACTATCAAAGATATACCATTGGTGAATAAATCTAAAATAGACTTTATCAAAGTTATTCAAGTGAATAAATTTAACATAGAGCTATCAAAGATATTCCATTAACACCAAATTCTCCAAACGACAAAAAGCTTCAAAATTTCCAGTATCTTACTAGATCCAAAAAAATCTAAGCTGCCTTTGAACATATAATTCATTCTAATTCTCATTTTATTCCTTTACTTGATAGAAGACAAATATCAGAGGAAAACAACTAAAGACTTGCCATAACCATTTATATCCTGGATTTAGAAGAAATTTTTTGCCAGACTCCTTAGAAAGAGTTACACCAAGGAATTCTTTACTAAGCTACTTGCATTACATCCTCTTTAAATTTTAGTCCCCATTTATAACTCTATTAACACATCACCTACTCTTTGAATTGAGGATGCTGTATTCAAAAGCAAAAATAAGATTTATCTAGGTAAGCTTAAAATATAACTTTGTGAATAAATTCTTACCTGCTGGAGTCACTATTAAAAGAGAAACAATTTACACCAGATGAGTGACCTTTCAATTCAAAAGCACGTTTTACATCTTTGAATCCTCCTCCTTTGTCAAATATAACCTCCCAAACTTTAACATCTGGGGTAAAACCTAAAACAAACAAAATATACAGTCAAACCTGCCTTAGCGGTCACCTCTTTTTCAGAAGTCACCTGCCTTTAATGGTCACTTTCTGACCCTCCCAAACGTTTTCTCTATATAATTTTACTCTTTTCAGCAGTCACCTGTCTAACACGGTGAGCGCAGTGTTCTCCCCAGGATTTTTAGATAGCACCAGCATGACCAGGGTAATCAAGGCGACAAATGAGATATATGCATCGAACATAATTTGCATTGCGTTTCAACTCTTTTCCTCTATCCTCCTTAAGGTTAGTTCCCATAGACTTCTCTCTTTTTTTATTACCTTTTATCCAAGTGAGTTTTTCTTTTCTTTTGTACTGTGTTTTGTTGACATTAATTCAGTGTAAGAAATTATATTTTCAATTCAATCATAAGCATGAAGAGAAACGCGTTTGTAATACTAGGATGGTTTGCAACATCTTAAAAGACATATTATGGTTGGTAAAGTGCATAATATGGTTGGTACAATGTCTATATACTACCGGTTAGATTTCATTTGGAGTATTGGATCTGAGATCACCCACAGTTTTTGGTGGGGTTCGTGTTGCTTAGTCTTTAGTTTTCTATGTTGTGTCTTGTGTACTATTATTTGTCTGTTTGTTTTTTTTATTTTTTAGCCATGGCATTGTCAGTTTATTTTTGATCTATGAGTTTGACTGTCCCTCTGGTATCTTTCGCCCCTCTTTTTTTGCAGATATTACCTCTCATTTACAATGTATTTTTTCTATATTTATACAGAATTTTAATTTTTATTAAATTACATTCCATTTTAATAGTTAGCAATTATTTGTTTACTTATAAATAATCCTATGAGTAAACATATTTCTAACATGAGAATTTCAAAATAGCAAAAAATAGGGGGAGTAACTCTTTATGGATTTATCGTGAAAAGTTGTTTTTGCTGTTTAAAAAAATACTCATCATACCTTTGGGTGAAATGACAGAACCTTTTCAAAAGGACCCAGACTGTGACTGTCAATAGATATCACTTTAGGGTCCAAATTAATTGTGGCTGGTGTATAAAACTCATAAAATCAACTGCCAAACTGGAAGTAAACCGGCGGTAAAAAACGAAAGTTTAATTGTTGTAAAAGAGAAGGAAGACTCGTTAAAAGAGACAGGATATATGATGCTAGCTTGGACAAATTGCTCATACATAATAAAAATATGCATGATTGTCAATCATTATTATTTAATGGACCAACAGTTAATCTTTTATCAAGTATAAACAATTTTTCGGCATGTGTACAACTATCGGCAGTTAGTAATAGTTTCCAAATTAAAATTTCAGATTACATCACTGGTCTAGGCTTGGGTGGTGAGTGACGCCATAAAATTGTTGATTGAAGTCATAAATTATATCCATATTAATTAAAACATAAATGAAACAAATTACAAGTGCTAATTGATTGACTAAATCCAATCAGCAACAGGTAAACCTCATCATGTAAATCAATCACCTGTTGTAACTATCAATTCACTTGTAATTTCATACCACACAGATAAGATTTAACAAGTCACAATTTTACCGAATTAACAATTTTTTACCAAAAATTATAGCACCATGGAAGAGAAATATAGGACCATGCGAGGACTGATAGGACCACGCTCGGAAATTATAGGGTGCGGGTCTGTGGTGCTGTAAGGGCTTGGGGAGAACACTGGAGCGGTCACCTAATTCGCGAAATTTGAGATGAATTAAGGAATTTCTCGTGTTCCAGCCCTTCAGTTTCCTTAAAAACAGTATCATCAACTTATTTCTCCTCGAATATTAACTATTTTTCTTAAAATTTAGAGTGCAGGAATCTGCTTTTTTTTTTTGTCTATTCGCACAAACAATAACTATCTAAAATAATTTGCTCTGATCCAGGCCATGTGCAAAATGAAATAGGAATTTTTTTGGGAACCTCATTCAAAAAGTCACCTCTCTTGAGCGGTCACTTTTGATACTTCCCATGAGTGACTGCTTAGTACAGGTTTGACTGTACATACTTTTAATTTTGGTACCATATAATTCACATATTTCTTTTTCCTTTTTTTTAACGCATTAACTTTTGTAAATTTCTAACCATTATCAACCACTACAACTATGGTGCTATGTCATAAGACAGATTCTTAAAACTAGAGGCTTTAAAACGACTGAATTCGGTTTATTCACATTGCAGAGCCTTCCTTTAAAATCTCAATAACCTATAACACTCAAAGAAAGTTTTGCAATACTTACATTGAGATTAATTGGGGTTAAACTTTGAGGGCTTATATATTTGTAGAAAATCCTCAAAATGATCTGAAATTAACAGCATTCCTGTTCTGATGAGATGTTGACAACAACAAACTTACCTATATTTGTGTATATGTCTTTAAAATTAATTTTCGAACACATCTTTAATTTCTACAAATTACCTGAAGAAGCGACAAATCTCCCACAAGGTGAGACAGCACCATACACATTATTCATTTGATGGGTATCTATTGTAGAATAAACTTCACCTAAAAAACAGTCATAGAACCATTATTTCATTGATGAGGAATATTTCAACCTACTAAGGGTTGTTCCATAAAAACATACACATGACCCAGGGAAGGCACTTCTAAAATTCAACTATGGGTGGGTATCTAAATGTTATTGTGCAGTATAAATCATCTAAAGCTGAAATTTAAAATTACCTCTATAGGTGGTTACCACATTTTCCAATTAAAGTGGGTGACATGTATGTTTTAGTGGAACACCCATAAACATGACCATTTTCTAATTCATTTAATTCTTTAAATTCAAATTTTGTCAAAATGTATTTGTATCTATTAAATTGAAAGCATTTTACGAAGATATGATAAGCCATGTAAGAAAAATGTCAATGGACAAGTAGGTATTAAACAAGGTCAGAAGTTTAAATATGAGCAGCTTTGGTTAAGCTTGCTAAACCCCAAAATACTATCTTTGGAAATGTTTGAATATCAAAATCCCTTATTTACCATTATTGTGACTTGAAATGGACAAAGATTAATCAAACAGATCTAGACAGATCTTTGTCATAATAATGTGATTGTATGATGTAATTACTGTAAACCAACTTAATTTCGTGGATACTGTATTTCGTGTTACGCCCTTTCTAGTCCACTTTGCCGCGATTTAATTTTGCGATTTTCTAATTTATTTGATATAGTTAAATAGGGAAAGATCCAAGTTTTGCATATTCGAGACAATTTATATTCACATTATTTTTCTACTTGCGAAATTCGCGAAAAATAAATCGCTAGCGAAAATTAGTTGGTTTACAGTATTTAGGTCCAGTAAGTTTGTGTTGTTCAATTGCAATTGATTTCTCATTGATCATTCATAAAGAAATGATTCCATACCTGGTTTTGACCATACAGTTAATGTACACAAAATAAAATTTCGTACCTAAAAAGTGAAAGAATAGTCAACCTGTTGACATTAATTGGTAGAAGCAAAAGTAAGTGGAAGTTGCCTACCTTTTATAGACCATACAATTAATGTTGTATCTCTACTACATGTCATAATAAATCTGCCATTACTGGCAACGCCTATTTGTATAATCTCTGCTGTATGTTTCTACAAAATAAATAGACAGTTAGATGGCTATATATGTATTCACTGGAACATGAATGAGGACTTTGAGGCTTCCAGGTTATTTTCTTTTTTCATGGACCACAAGACATTAGGTGTTTTGTTTTTTGTTTTTCTTTTTGTATATATAGACAGTAAATTCTTATCTAACAGTATGCATTTTACTTTCATTCTTTTAAAGACAAAACACAGTTATCATTCTAAATCCATCTTTAAAATAATGGTTTCTTACTTTTGGAAAGTCCAAAGCTGCAGTTATATTTCCTGGAGAACCATCATCTTTTTTACCGATTCGTAAAATTCTAACTGTATTCTCATTTCCTAGGCATACAATAAAAGCCCTGAAAAACAGGTTTGTATAAAAGAGAAGATGATAAACAATTATATGTATGTTAAGTCTTGCCAGTTCTCATTTCGCATGTTATGCCAGAAGGTTTTATTATCCACATTATATGCAAAATGATAAAAATCACCTGTCAATCCAATAATGTTAATAGCAAATTTTTGTTTTTACGTTTATTGATGCACATACTGTATTAAACCAACTTTTCGTATGCAGATACTTTTTGGGGGCATTTAGGTTCTAATTAATAAGATGACTTTGCTGCAATTTATTTTTACAACTTTGAAAATTTTGTTCATATCTTTATATCAAGAGAAAATCCATTTTGACATAATCATATTAATTTCTCTACTCACAAAATTCACATAAATAAATCATTAATGAAAAAAGAGTTGGGCTACAACATATAAACTAACCCCATCTTTACAGCATTCAAAACATTTTCTGATCAGATTTTGCTATAGCAATTATTTCATAAAAACAGGCGAACCGAAATAAGGAATATTAAACACTTATTTTTAAGTACTACTTAAATTTCATATTCTATATTAAGACATCCTAAACATATGGTATATCCCCTCAAGTCTGATCATTTATCTGAGACAAAAAACAACCTAAGAACAAAGGACAAGGAAATAATTTATAAGCCATATCCAAAGCACATTATAAAACAAGAAATGTTACCGTCTTTTGGTGTGTATAGTATACAGGTTTTTATCCTGGGAATGATTTCTGAAAAGGGGGGTGCGTATTATGTATGGCTACACTGTTCTTGACTTTTTTCAGGCCGAATTCCGATCAAGAAACCAGGTGGTCTGGAGAAAAATATTTTCGTAGCATAAACTTGATTGTTGTTATGTATTACATGTTTATTTGTACCTTCTTGTATCTGATTTGTAATGTATGAAAATAAAAAACATTTAAATGCTTTAGTAGTTGTTTTTTGGGTTTTCTTGTGTTCTGTGTTGCTGCCTGGAAGTTGCATTTGATCATGTCCAAATTAGAGATGAAGGATTCTGTCAATGGCCAAATTAGTGTAGGTGTTTCTCGAGTTTATTACTTACTTTGAATATGTGTTCTAACAAGGAATACAGAAGGTAAATGTATGAAAATTGAATGAAACACGCCCGTTTGATGATCGCGACCGCCATTGTTTTTTACTTTTGTAGTTTCAGGTGATCATGTGTCATGTGACTTTTAACGGTTGTAAAGTTGAATAAAGTGATGATTTTAAACACATTTTCATTTTGTAACATTTTTCAAAAAACCTTCCTACAAATCATAATTGCAGACATGTCAATGCCATTTTGTAAACTGTACAGATTTGATTAAGGAACAAAATTAATCTGTCAATTGATTTGTTTTACCAACGATTAGACTTCCTAATTGATTATCAATAAGAGTGTGATAATCCAGATTAAACGATTCAATGCATATGAGTACCAACAAACCATAAATAAAATTATCAGAGATTAACATTTATTTCACAACTAATTTATCAACATAAATATTACAATTTATTTATTTCTTGTGTATTTAAGAATATTTGTAATCATTCCATATTCCGTACAAGATTCACCAACTATGATTTGTATTTAAACAACTTCCTGATTTAACACTTCCTGTTGTTCTCAATCAAACACATCCGTGGAAACAATAAAGAATCAAACATTGTTTGCTAAATTATTTATTCTGCAACAATATTTTCATTATCCTGTAGTCAACCAGTTCAATTTGTCTCCAAAAAAGAAATCATTTTCAATGGACACATTTTACTGAGTTTCAAGTTGGGATTTTTCCAAAAAGCAGGGGTTCAATTTAACATTTGGTACTGGAAGGTCCAGGACCTTTGACACTCCAAACTGAAAGGTCCACAACCTAAATTCCAGGTCCTACTTTTACTTGAAATATTTCCTAACATAGTAAGATACAAGTATCAAAATTAATGTGCTGTTGGTGTTAGGTCAACTTGTTTCATTGTCAAAGTCACTGTTGTATAAAATATTTAATAACAATTGTAATTGTCTTGTATATTATAAATTCAGATAATTTTTTTTTTTGTTATTGAGGAGGGTGTCACCATGGGTGGGTGTGTTGTCTCAACTATTGGTAATTTATTACTACTTATACCATTTTATAAAACAGTTCAAATTTAAAGCTGTTTAAGCAGAGACGTATATACATGTGTATATATGTGACTGGTTTAAGTGTATCATATCTAGTTGCACTATTATAATGCATTAGTTCCTCTGTGAAAATAAAATAAGAAACTTCCAGATTTGTACTGGTCCTTTAAAATTGAGAAGACATTACCTCTTGGAATTGTAGTAATACGTTTACACTATACAAAAATCTACATGTAATATCAATATTTATTAATGATAAAGAAAATTACTGTCACATTTTTTTGGATTTTGAGAGGAAAATTTATGAACTAAAAGTAATTTTGAGTTTCTGTAAAAAAATATTTCCTACTTTTTCTTTCTTTTTCTATATATCTTTTGGTTTTCAATTCTAGTGTTTATATTTTATCATCATAGATGTATTTTGTCAACTGCCTGGAATTATTATTTTTTCATTGTATTTGATCGGCAAACCCGGAATTACCCTTATCCACTCCGGAATCGGATCCGTTTTTTGTTATTTTCTTTATTTCCGGTTTATGGCATCCAATGTTTTTCAATGTTGTTTTGTCAGTCAGATACGATTTTACTCGGATTTATACATTACTAGTTGGTAATTTTCGGTATAAAGCTAGCGGTTGAACAAAATGAACATCGCTGTCATGAATAATAATGATGAAAATAAATTTTGAGATTGTTTGGAAATTTTTGTTTAAAAAGGTCGGCAAAGTTTATTTTTATTTCTTTCAAACCGAAGGTCCGTCGGGCGTAGCTTGTAACCAAAACGAGAGTCCGACTGCAAAAATGGAAGGTCGCGGACCTCGGAACACCGCTAATTTGAACCCCTGAAAAAGTCCCTGCATGTAATTCAGAAGAAGAAACTTTTTTTCTCAAGTTTCAAGGGTGAAAAAGGGGGGTGCGTACTATGCATGAGTGGGTTTTATACACAAAAGACGGTAGTTTTCTTATGGCCCAGATTAATCAAGTGTAGGATATCTCAATAAAACACCTTTTTACAAATACATACTTAGAATCTGGTGAAAACTTTACTCTGGTCCCATGGTCAAGTTCTATATTTCCACGAATAAATCTGTAAAATATATGTGTATGTATTGAAATATATAACTGTAAACACATATTAAGAAACAGCCAAATGTCACATGTAACGTGATTTATTTACTAGTAATTAATGAGATCTTTTTAAGCTTTTAAATTTTAATAGAAGTGCTTTCCCTTGTATATGGAAATATATAACAATATTCTGTATATACTGTGGATTCATTATTATTCGTAGGATACCAATTTTTGTGGATTTAGTGGATATAGGTACACCATGAATTTAAATGTTCAACGAAGTACAAATTCATGATAGGATTGTGAATCCATGGTACATAAATCAAGAATTTGCGCTTTGTGGTTTAGATTTATGGATTAAATACTTTTGATTAAAATTTTGCATTTAGCCATATGTATGTTTCAATTTAGAGAATATTGTTGTCAATGTTGAATTTACCCATTCTGTGTGACATTGGCATATCTTTTTGTTAAAAAACATACATCAAACAAAAGCTTGATTTTTTTAACTGCACTTCCTAGAACATTTATTTCAAAATTTTAAAGGATATATATTGCAAATTACAGTCATCACAGTATTATAAATTATACAGACAAAGACAAGTAAAAAATATTTAAGATAAATCATTTTTGTAAATGTTTGTACTATGAATAAATGTTACAATAGCCAGTAACATGTTTTTGAATGCTGTTGTTTCTAAATAGTGAAAGAAAATTTTCAAAGATAAGAGAATAATTTTCAAACAAATAAATTTTCAAATATTCTGCTAATACTTGATCACTGTTATGATTCTGGAGTGAGAGATAGTTGGTGCATTGATGATTGATCATTGCAATTGGTTGATTCAAATACCATCACTAATTTATTGTAGCACACCACCATTATTGAGCACATATTTTTCATGTTATGAAACAATTTAAAGTATGACTGTCAACTCACTTGTGCTCTTTCTTACTGAACTCTTTTGTACTCCACAGCATAGCAGATCTATCTGAAATCACATAATAAAATCACATAATAAAATTTAATCTTTCAGAATCCAATCATATTATTAAACTTTTTTCTTTTTTGTTTCCATATCTTATTTGATGTTTGTTGTTTGTTCTTGTTTTGTGCTGTTGCACTGCTGTCCTAGGTTGGAGAGGATTGAGAGCTCAAAGACATGTTTGACCCCGCAATATTCTGCATGTACATGTGCCTGTCCCCAAGTCAAGATCATGTGATTCAGTGTCCGTCATATGTTTTTTGGTTAATTGATTCATTAATTATTACCACTTAAACTCAACATTTTCAAACTACAAACATTTCATACAAGTCAAGAAAATTTTGAAGTAAAAGTTGTGGACAGAGAAAAATTTAAATTGAAAAAAAATGAAAAAGAAGGCAGATCTAAAAATCACCTACATCATGTACATGATATAACTCAATATCATCAAGCACTAGACCAAATATAAAATCGTTTCTTAATTAAAAGGCTGCATAATACAAATGACAAATTTCAGTTCAGATTTACGGATATAATAACACAATTAAACGCATACTGTTATGGTGGTAAACGATGGGCCTTACATTAGCCCCTCCTTTCATGATTGACAAGTGTACATGAATAATATACAGTACGACCTGTGAAATACTCTGATAAATGGTGGCCATGTAATGTATGTCCACCATGGTGTTCCTCAATGTCTATCATTATACCACCAGTGGTTTTATTAATACAGATGCACATTCTATTATTAACAACCAAATCACCAGTTAAGGGAACTGATGATTGCCTTTTTTGTGATAAATTTACCTTCAGCAGTTGAGATTAAATATTTTCCATTTGGACTGAAGTCAAAACCAAGAACTGGGCTGCTATGTCCTCTAAGAATGGTAGCCAGCCATGCATGACTAAATGGTACATGCTGTATCCGTTTATGTCGTTGGGCTGGTTTTGACTTCTTCATCTGCTTTTCAGTCTTATTCACTTTCTTTTCTTCAGTTTCTGTTTTCTGTTCTGAAATCAACAAAAGGTAGTTAACAATATCATGAATATTGACCATTAGCAGTTCAACACAAAACTAAAATGTTTCTTTCTTTCCATTTCTTTGATTTCATGTAGTACAACAATCATGTACATAAATATACTTTCTGCTATTGTCATGATGTTGCTGTATGAAATCTACTCATAACAGTTAAGAAATTAAATGTTGCATCAGTAACAATGAGCATTCTCTTTTTCATGTTTTTCGTACTTATTTACAGTAAGATTAAAATTTATAGTCGGTTAAAGAGCTCACCAGAGCTCATGTTTTATCTGTTACTATGTACATACAAAATGTATATGCCGACTTTAAATAAAATTGACTCACTTACTTACTTACAGGGTTGTTTTACTTTAGTTGTTAAAAAAACCAACCACATTTAAATATAAACTCTTCAGTGGTTGCCATAAGTTATATATCTAATAAGCATATTTGTTAGTTAAAGAATTTGGCATTAAGTTGCAGATTTTTGTAGTCTTAAGTTTTTGCAAAACTTGATCTGGAATGGAGATGGTAAAATGTCTATAGTTGCAAATTTGACATTGATTCTGTTTATTTTCTTTGATGGTCACTGTTTATACCCCTGGCCATCTTACTTATTCACTCAAAATCTTATATTAACATGGTTCAAGTACATGGGAATATAGAGTAAAAGTCAATGAGACAGGAGCACAACAATAATAAAAAAAAATTTTAATCTTGGCATTGCTAGAGCTCCAAACAAAAATGAAGTGGGTCATCGCACCTCTGCACATATCAGATCAGTTGGAATTGCAATTATTTTATCATTATTTTTGGATATTTTTGGAAACATTTTGCACTGGTCAACAGGCATGCTAAAGTTAAGACTTTGTATACATGTACATGTACAGTACAAATAAAATGAATAGGATCCCAAACTCTAAACACAGCAATAATTCCTGGAGTCACACCAGGAAACTCTGATATCCCTCCCTAAATTCTTGGAGGAAATTGGGAGATCTCTTCCAACACAGTGTGACTCGGTATTACACCAAGAAACTAATTGCCCTAATCCTACTTATCTATGCCGACACACGACAGTCAGGATCATATTTCTTATATAATAAACGATTGTATTTCCTGTATATTTATAATCAGGTTTGATGTCCAATTGCCTTAAACAAATAAATGTGTTAAAAGTCAAATGTTGTCTTTAATTCGTTCAATGTGATTAAAATGGATTTTTTTAAATTGAAAAAAGAACTTTTCTTGATTTTGACCTCGTTTTTTCTCACCTGTAAAATAATATTTTATTTACGAAAATGAACGTGCTTTTTTAAAAATAATTGGAAACCGCCACTGAATAAAAGTGAAAATTTTAAAGAAAATTATATGTCTCGAAGTTTTATATATGCAAATAAAGAAACAAAAAAATTTATCAGTCAACTATATTCATTTAAGGTTGATGAAAATACGGTGCATGTTGTTCAGTAGGACTTTGATATCCTCAGTGATACAGATCATTAAATTCTGTCCATTTATAATTTTAACATAACCTTTTCGTTTTTGCATAAGTGGATGCTCGGGGCACACGAAATAATTTCATTTAATTGTTTTTCGTAAATTTATACAATTTTTTTTCATTGAACATGTTGAAATAAGACAATATTATTTTTTAATAACACCAAGGATTTATAACTAACATACGGATTACCCTCATCCCATTTTATTTTATATAATTAAAGATCAATTACAGAGGTAAACACATGTATTTTTTTTCCATATAATTAATTAAGTTGTGCATGTTGTGTTATGGCTTGGGTGGAAAATTTCTCAAAATGCTTATCAAGACTATAGCGTATGTTCATATGGTTTTCATTCAAAACAAAGGGCTACACAAACTTTGATCCCATTTGTACAAATGAGCTGTCACTTGACAGTTTCTTGACATTTTCTTCTTGAAACTCAAATAATTCAAGTAAGTTACGTAACAACATGGTGAAACATTGCAAAATAAATTAAGAATGAGAGAGTTCACTTAAATTCATCTGCTTTCATTGCAATATTTCCTGAAATCCCGAAGTTAACCATATGAATGAAATCCGATTTCCAGAACTAAATCCATATTGCATGTTAACACAATGAAGTTTTTGAAAACGACAATGACATGGGGCAAAAACATATAATAATTATCTTTTTCTGAATGATGATGTCACATCTTATCTGTCAAAAGAAAGGAAAACCTTTTTCTATTGTAGTTGAATACAGTATTGTTAAAGCACACAGGTGTAATCAAGATCGATTAAAAGTACATACATCATGTACATGACATAGGTAAATAATCTGGCTAATCAGATTATGTAGTCAAGCATCGTTAATTTTTAGTACATCCGATGAGCAATAAATCAATTAACAGCCACACGGTGTTGGGAGTATAATCCTTGATTTGCGGTGTGACACCGCTATACTACAAAATCGGTGGATAGAGTTCACGATTATTCTTTCTCTACGCGTACTGTATACATGTATGCAAAAATTTCTAGTCATCAATGAAGATTTCAAGGCAAAATTGAGCCTCAGAGTTGAGATGAAAATTCTCTTTCAGTCCAGATCTAGAGGAAAAATGGCTTGAGTGTTATGATGTCGAAGGAAGGTGTCATAGCAAAAAATTTTAAATAGCCTTTCAAACCTCATAATTATTTGGTCTACAATTTTACATAACGGTGACATGGGGACCATGTAGTAAAAAAAAAAAGAGTACCTGTCAACATAATAATTTGCCCTAAACTGGCACAGTGACTGTGCATGAATGATAGTTTTCAGCTTTTGAAATTGCTTTTCAATTAGTATATGGATATAGATACAGCATATAGTGTAATTCCATAATTTTTGTAAATGCAGAAAGGGAAATTATTTGTTAATGAATAATGTTATTAAAAATGTTCCCTTAACTTTAGCGTGAAAATAAAATAATACCATCTTCATCCTTTTTGTCGGCACGTCTTCCGACACTGCATAAAAGAACGAATAATAGGACTACAGCTCCAACTGCAGCAGTTACTGCTAACGCCGGTACAGAGTTTTCTACAGAATCCGCCATGCTGATGAGTTGGAAAATAATTTTCGATAGTCCTCTTACTTTTTCTTCTTTTGTGTGGATATCCCCTGAAGTATACGACCGTTTCAATCTTACAGATTTTAAAATACAAAACAACTTTTATAAATTATTTAAAACAATTTCAAAAATTATAGCCCCATTTATGATGAAAATAATTGGAATTTCATCATATACATGAAAAAATTAAAAAAATGATTGAATGTTACCTTCATCTCAAACATAGATATTTCAAAATTATATTTCATTTATTTCGTTTTATTTAATGTTTAGAATTTTAGATGATCCTAAATAAACATTACCTACTTTCGCTTTTGAATGAAGCTGAGTTTGCAAATTGAAGTGTCAAGTTGTAACCTGTAACCTATCTAGCAGAATTCTGAAAATGGCATCACGTTCTTTGATTACCAATACCTTCAAGTCTGTCAAGACTTCTAAAGGAAAAGATAAAAATAAACCAACAAATGGTATTTTAAAATGCTGAATTTTTATAGTTTGATATTGATATTTTTAAACCAGAGACATATACAAATAATGTTAAATCCCTTTTGGGATTCTGAGTTAAGAGCAATCTTCTGATTTGGCCGCTTTGAGAGTGTCCAAATTAGAAAATTGCTTCTGACTCAGAATCCCAAAAGGGATTAACAAATGTAACCCAACTTAGAAATTGGTAACTCCATGTACACATGTAATGACCATATAATTCTATTGAAATATAATCATGATAATAGTTCTTATATTATTTTTTAACTTATTTTTCACATCTGAGTTCATCATGTTCATTAATTGCTTAATGTCAGATTTTCTTCAGGTTTCTTTAATTACAGTATAGGCATGATCATTGATGATAGGTAGGTTTCTATTGACACAATTTGAACAGGAGTTACTCCCTTTGGTCCCTATGTTCAGGGATCTCCATGACTTGTTTAATGATGGCTTACCGCCATCTTTAAATTATCTTCCACCATCGACAAATGATCCCTGCCATCATTAAATTATCTTCAGCCATTGTCAATTAAATGGTCCAACCCATTCATGCCATTGTTTAATACAAAAATGTAACTGCACTTTGATTGAAAGGTGTACATAGTAAAAATTTGTTTCCATTTCGCTAGCCGCTGCCATTTTGCTAGCAATTATAACCAATTGCCTGTGATTGCATAACCCCTATTGTATTATAATCCTCCTGATTACTGAGACATGTTCAGATAATGATAGCTAATCACTTGTATAAGGTAGAAGGACACACCTGACGGGAGAACACTTGATCAAAAGAGATGATTTATTGCATTATTTAATTACTTTTCAGCAAATGCTGATGAAAATTTAGATTAAAAAACAAAATTTAAATTCAATTATGAAGAAAAAAGTTAAATAAATCGAACACATGCTCTTATTGACTTACACAATCAGCATTCCCCTTTTTAAATGAGTACAAGGTTAGACTTGTAATTGTAAAACTGAACATAATTTCATGCCAAATAATGACAATTATCAATCATAATGAATCATTTAAGTAGTTTTAAAGTAAATACTCGTACATGTATATTAACTGCAACATGTGCAACTTGATAACCTGAAGAAATTTTGTATCATAAATCCGAATTCATGTCATAGTTTACAAACAAAACATGTTCAACCCTCAGCAGTTTTGTGCCTATCCCAAGTCAGGAGCCTCTAGCCTTTGTTAGTCTTGTATGTTTTTTTTTATTTTTGTTTATTTATATGTTTCAGATTTTAGTGTGACGTCCATTTTTGTTGAACTAGTACACATTTTTGTTAAGGGGCCAGCTGAAGTCCGGATGTGGGATTTTCTCGCTGTGTTGAAGACCCATTGGTTGCCTTGGGCTGTTTTTTGCTCTTTGGTCGGGTTGTTGTCTCTTTGACACATTCCCCATTTCCATTCTCAATTTTAATACATTCAAATTACATTCATAATTGAAAGATGCATGTTTCATGATCTGTTACTGTGGAATTTGCTATTTTAAGTCATTAAAACCATTTCAGTTTCACACTTTTGCCCTCCACAAATCTGTACTTAATGTTTTAAAAAAAAGGGGACGAAACTTCCTTTTGTTGATGCTGCCAGGGGTTCAAATTAGCTGTGGTCTGAGGTCCGCGACCTTCCACTTTTGCAATCGGACTTTCGACTTGGTTACTAGCTACGCCCGACGGACCATCGACTTGAAAGAAAATAAAGAAATAACTTTGAAAACTTTTTACCAAAGTCTCCAAATAAACGATCTCAAAACTTATATCATCTTTATTATTCATGACAGCGATGTTAATTTTGTTCAACCGCTAGCTTTATACAGAAAATCGCCGACAAGTAAGTTCAAGTAAGGTGTAAATTCGAGTAAAATCGTATCTGACTTGACAAAAACAACATTGAAAAACAATGGATGCCATGAAGACAATTACAATATCGGGTCCAATTCCGGAAGCGGATTAGGGTAATTCCGGATTTTGGCGATCAACTACATAAAAAAAAATTCCAGGCAGGTGACAAAATATATCTATGATTATGAAATATAAACACTAGAATTGAAAACCAAAAGATATATGGAAAAGAAAGAAAAAGCAGAAAATATTTTATACAGAAACTCAAAATTACTTTTTGGCAAATTTTAATGTCAAAATCCAATACAATGTGACAGTATAAATTTTCTTTATCAGTGATAAATGTTGATAATGCATGTAGATGTTTTTAAAGTGTAAACATATTACTGCAATTTCAAGGGGTAATTTTTTCTCAATTTAAATTTTGAAGGGCCTGTTAAAATAGCTGGAAGTTTCTTATTTTATTTTCACAGATAGTACAACTAGATATGATACCTGAATGTAAGCAAATCAGCATAAGCTCTAGTGGACTTTACAATCGAGCTGAAATACGTGTGAGCCCTGAGATAATCATGGCATAATTAGCAATTTAATATCAATCGTTGAGACAACACACCCATCCACAGTGACACCTTCCCCAATACCAAAAAAAAAAGATTACTTGAATTAATTATATACAAGACAATTACATTTATCGTGAAAAACCGTGAAACAAACAATGAAATAAGCTAACCTTATACCAAAAGCACATTAATTTTGTATCTTACTGAGTTATGAAATATTTTAAGTAAAAGTAGGACCTGGAATTTAGGTTGTGGACCTTTCAGTTTGGAGAGTCAAAGGTTCTGGACCTTCCAGTACCAAATGTTAATTTGAACCCCTGGCTGCAAATCATCGATCCAGGTTTGTGACTTCTGAATTGAATTTGACACTACTACTACAGGAGTGTTTGACAGTGAGAAAAACGGTCCTCATTTTAACAAAATTTCCAAAATAGCGGAAAAAAACAACTCTGGAAACCTTCTGACAGGCAAAAACTTTGACGCTAACTAGGTTAACAGAACAGCTGAATTGTGGTTATCCTTAACTAAGATGAGTCATGCAGGCTTAACATTGGAATTGTTACAAATGACAATAAATGAAGATATTGGTTATTCTATAATGAAATGAATATAATAAACAATATATCAGTCTATTCACTATTCCTTACAATGAAATGTAGGAATGAATATTTTCGATCACAACACACAGGGTTTTGTCCTGGTGAGAGTTCCTTCATCGTTAAATTTTCATCCATGGAGATTCCTACATGTTGGAGGTCTAAGTGCACAAATTCCTTCATAAACCAGACAAATTCCCCTTGTTATACTGACCGCTACAGTTTAGAAAAAGTTAATGTTTTCTGAACAATTATAATTTCTTTTAGCCTTGCTTGATTCATCACTACAATCTAGTAAGGATCTTTCATGCTAGTTTTTACCCCATGTTTCAATTTAGTTAGTCAAATAGGAATATAAACCATTTACTCCTCCAAAATGGCGACCAAGGGAAATAATTCAAAACTTAAATTACGTCATATCAAAACCTATCATTCAAAATTCAATGTTATCAAAGTAATCTACATTGAACAATTGAATATTTCTATTCACAAATGTGATTTTTTTAGTATTCACTTCTTGTATATGAAAAGCTTTATATATTTTTATTTCTGACAGGTTAAGTATATAAAGTATAATTTTCCAAAAAGAAAAATGAAATGGAAATATTAATAGCAAAAGTTGAACAATTACAAAAATGTCCAGGTTTTCCTTTTTTGTTTGAATGATTTGATTTTCAATGGTTTATTGACCACATTTTCTTTTATTGTGTATTCCAGATGGTCATCCAAGCACAAGTAAAACAGATGTAAAAGATGAATTGGAAATATTGAAGCATTTTGATGTCACATTAGAGTTTGGTCCATGTTCAGGTATATATTGTTTTATAGAATGATATTCCATCATTAAAACATTTTCATATTTTTTACCATTTTTTTATTAAAAGAGGTAATTTCACTCTTAATTTATTAGCATTGAAAAAGAATACGACTTAAATAGCTTGCATCAGCCAATGTACAATAAATTATTAAATCACATTATGTAAGTAAAGTTAACATTATTTAAATTCTCCCTCACCATGCTCATCTGAATTTAAAGTATTTCTTTACTAAATTCCTTAGTATAAATAAAACAAAACTCTAATATAGATTTGGTCTCTCGCATTAACTTGTTCTTTTCTCTTGCAAACAATTTTCAATAACAAAATAATCTAACATGATTTAATAACAATATTTAAATTGACATTTGCATACAACAAAATTTTCCAACACATCATTACATGTCTATGTAAATGAACTTAAACTCAATATGACAATACACAGTAAACTGTTACTGTGAGCACCTTTGATAAACTGACAGCGTAACAATTTCTTTATATAGTATAACAGAACCCCACCCTTTAAACAGCCAAAGGATATGAAGTGCATATATATAACCCATACATTAAAATCCAAAATAACAATAACCCATTTTACAACTTCTCTAACCAGTTTTGAGCATACATAACTATATAAAACACAGGGCAAATTCCTAACTTCAAACGAAAAGAAATATATGTATATTTTAGGTATTACAAGAATGGAAAGATGGGAGAGGGCAGATAAACATGGCCTAAATCCTCCAGTCATTGTGAAGGAAATCCTAGATAAACATTCTGATGATGATGAATACACAGAATGGTGAGATTTATATAATATTGTGAGACAATATAGTTATCATAATGATATTTACACATATTATTGGCTATTTTTCTAATTTTAGAAATATTTTAACAGTCTATTTAAAGGCTACTTCAAATTCTACTTTGTAGTGACCGTTCAAAACATGCTTAAAAATTTATGTTACTGGCTATTTATAGAGATTCTTAGAAAAGGGAATACATGTAATATCTTTGATAGTGATTCTAAGCTTATTTCATAGACTCTTAAATAAAGTAAAAAAGTTTCTTTTGAAAGTGGGGAAGGATTAGAAAATGATATACATGTATATGGATAAAATGAGATATGGGGTAAATGTCAATAAGACCTAACAACTACAAAACAAATTACACCTAGAGGTCAACTTACATTTATCAACTATAGATGGGTATACAATATGTCAAGTTCTGTATCATTTTCAGTATGTTAGGTGGGAAAGGTTACTGCACTGAAAGTTACAAAATTATAAATGTTTTCATTTAGATGCATAATATATCATATTATTATACCTCAGTATGTATTTTCTATATATAATCAAATACAATGAAAATGACTTTTTTCCCTAGGGAAATAGTTTCAATGACTATTTTCCCTTGGAATAACGGTTTACCAGAAGCAATCGTTTTCCCAAACTTTTTTTATTCTTCAGGTGTTCTAATTTTGACATTCAGTTACTTTGATACCAGAGATTAACAGATAACGTTTTATCATACACCACAGCTGATATAGTTTTGTTTCTGTTTGAATTGGATCAAGATTTTTTTTTCTTAGATAATTCAGTATAATAAAACAGTTATTTAACAGTTATTTCAGAATATAGCAATTTTATTTTCCGCTCAACACAAACCATTTCCCTCGGCGGGGTGTCATGAAATATTTAGTGTCTTGGGAAAAATAAAATGGCTATATCCCTCAATACTGTTGAATAACTGTATAATATTACCAGATAATCTAAGGCACTCAACCAGAAGATCAATTGAAATAACTTATAAAATTTTCTTTTTCAGTCTTTGGAAAGACTATCCACTTTAAGGATATGAACAGAAAATCCTCTCACCATGAAGTGTTCCAAACAAGAGACAGAAGTGAACTCAAATCATTATAATAATTTATTGGTATACATGTAAATTAGAAATCCATTTAACTATTAAGTCTACGTTTCAGTCATGAAAATATTTGTTTTCTTTTTGATAGGGTGTCTAGTAATCAGTTTTTCACTTTTTATCAAATAAGATTGATTTTAATTTTAGTCCTTACTAAAATAATAAATGTGATTGCTAGTCGGGTAAAACTCATTTTTAGCTGCTAATTATTCATGTAAAAATATAGCAAAACTATAACATTATAAAAAATAATATTCACAATGCAGTCTGAGTAGAACTAACATGTTACATAAGGTCAAGGCATAGATTTTCAAGATCTGACACATACTGTATTTATGGTACTTTCTAAATACCCATGTTCTTTATTAGATACATGTATATGAATTTGTATCAACAAATGCTTAATGCTTGTCTTGTCTTCTTCTTTTTTTTTTTTTTTTTTAGAAATACATGTTTTTGTGCCATAACAAGGACTTTAATAAAAGTAAAAACAGCATGTAGTTAAACTAAATTTTCAAAGCTATTCCATACTTTTATGGAGCCAATTTTTTCAATACTTAACATCATCATTACATGCAATGTTTCATAAAACAAAATATTCAAAAGCTACAAGCATGTAGAAAAAATGTATTTTACAAAGTTCTTTTTCCAGAAAAATATAATATACTTGTTTTTGAATTTTAAAACTTGTTCCATTTTGAACTTGAGTAAAAGATGGAATTAAAGTAATATTATAATATTACAGTTTTATTTGTGACGTTAATCAACACACTTGTTCTTTTTATGCCCCTGTCGTCGTGGAGGGGGCATTAAGTTTTACCCTTGTCCATCCATACGTCCCAAAGTTGGTTTCCGTTCTCTAACTTGAGTTTGCCTCTACCAAATGTTATGAAACTTATACACAATGCTTATTACCACAAAACACAGATCAAGTTTGAATTTTGGTGGCGTCACTTTTACTGTTCTAGAGTTATGCCCCTTTACAAATGGAAAAATTGCTGAATTTTTCGTTTTCGTTCTCTAACTTAAGTTTGCCTCAACCAAATGTGATGAAACTTATACACAATACTTATTACCACAAAATTCAGATCAAATACAAATTTGGGTAGCGTTACTTTTACCGTTCTTCAGTTATGTCCCTTTATAACTTTATATGATATGCAAGCTTTATATGATATCCACCTGGGGCATCATCTGTGTCCCATGGACACATTCCCCATTTATTTTATTATTGAAATGACACATTTTTGATGTTATAAGTTCAGTAATAACATTGTTAAACTCAGCCCTGGATTACTACAGAAAACTTTTCACAGGTGGAGCTTTAAAAAAACATTTTAACCATTCAATAATACTTATAAATTCTATACCATTTGCAATACAGTATACTAATATGCTCTTTAATGCACCAACTACCTGATGACAGTTATACCTACAAGACGACCTTTTCTGATCTGATCTTTCATGTGCCCCTCCATAAGAGATGGAATTTGAGACTTAGTTTTGATAAAAAGTTCTGTCAAATTAGTATTGAGTAAATTCATATTTAAAGGATTTAGTCTCTTTTACATGTTCTTTTACAAGCTACAGTAGTTCAATTAACAATTTTGTTAGTCAAACTAGAATCATGTTAAATGCTTAAGTTTATGTCTTGTAAAAGGATGTCTAATCTAATGAACAGAAAATGGTAAGACTATCCACTTTAAGAATATGGACAGAAAATCCACTCACCTTAAAGTGTTTCAAACAAGAGACAGAAATAAACTCAAATCATCATTATAATATTGGTATACATGTAAACTTGAAATCCATTTAACCATTAAGGTTATGTGTCATATATGAAAATATTTGTTTTTTTTTTGATAGGATGTATAAGCATGTTTAGACTTATTATATTTATGTATACAGGAGTCATATTACATACTTACTTGATAATTACACATTTGTTATGATTGTTTATTTCTAGAATTTTTTTGTTGTGCTATTTATAGATGTTTTTTTTCTAGATTTTATATTATTAGACTTTAATATATTTTACAATTATTTTGATTAGTTATTATTTTTGTTTTTTTGTAGTTATACATCTTCCAGCGGTTTAAACATTTTTATATCTGTGTGCAAAAAGTTTTAGTGTCATTACAGTTTGTGTTTTATACCGATCTCTTACCTCTTGGTCTCATTATGAATATGTGTTTTTATTTTGTAAAACATTAGCATTTTGTGTGTGTTTTGGAGCACTTGTTTGTCATTATTTCTTCGGTCATTTATGCTCTTATCAAATGACCACAATTATTCATGTTTGTTTTGATTTCTCCAAAAATTAACACCAGTATATGCGTGCATCATAACATATATTTTACTCGTCACATCTGAGACAATCTTGATTAATGAATAAAAGGAGATGTGGGATGCACATCAATGAGACAGCAACTTAAGGTCACAAATTAACATCAAGGTTAACATACAGTCGTCAACAATAGACATGTATTTTTTTAAATATATTAAACTCTAAATTGCCCCAAAAGTCTACAAAAGTCAGGAATACATTTAATTAATACTATGAAAGACCTACCATCATTACCAAATTAGATAAATTGCTGAATTTTTCGTTTCCATTTTCTAACTTAAGTTTGCCTCAACCAAATGTTATGAAACTTTTACACAATGCTCAGATCAAGTAGGAATTTGGGTAGCATCACTTTTACCATTCTTGAGTTATATCCCTTTATAACGTTATATGCAAGCGGGGAACATCATCTGTGTCCCATTGACACATTCCCCATTTATTTACTGTTGAATTTCCTACTGAAGGATATTGGTTCTCTACAGGCGCTCTGGCCTCCTCCACCAATAAAAACTTACCGCCCTGAAATAGCTCAATAGATAAAATAAAAAATGTTTTCATGAGCTAAGCCTGCAAAGTTCTATCCCAAAAAAATGATGAATGACACCAAACACAACATGATACAATGGCTATGCATGTGTTCATAAAAATTGCTACAGGAATAATATTGTCAAGCTTCTGCAAAATGTTTCAAAGTTTTTAATGGAAAGAAATTAGATTGGGAAATGCTTCAAAATTGACCTTTAGAAAAAATAATAAAATAGAGGCGAAAGATACCAAAGGGATAAACAAACTCATAAGTCGAAAAAGTAATTGACAATTCCATGGCAAAAAACCAAACACACCCAAAAGACAAACAACAGTATACAAAACACAACATAGAAAACTTAAGACTGAGCAACACGAACTCCACCAAAATCCTGGAGTGATCTCAGGTGCTCTGGAAGGGTAAGCAGATCCTGCTCCATATGTGGCACTCGTCATGTTGCTCATGTAAGTACAAAGACGATGAAAAGTCTAATTCGGTAGGTCACATTCGGGGAAAAGAGGACTTCACAGCTTCAAATCTATTTGAAATCCCACAGCTTGGAATCTAGTGGAAACCCCACAGCTTTGAATCTGTTACTCCGCAGCTTTGAATCTGTTACTCCGCAGCTTTAAATCTACTAGTATTTTAAACCCCACAGCTTTGAATCTATTTGAAATTCCACAGCTTGGAATCTATTTGAAACCCAACAGCTTTGAATCTATTTGAAACCTCATAACTTTGAATCTACTAGTATTTGAAACTCCACACCTTTGAATCTATTTGCAACTCAACTGCTTTGAATCTATTTGAAACCGAACAGCTTTGAATCTACTTGAAACACAATAGCTTTGAATCTACCAGTATTTGAAACTCCACACCTTTGAATCTATTTGAAACCCCACAGATTTGAATCTTTTTTAAACCCCACAGCTTTGAATCTATTTGAAACACCACAGCTTTGAATCTATTTAAAACCCCGCAGCTTTGAATCTACGAGTATTTGAAACCCCAAAGCTTTGAATCTATTTGAAATTCCACAGCTTTGAATCTGTTTGAAACCCCACAGCTTTGAATCTATTTGAAACTCCACAGCTTGGAATCTATTTGAAACCCCACAGATTTGAATCTATTTGAAACTTTAAAGCTTTGAAAAAAAGACAAAAAATTAACAATCCACATAAACTTTCATAGAAAACTAAAGACTGAGCAACACAAACACCCGGGAGTGTACTCAGTGTGTCCAAAAGGGTAAACAGTTTCTGTCCCACTAAAAACACATGTTATGTTGCCCATGGCAAGTAAAATTCGGTGGTAAGTTGCATTCGATGATGTCATAACCGAGGAAAAGAGGACTGAATTGTGGATACAACAAGTGGAACATGCCCCTGGTCTGTCCCTGGTCATCTGCAGATATTCCAAATCGACCAACCAAATCATGATTGCGTACTTTAACCTTTTGAAGGGTTGACTTCCATTTGCAATAACCTTTAAGGTCGCATTATGCTTCTAAAGAGATACAGCACATTTTACCTGCATTTATTTCACATGTGGGGAAAAAAGTCTTCCAATCTCTTCTAAACTAAAGTATCATGGCTTCATAAAATTATGATGTTCTAACACCGTACGTCATCGTGGTTTATTTATAATCTAATGACCAACTATTATCTAAATATGTGAAATTGTTAATAAATGTTTTAAGTATATTATATAGATTCTTTAATATTGAAATTTTAATACCTCTTTTTTAATCTTTGGTTCATATATTTTACATACATTTGTTCGTTCCATTGTGTTTGTAAATTTAGGTGAAACATTAGATAGTAAAAAATTGGAAGCATTGACAGGATGAAAATAAAACCAAAAATATAGATGGCATTACAGTATCGAGACAAACCAAAATTTCAGGTGGCACTACAAGATCTAGACAAAAACTTTATACTATGTACTACTGGTAAATTATTAAGTCAAGGACTTCGTTACCACAACTTAGTTAGAACCATTACTAAATCTCTTTTTTAACTTTTTGAAGTTTGGCTGTACCTATATAAAACTTATTACAATTTGTACGGTGATGTTGTTTATCGAGTCTTTTTTAGATACGATCCTGTTAAACTTATCAATCCTTTAAATAAACTTATTCTAAAAGGTTACCAATTTAACACTTTAATTGGATCTTTGAATATTGTTTTTTATCGGTATAGATATTGATTTTGTTATCAATTCATAAAAACCCAGCTAATTATTTTTGCTATACACCTAGTATGGACATTCACGGTCCTACATTCTGTCGATATCTGTATTTTGGCATTGCTCAATATACTGTTTTTCTCCGACTAATAATAAAGTTTTTGCACTAAATCTATTGGATGTTGGATGTGTACTGATTTTTTAGTCCTAGATACATGATTTTTTCCATCTGTTGTTATTGGCTTTGAACTAGATTTCAGTAACTACGAGTACTCTTAGATCTGTATTAAGTCTGTAATCATGTTAATGTTTTTGTTTATTATATAATTGTTTTTGGTGCATGTTATCGTTCTGATGAGTTAAGCCCTTTTCACATGAGTTTTATAGTTTGTTCTTTTGGTGTGCTGTTACACCACTGTCCCAGGTTAAAGGGAGGCTTTGGTGCCCGCAAATGTGATTAAGCACGCCACATTCTGTATATTTGCTTGTCCCAAGGCAGGAGCCCTCAGTTCAGTGGTTGTTGTTTGTTGCTATATATCATATTTGGTTTTCGTTATTGTTTTGTACATAAGTCAGGCCATTAGTTTTCTCGTTTGAATTGTTTTTCATTTTTGTCACTTTTTTTATAGCTTTCTATGCGGTATGGCCTATAGTTGCTATCATTTACGTCATTTGTTCTTTGGTAGAGTGTTGTCTAATTGGCAATCATAGCACATCTACTTATTTTTCTATTCATGTGGCATTACAAGATCGAGACAAGCTAAAACAAAAGTTTAGGTGGCATTACAAGATCGATACAAACCGGCAAAACAAAACTTCATAAAATTCGCCTACGGTCCATTTTGCCTTATGATGCTCAGTTAAAACTTAGATTTATAACAGTTACATCATTTACATTATAAATTATAACATTAGTACCAAAGCACTAGCTACTCGGCTGGTGGTAACCATCGGAACTTTCCAGAAGTTTATTTCACCTAACTCATGTTTGTTGGACGAAAGACAACCGTAGTTTACCCACCATTTTTTCTTAAAATGTCCTATACCAAGTCAGGAATATGGCAATTGTTATCACATAGTCCGTTTCTATGTATGTTGGCGTTTTTTTTTTGTAGCAGTTCAGTGTTTCTGTTGTTCCGTTTTGTTTCCTCTTATAGTTGATGTGTTTCCCTCAGTTTTGGTTTGTGACCCGGATTTGTTTCAGTTAAATCTATTTATGACTATTGAACAGCGGTATACTACTATTGCCTTTATTTACCGATTATGTTCAAAACTTGTAAATCCCTTTTTTTTTTTATTATAAACTAACAAAGTTGTTTATTTCATGAAATTTTAATTAATTTATAACACAGTGTATGTACACACACATGAGTATTTATGTTAACATTTCGAGTAATAGAAAACTCGAAAAAAATTGTTACACGAAAAATAAATAGAAACAAAATATTCTACAAAAACATATATAGGACCTCATTATTAGATGATAATAATAACACTTTATTGTCATGCGTCCGAAGAGATTTGAAAGTCATGGATGTATAAAAACGTATAAAAATATTTTTTTGTGAGAATGAAACTTTAGCTATATTTGGGATCAGTACATTTACAAGAAGGAAAATTACAGCAAGGTTGTAAGAAGGGATTCCATAGAAGTTTACTTATTGTTAACTGAGAGTTTATAGTACCAACAGATTTCACATGATCATTTAATTCTTTTAACATGCTATCTCTCAAGTTTCTATTTGTTTCACTAGAATCAGATGGTATAGGATTTTGTTCCCCTGGATCTGAAGTCATTTCATAAAACACCGGAGGATCAAGTACTATAGCATTTTTACAAGCACACACTAAACCAGCACATTTCGTTTCTCCTGGAATGTAGTTTGGTTCTTTAAATACCAGCTTCCATATATGTTGACCTTGAGAGAGAAAAAAATGAAAATACATTTAACTATCTAATTATATTACTACAAATTATCCTAAA